ATATTTGAGTAGGCGAATCTAATAAACATGGAAAAAGGAAAACAAACTGGCAGGATTTCGATGCAAAATCTTTCAAGCTCTTCCTGGCTCTGTATCTTCAAATGGGAATCGTTAAATTACCGAGGATTCGTGACTACTGGAGTAGCAGGCCTGGATTAGGAGAATTTTCCCCACATGTCCCACATTATGTCAAGAGCAAAATTTGAATCTATTCTTCGAAATCTGCGTTTTTGTGATAATGAACTGGATCCTGCAGGAGATCGGCTTTATAAGATTAGAGCTATTATGGAACATTTCAATGCAAAACCAGAGGCTGCATTGATTCCGGGTAAAGATGAAACATCTTTTTTTTGCCCACGTAATTTGTAGAGCTGCTACAATTGGCATATACATGTAATGCTGAAAAACAGCAAAAAAAAAAAGCAATTAATTGAATGAGAATAGCTCAATTAGCGCTGCAGCGGTCCGTTCCTGAGTTTTTGCTGCAACGATTATTCGCTGCAGAAGTTTCGAATGGGTCAAGTTTAAGAATTTAATTAAAAAGTTAAATTTAAGAAATTTAGTGAAACAAAGTGATCAAATGAAAGAAATGAAAACTAAAAAACGAGTGGAGGATTCGAACCAGCTTAGGACCGTTTTGTAGACGAGCACACTACCCACTGAGCCATGCGGGGCCGTTGGACACGAGGCATAAACTCAGCTTAAGACTCTACCGGCTTTGTTGTCACGAATTTCAGACGGAAAAAAGTTTAAAACTATTCCCAAAAAAATTTTTCCAAAACTTTTATCCTTTTTTTTTATTTCTTTCAAGTTTTCTATGTGAAAAAGAAAAGATTTTTTGAAGAAAACTTCAACAAGAGAGATTTCCCTTCAGAGATAGCTTTTTTTTGCCTTTTCGATGCACCACGACATTTGTTATGCGCGCATTCATCTCTAGTTTTTGTTCAAAGCTTTTTACTTTATGATTTATGCTCCAATATTAGTTTTACTGCTTAAATTTTAGCCTTTATTCACTTCAGAATTTTGTACTTTGTGCTCGGATTGTTTAAGAGCTTCCTGGAGTAAATTGTACGAACGTTTCAGACGAAGAAACTGGGGGGGGAAGTGACTCGCGAAACGATCATCACACAAATTGAGGCCTTCAATGTGATGCACCTTGTAAACGCATTCTTTCCTGTCGCTTTCTAGCTTTTCTAGCTTTGTTTGACTTCAATCCTTGAAAACATGAAACTCTCAGTGCGCCAGAGAGGCTGCGTTTACAGAGAGCAAATAAAATAGCAAGCAAGTCAATGAAATCCAGAATTCATTCTTTTTTCCAGTAAGCCCTTTAAGCCATAGCTATTAGATGAATGAAAGAATTGGGGTGACTCATCGACAGAAAGACGGGCAATCCATTGCTCTTTCCGGTGTTCGATCAAAGAAGGGAATGGCGGTGGACGGGGGAAAGAGATGACCGAAAGAAATCCATCCCCAGGGTCCCTTAGTGGGCTCTAGAGCTAGAATTCTCTTAAATGTATCAAAATATATTATAGTTGTACCATTTAAAATGAAAAATTCAAAATTATAGGTTGAATGGCGGTAGCGGGGCTCGAACCCGGATCGTCTGGGGTCGTAGACCAAGGCGCTGCTGACTGCGCCACGGTGGCAACGGCTTTGGGCCATTGAAAAACTCGGTCTTAACCGGGTCCTTCGGCCTTTGTTCGGCGAGGTTTTCGGCTGGTGAAACCTGACCTTTTTGAACTACTTACCTATTTGCTTACTGCTTACTTTCTTGCTTCCTTGCTTCCTTCCTTCCTTCCTTGCTTACTTCCTTGCTTCCTTCCTTGCCTCCTTCCTTGCTTCCTTCCTTGCTTCCTTCCTTCCTTCATTTCTTCCTCCCTTGCTTACTTAGTAGAGTGAGGTCCCCAGGGTGTCCCCTAGGGGCCAGCCTCCCCATTTCTTTGCTCTAATTCCTTTCCTCTTTCTATGCGAGTCCCTTATTGACCACCCCGGCCTCTTCCCAGCATCTCTTTTCTGCCATTTCTGAAAGATGACATGTATCCCCTTTTCCTCCTCCTTTTCCTTGAGCATTCAATTTTCTTGCCCCTTTTTCTGACTTTCTTGTATCTTTCTGCTTCTGGCCTCGCTGTTTTAGTATCGGATTCTTTTGATGTCAATTCTGATGTCAGATGTCTAGCTGATTCTGATGTCTAGCTGACTAAAGCTGTACAAAATTTCGCTTAACGTCAACTGTTATCAATGCGCAAAGCTTTCAGCCTTCTGAAATTCGACTTTATTGAGTTTATTGACTTTCTGGACGATGCTATCGACTGGGTTCTGGTTTAATTTGGCTTGTTTTAGCTTGTTTTAGCTTGATTTAGCTTGATTTGGCTTGTTTTAGCTTGTTTTAGCTTTTGAACTATTAACTATCCTTATCTGACTTGATTCACCATTAGCTGACTGACCATTAGCTGACAAAATCCCTGAATTCAAGGAGGCTGCTGTCTGGCTGTGCTTACAGCTCAGAAAATCGAAAATCCAGAACAAGTAGAGCAAACTATAAACTCAATATTATTGAGTGCTTGAGTTTAATTTAGCCGATTAATTTTTTTATTTAGCTGGCTTTAGAACTAATAGTATTGAAATTTAGCATATAAAACTAAAAATCGATAAATCGAAAATTTTTTCCGTTCTCTCCCTCAATTCACCTCGAACAAGAACAAGAAAAAAAACCCATAAAAGCGGGTACAAATTCACACCTATAGAATATAGAGAAAAGATTGAAAAAAAGGAAAAAAAATGGCCTTGACAATCCAACAAAACATTGATCCTTTTTGCCTTTTTTACCTTTTCGCTTTTCGGAGATCCTCAGAAAAAATTTTTACACGCTTTTTTTTTACTGTTATGATTGACTAGATACAAATTGAATAAGAGGATTATGAGTGATTCGTTGGCTTGGCGTTGGCTTTTGGATTTGGATTTGGATTTGGATTCTATTCTATTTCTATTCTATTTCTATTCTATTTCTATTCTATTTCTATTCTTCTTCTATTCTTTTTCCACTTTATAACTTTTCGCAGATTAATTCTATATTTAAATCTATTTATTAAATTTTTAGACTAGCTTTATACTTTCTATAATTTTCAGACAACTTTTGAGGATTTAATCAGATTTAAGCAGATTGAGGGTTTTTTTTGCAGATAATGAAACCGTGCTACGCACTAATGACGGTGATTTTTCGTGTCAACTCGTTTTTGAGGACTTTTGTTATTTATTTCGCAGAAATTTCTCGAATTTCCGTTTTGTAACGGCCTAGAAGATAAAGGTTGGAACCAGGGTATCTTCCTCACAATTAATGCCTCTTCTAAAAGGTTCTCAGTTTTGTAGCGGTCTCGATAAGCCTTGCTTTCGTTGTTTCCATTCAACTCCCCAAACCATCTTACACTTAGTTTTGGCCTTTATTGTGATCCGGCTACGAAAAGTTCCGGATCCTTCCACTCGGCCTTAAACCGAAATAGATTGCTTTCTCATTTCAAAGAGAAAAATAAAAAAATTTATCACGTAAAACAATACTTTCAATCAAAAACAATTAAAAAATAAAAATAAACTGACAAAATGAAAAAGAAATGACGAAGAAATAAATGATTTGAAAATGCAAAAGAAATGACGACGCGGCGCTCCCGTCGAATACCTCCAAATGGCGGTGACGTCAATTGGAATGCGAAGTCGTCGGCTCCCAAATGGAAATAGATTGCTTTCTCATTCGAGAAGATAAGCTTTCATTGTTTCCATTCAACTCCCCAAACCATTATACAGTTAGTTTTGGCCTTCATTGTGGTCCGGCTACGAAAAGTAACGGATTCTCCACTCGGATCTAAATGGAAATTGAATGCTTTCTCATTTCAAGACGAAATTTATCGCGTAAAACGATAATTTTAATAATCTGTGAAAAACAAATGATTTGAAAACGAAAAAAAAACGACGAAGAAGAAAAAAATGATTTAAAAACGAAAAAGAAGCGACGACGCGGCGCTCCAATCGACTACCTCCAAATGGCGGTGACGTCAATTGGAATGCGAAGTCGTCGGCTTCCAAATGGAAATAGATTGCTTTCTCATTTCAAAGAGAAACACAAAATTTACCGCGTAAAACGATAATTTCAATAATTCGTGAAAAACAAATGATTTGAAAACGAAAAAGGAATGACGAAAAATAAATGATTTGAAAATGAAAAAGAAACGACGACGCGGCGCTCCCATCGACTACCTCCAAATGGCGGTGACGTCAATTGGAATGTGACGTCGTCGGCTCCCAAATGGAAATAGATTGCTTTCTCATTTCAACACGAAATTTACCGCGTAAAACGATAATTTCAATCAATCTAACAAAAACAAGAATAAAGAAATAAAAAAGAAACGAAAAAAAAAGCGACGACGCGGCGCTCCCATCGACTACCTTCAAATGGCGGTGACGTCAATTGGAACGTGATGTCGTCAGCTCCCAAATGGAAATAGATTGCTTTCTCATTTCAAAGAGAAACACAAAATTTATCGCGTAAAACAATACTTTCAATCAAAAACAATTAAATAATGAAAAAATCTCAATAAAAAAATAATCTGACAAAAAAAATGATTTGAAAATGAAAAAGAAGCGACGACGCGGCGCTCCTATCGACTACCTCCAAATGGCGGTGACGCCAATTGGAATGCGACGTTGCGCAAAAATTAACATTTAACAATAAGTATAAAATTAAAACATTTAAAATTTGCAACAAAGATTCAAATTTAACATGAAAACTTCTCGAAGAATATATTTTTTTCTCTAAATTTTTTTCTCTACTCTCGAATTGAAATTCTAAGTAAAGTAGCTCGTTTGAAGTTAAACTTAAAGAAATTCTCTATTCTAAAGTGTTCTTCTCTATCTTTTCCAATGTTATTTCTTGTTTTCTTCTTGTTTTCCTTGTTTTCCTTCGTTTACTTTTCGTAACTAATTTCATTTTTCAGGATTTCTTCACAAAAAAAATGGACGAGGATCACTATGACACCCCGTGGGAATTCCTCGTTCGTCCTGGCTCTATTCGATTGAGTACTGCGGTTGGTTTTAGTTTTTTTTTTTATACTATTTATATAATTTCTTAGTATTTTTCTCGAAGAAATTATATAAATATTGTAAAATTTTTATGCTGACTCGAAAATTGGGCTGATTTTTGAGGATGGGAGGAAGGGAGGAGGGAGAGATCTATGGGAGATTAGCATTTCAAATATCTATTCAGTTTTTGCTTAAAATCCTGACGAGAAAATGCATTAGAAGTATCGAAATATTGTCCCTTAACCAATAAGGGCCACAAGGGACCGAGCACTGATGGCCTAGTGGCTAGTGTGCCGGTTTACAAAACCCGCGATCGGTTCGCGCTTGGTTCGAGTCCCGCTATCGACAAAATTTCTTGACAAACAGACAAATAAGGCTAAGGGGACAAATAAGGCTAGGCGCTAAGGCTTTCTAAAGCTTTCTAAGGCTTTCCAAAGCTTTCTAAAGCTTTCTAAGGCTTTCCAAAGCTTTCTAAGGCTTTCTAAAGCTTTCTAAGGCTTTCTAAGGCTTTCTAAGGCTTTCTAAGGCTTTCTAAAGCTTTCTAAGGCTTTCCAAAGCTTTCTAAGGCTTTCCAAAGCTTTCTAAGGCTTTCTAAAGCTTTCTATGGCTTTCTAAGGCTTTCTAAAGCTTTCTAAGGCTTTCTAAAGCTTTCTATGGCTTTCTAAAGCTTTCTAAGGCTATTACAGTGCTTATGAACACTAGTAATCAATAACAAATTAATATAATCAATAATAAATTAAGATAATCACTAAAAAAAGGATTATTAGTTGTAATCACTAACAAAAGCTGTACTTCGACTACTGTAACGACTCCGACTAATGTAAGGACTACTGTAATGGCGAGATTTATGAGTCTAGTCTACTCCAGCCGTAGACTTCTTCGGCTGGACTTGCCGTAGACAAGGAGAACTCCAGACGAAAACAAACAACTACCGTAGCTGGCTTGGGGTTACTGTAGCTATTGGAGCCGGCTTTAGAGTGGTTACGGTAGTCGGGAAACACTTTAGCAAAATCGTTCCAGCAAGATCAAGATCGTTCCAGGGCATGCGTCTTCCCGGTTCCTCTTCTCCTCGTGGCTGTGACTCCTCGTCGAGCCCCTCATCACCTCTTCCTCCACAAACATCTCCATCGCGGCTCTCAAATGGAAATTCCCCTCCAAACACTCAAAATCATCACGTCCACCAGCTCACACAACAACAGTTTTCTCCAGAACACGAGCGAAACAAAAGGAGGACAAATGAGAAGAGGATTAGGTGAGGATTTGAGAAAATCGGTTATTGGTATTGATCTGTTGGTTAAATTGAAGTTTATATTGAAGTTTATGGAGTTTATATTGAAGTTTATGAAGTTTACATTGAGGTTTATGAAGTTTACATTGAAGTTGACGCTCCAGACTAGTTAGACGGTGATTACCTCGCTTCCATTTTTGACTTTGTGACATCAATCACCTCGGAAAGTTAATTTCCTTGAGCCACAAAGCCATAGAAATATGTATAGCTTTAGAATTAATAGAAAAACATTTTATATGTCCGTTATTGAATTCATTTTCATTCAAACTCCGCTTCAGAACCGAACGTTTCTTTTTGAATCGTTCAACCTATTTCTCCAAACTTTACTACCCTCGAAACTCGAAACTTTTCCAGCATCCATCACGATTCAATTAGATTGAATTAAAGTAGAGAGAATGGGTGATTTTTTGAGATATAAAACATATTTTAAACTTAAACCAGTGCTTAGAAAAAAATGACTAAAAAGTAGCAAAAAAAGCCGATTTTTCATCATTTTTCAATCATTTTTTTCTAAGCACTGGTTAATGCTAGAAATATGTTTTATATCTCAAAAAATCACCCATTCTCTCTGCTTTAATTTGATACCCAAGCGAGCAAAAACAAACGTACTGATGCTGAGATATGAAAGTTTGTTTGAGAGTAAACTTCGACTACGCGACGCTCCTATAGGGGGCTTATTAGCGGCTTTACAGTAGTTCAATTTTTAGCCTATTTGTTCAATTTAGCCTATTTATTCAATTTTTAGCCTACGAGTCGAAAAGGACAAGATCCAGATCGACTTTCGCCATGACGAGGATTTAATGCTCGAGAAAGGGATTGGTTCGTTTAAATTTAGTAGGGATTGGGTGGTGCTGTGCGCATAGCGAATACCGTATTCTCTCTAATAGTATTGCACTCCGGCAAGCCGAGTTTATGACTATTTTATCGTTTCCAAGCTTTCCTAGAGACTCATCATTCTAATCCTCCGCTAGATCTCATCGTCAGCTACATTTTCCGACCCCACATCGATCGGTTCTGATAAGCGCTTCTCGAGATTTCAAGCAATTCAGGCAACTAGCAATTCAGCAATTCTGCGTGCACTACTATTAGAGAATACGGTATTTGACACCGAATATCAAATTCAAATTGCCTTAAACCCTAATCACCTCCTTACTCTCTAAGATCAAATGAACTTTACTATACAAAATGCTCACTGACTAGGGAAATTTTTGAAAGTAGCTACGAACTCTAGTACACCGAGTGCTCGAGCTCTAGTCCTCGAGCTCTAGTCCTCGAGCTCTAGTCCTCGAGCTCTAGTCCTCGAGCTCTAGTCCTCGAGCTCTAGTCCTCGAGCTCTAGTCCTCGAGCTCTAGTGCTCGAGTTAAGCTACGAACTCTAGTGCACCGGATTCTACGCAAAATTCTCAGCAAAATCCAGTTTTAAAATCAACTAAATTGCCTCACTAACCAAGTGGAAAAGCACGTTTGAAAATTGGAAGTGTGAAAAATTTTCAAAGCTTGGCCATATTTTGTCCATAGTTTTTCAAATTGTTCGTTAAAAAACCCATCAAATTACTAAATAAAAAAGATTCGAATCTTGTTTGCAAAAAATGCAGAAATTTTGGTTTCAAGAGGATCCGAACCCGCGAGGAAACATTCGGTTATCGAGCAGACTATCCAATAGGCCGTTGGGTCATCGAAAAGCCTCGACAAGGGAAGGCTTATCCCAACGAACTCCGAAAATTCTCCCAATTTTCAAATGTGTTTTTCCATGGGTTAGTGAGGCAATTGGGTTGACTTTAAAACTGGATTTTGATCAGAATTTTGCGTAGAATCCAATGCAGTAGGTATCTTAGCTTGTAGCTCGATGCCAACAATTGTAATCAACAATTGTAATCAACAATTGTAACCAACAATTGTAACCAAGTTGTAAGTTGAAAGAGTTCCGTAATTAGATTTAAAAAAGATTCTAGATCGAATCGAGGCTGAGAAACGATTGGAGTCGACGAATCTCGGAGATTATTTGCTAAGGTACAGAAAGGAGGGATCGGCTGCGCTCAGTTTGAAAGGTTTTGTCGTTTGATTTGTTTGATTTGTTTGATTTGTTCTCTATTCTCTGAGATATCTGTTTAATAGTTTAATACTTTTCCGTAGGATCTAAATATTATATTTATTGGGTTGGGGAGAATGAGTCGGCGCCAAACTTTAAAGGGACTTTTTGCACACATAAAGCCTTCTTTAAACATACGTTTAGTTTCATCAAAAGGATCCACTATTTCTCTACAAAATCACTTTTGAGAGATTCCACAAAGCTTTTCTTTCGTGGAGTTTATGAACTTCCATAACGCAGCTGGTTAAAATGGCAAAGAGTCCGACTCATCATTTGAACAGTTTCTTTCACATAAACCTTCTTTGGTGTTTATATAAAAAAGATAGAGCACATTCAATTACTTAAGTTGCCAAATTTGCAGGAAGATCCCACCAATGGTTTTTTCTAGATGACAGTTTGTAGTTTTTGTGAAAAAATGGCTTTTTCTTGGCGCTGTTTGAATTTTCTTTTAAATGTGATTTTGTAGAGAATTAGTTAACCATTCTACTCATATCAAACGCATATTATTTGACGAAGTCTGCTGGAAGTTTTAGACATTTTTTTTGATTTTCGGCGCCGACTCATTTTCCCCAACCCAATAGATCTAAATATTATATTTAGATTTAAATATTATTTCGGTGTGTGAAAAAGTAATCCACGTTTTTAACGTTTAAATATAAAAGACCATAAGTTTCGTTAAAATAATTTTTATTCAACGAAATAATCACCATTCGAAAGAAGAACCTTTTGCCAACGTTCTACAAGTAAAGACATTCCACGATAATAAAAATCTTGGTCCTTAGAGGCGAAGAAAAGATTAGCCTCGATTTTGACATCTTCTTCGGAATTGAACCGTTAGCTTTGGCCAAAAATTGGCCAAAAAGTTAGACAGAGACAAAAATAAATAATAATCAGATGGAGAAAGGTCTGGACTGTAAGGTGGATTTGGTAAAACCTCCCATCCAACACTCTGGATTTTTTGTCGAGTCTGTAAAGAGAAATGTGGTCGCGCGTTATCATGGAGCAACAGGACACCTTTCCTATTTACCAATGATGCGCGTCTCTCAGTGAGTTTTTGTTGGACTGCATCAATCTCGGCACAATAGACATTCGAATTAATCGTTTGGTCACGTGGTAAATAGTCTATATGCATAAAACCACGTGCAGTCCACCAAAATGTCATTAAAATTTTTTTAGGATGGAGGCTTTTTTTGGGCATTGTCCCAGCAGGTTTACCACGTTCCACCCACTGTCCAGACCTTCTAGAATTATCGTAATCAAGCCATTTTTCATCACACGTAACAATTCGATCAATAAATGGCTCAATTTGATGTTTACTAATCAAAGAATTGGCGATTGTAAGGCGCATTCTTTTGTTTTCTTCGCTCAATTCATGCGGTATCCATTTGTCCAAACTTTTTGATAAAATTCATGATATTCAAGCGTTTCCTTACGGTTGACCCATCACAATTTAATGTAAGGCCTATTTCTGAAGAGGTTGAACGAGGGTTTTCGAGAAGACAGCGTCTTATTTGGTCATCAGATAAAAATAAAAAACGTGAATTACTTTTTCACACACCTAATATATTTAGATGCTATAGTAGGATCTAAATATTATATTTAGATGCTATAGTAGGATCTAAATTAGTTTTAAATTCTATAATAGGATCTAAATTACATTTAAATCCCATAGTAGGATCTAATCTAATCTCTTATCATTAACCAATCGATCATTAACCAATCGATCATTAACCAATCGATTTCTCAGGGTCAACAAGCGTGCTTCACATTAAGCTAGAGCGTCGAGATGGGCAATGGATCGTTGGTGAAGGGCCGACTTTTCGGTGAGACTTTTTAAACGAGTAAATAGATGAAATAGATGCATAGCAACTAGCTAGATGGCTACATACAGTACATACAGTACATACAGTACATACAGTACATACAGTACATACAGTACTACATACAGTACATACGTACATACAGTACATACAGTACTACATACAGTACTGAACAATGAAAGCTAGCTAGTAGCTAGTAGCTACATTACTCGACAATGAAATATCATATTTGAAAAACGATCGTCACTTTCGCCGCGTCTGTAACTCCCTTGTCTTTAAGTTTAAACTATTGGTGTTATACATTTTCTGAAAGCTCTTTTCAAGGGCTACACAATGTTAATATTAATATTTAGAAATACGGTAAAGACAAGGGAGTTATAGACGCGCGAAAGTGATGATCGTTTTTCAAATATGATATTTCATTGTCCAATAGTGTAGCTACTAGCTACAAGGCTAAATAGCTACTAGTTACTAGCTACTAGCTACTAGCTACTAGCTACTAGTTACTAGCTACTAGCTACTAGCTACTAGCTACTAGCTACTAGCTACAGTATCGTGTAAAGCTAAGCAGATAATCTGATAATCAAATCTCCTTCAGCTCAATCTCCTCCGCAATTCAATACTATCGTCGTCATCCTCTTCCAATTCGAGGCGCTGAGCACGTGCTTTTAAATCGTAATTTCTCAAAAACCGGTTACTCAGATTTCTGATTGTTTTCTTCTATTTGTTGATTGAATATTTTCATTTCCTCTAGTCTTCCCTAGCTCTGTCAACTGTATATCAAAAGCCACTGTTTTAAAGCCACTCAGTGATTACTGTCAGAAAGTTTTTGCAACAATTGCAAACTCCCACTCTTTTCCTTTACAATATTAAGTAAACTAAAGCAAAAGATTTAGATTTTATCTTTAAAAAACCCTTTTCTTTTCATCCTTTTCAAAAAGCCTTTTCTTTTTCATTCTCATCTCCTCTTGCCAGTTATTTTCATCGATTACGGGTTCATTTCTTTATTTTACATGTTTTTTTCATCATTTCTCTTGATCTTTTTTCAAATATTTACAATAAATAATTAACTCTAAGATAAGCATACAAAAAAAAAATCCGGCTTTGGCAACTCGCTAGAATTCACCCAACGAGCAAGGCCATCTGATAGGGCATAAGCTGTAGCGTTACCACTACATAAAAGTGCCTCCCGACACCGAGAGAGCAAAGTTATCATTGCCTTGACTAGGTGGGATTCGAACTTAGAGGCGTTCAGTTATAATCCCGCAGATGGTAGCTTCGCACCATTGGCCGATCGGCCAAGTGCATCAACCAAATGTCTGAACCTGCGGTTAAATTAAAATATTAAAATAACATTACGAGAGATAGGACATGTTTTAGAGAAAAGATTAGAAAGTAAGCACAGTTTAAACAAGAGTTTAAACATCGTTGGCTATCGTTGGCTATCGTTGGCTATCGTTGGCTATCGTTGGCTATCGTTGGCTATCGTTGGCTACGATAGCTAACTCAAGATAGGCTAACTCAATCCTTGACTTTCCCTTTGGTTGAACTGACAAGCGATTCGATCTGACAAAGGCAAGCCATTCAATTTCAAGACAAGCCATTCAATTTCAGTCTCTATTTTTTGTAAATCTGCTTCTTTATCTATTTACCTTTATCTTTCAACGAGTTTTTATCTCTAAGAAATTGTTAGAAAACTATTTTATTCAAATAAATCTTTCCCCAACGATAGAAAAGATGCCAATTTGGCAAGCCAATACCTAAAGTAAACAAAGAAATGCCAATTTGGCAAGTTTTTGATGTTATAACGTTGTCCAACTGGTCTCCTTATGATTGCCATCAAAAGATTGACTTTCGATTCGTCAGTGAGCATAACATTGGCCCAATCGTGCGACATCCAACTTTGATACTTCTTGGCAAACTCGAAACAAAGCTTCCAGTGCTTTGCTACTATCAGAGGTTTCTTGGCGGCCCTTCTAGTCATCAATCCACTGCGAATCGACTCACTATTTTTCGAGAGATTTCTTTGCTGTTGCTTCACCATAGCCACGCCATCAGAGACATTCCGATTTGGGTTCTTCTTTTCTCTTTTCTTGTGAGAATGAGCGCCTTCCCTTCTCGTGGAGTTGTGAATGATAGACGTCCACTTTTTGATGCACGATGAACGTTTCGCGAGAGTTTGGTCCTGGAGACAACAAGCGACGGAGTTGTTTCAGTACAGCGGAAGAAGTGGAAGCGATTACTTTTCTAGACATCTCATTTTTCGAGCTTTGATGATTTTCTCTTTGTCATGAGTTGATAAGTAGGCGCTGAGGAACTAAAAATAGAGTTATCAACCAGAAATCAAAAGAAAAAAACAGAAAAAGAAGAAATTTCTCGAAAAAGATTTTGGTATATGACTATATTCGTGGAAAATTTTATGACTTTTTTGAAACAATCTTGCCTAGAGGCCTACAGGCAAGATTGTTCATCTATTCTCGTAATATATTATTATATTAGGCGGCTTGGGCGGCTGGCTAAGATCTTAGTATCTTCGTTGAGAGGTCAAGGGTTCAATCGTTCAATCGTTCAATTTTTTGGGAGAGTACTTTAAATTTGTCCAATTTTCACGCTTTATAGCTCATCGCCTAAAGCTGAATTCAAGACGGAAATGATAAAACAAAAAAAAACGAGAAAAACGAAGGGAAATCGCGAAAAGCGGCGGAAAGGCTATTGATCTGAGGGTCGCTGGTTCGACTTCCACCGGTGACAATATTTTTCAAAAATTTTTTGCTAAGATTCTGAAAATGCATGTCTAGGGGTTATTTTTGACGCTGATCACGAAACACATGTTTTTAGCCTAGGTTTGTGCACGGAAAACTAACGAAACGTGAAAACAGCCATTTTTTTGGCTCTGCCGCCCTTTACTAAAATAGCTGTTAAAACTTTAGAAAAGAGATATCTCAAAACGGTTTTTACCAATCGATCCGTCTTGAATTCAGCTTTAGGATGAGCTATAAAACGTCTAAATTCGACAAATTTAAGGTACTCTCCCAAAAAATCGGAAAGGACTTTTCCATCAACCCAATAGATTGTTTTTGCTAGATTTAGGGTTGTGTTTGCGCATTTTTTGTACCAAATTATTCGAGAAAATCATCAAAGCTCGAAGAAATGGGATTCCCTATCTCTTTAAATTTGGTTCCTCTTGGTCTAGTGGTCTAGTGGTCTATCTCTCTAAATTTGGTTCCCTATCTCTCTAAATTTGGTCTAGTGGTCGCTGTGGTTGGTAAGTGGTCGCTTCCACTTCCGCTGTACTGAAACAACTGCGTCGCTTGTTGTCTCCAGAGCCAAACTCTCGCGAAACGTTCATCGTGCATCAAAAAGTAGACGTCTACCAGTCACATAAATAAATAAATCAATCAATAAATAAATAAATAAATAAATTCTTTTCTAAAAAGCTTTGCGTGAAGTCTTTTTGAAAGGGAAAACTGAAAGGGACTGACCTAGATCTCCCAGAAATATTCCTCAGAGATCATCCCGAAAAATCAATCCTTTCATTGCCAAAGAAAACCCCATTCCTTTATACTAAACTCTCGATGAAGTGTGGTTGGTTGAAATTTGAGAATTATTTATTGATTTATTTATTCAAATTTAGTATACCGTCTTTTAATCTTATTCATTTTTCTTTCTGTTTTCACTCATATTTTCTACAAATATTCCTCAAAAAGTCGATCTTTCACCGTTGATACGTTGAATTTGAAAAATCCACCGAATTCAAGATTCCGGATTGAGAAAACTGCCGTTTTTACGCAATCAGGTGATCGTTTAACTTCTCTCCTACTTACTTATCTTACTTCCAATCTTTATTATAATATCTTAGTCTAATATTGGTGTAAACGATAGCAAATATAGTAAATATAGAAAATATAGTAAATATAGAAAATAGGAAACAATAGCAAACAATAGCAAACAATAGCAAATATAACAACCAACAATAAACCAGAATAAACCAGAATAAACAAGAATAAACCAGAATAAACCAGAATAAACCAGAATAAACCAGAATAAACAAGAATAAACAAGAATAAACCAGAATAAACAAGAATAAACCAGAATAAACAAGAATAAACAAGAATAAACAAGAATAAACCAGAATAAACAAGAATAAACCAGAATAAACAAGAATAAACCAGAATAAACAAGAATAAACAAGAATAAACCAGAATAAACAAGAATAAACCAGAATAAACAAGAATAAACAAGAATAAACCAGAATAAACAAGAATAAACCAGAATAAACAAGAATAAACAAGAATAAACAAGAATAAACAAGAATAAACAAGAATAAACAAGAATAAACAAGAATAAACAACAATAAACAACAATAAACAACAATAAACAACAATAAACAACAATAAACAACAATAAACAACAATAACAATTTTTCCTTAAGCCGAAAAATTAAAAAAATCTAGTCGATGGGGTTGAACCCTCAACCTCCCTTGTTCAGGTACCGCCTGAGAGACAAGCCTCTTAACCACTCGGCCAAAGGCTTGGCTTTGCTGCCTCTTAACCAAAGGCAACAAAGCCAGCCGAAAAACTTGAGCTTTACAGGTGGAGAGACTAGATTCGATCAAAAATGGGAACTCCCCGATCGAAAACTCGTCTCAACTTGGGATGAACTCATGGAAATCGGCGATTTTATACTACTTGGAAACTTTTCTTATAGTAAAGGTGATTTTTAAAAATGATCTAGATCTCGAAAAACTCTCAAATCTTAGGCCTTGGCAATCTAATGTTTCAATACGCGGCGATGATCGCTTTAGCTCAAAAATATCAAGCTTTATTGCCGATATCCGAGGAAAATCTTTTAAGAAGAGCCTTTGATTTGCAAGCAATTGTAAGTTTTCTCCCACTTTGCACTTGTAAACGCAGTCTTTCTGGTTTACTGAATTGTTTATCTTTGTATTCTTTATCTTTCTTTTTCTTTCCTTTTCTTTATCTTTTTCGCCACATCAACGTTGAAAAATGAAGAAATCAATGCACTAGAAAAGGTGGGTTTACGGTTGCGCACTTTATGCTTAAATGCAGTGCCTATTGAGTGTACTTTGTGCTTAAAAGAAGCGTAAACACATCCACTCTAGTGCAAAGGGTTTTAAATAGTTGATGGATTAGAGTAAGTGGACAAATTGTCGTAAATCTAGATGAAATTTAGAAAATCACCGACAAATTCCATGAGAATCTACTCAAAAATCAAAAGGACCAATTTTAAAAGTAAGTTTTGATCAAAATACATATGTCGTAGCCGATGAAGGATTTCGGCTAGCCGATTAAGTCTCAAAAATGAAATCTTGAGTTATGTATTGACTCAAGTCAATACCACAAACTCAAGCTCTCTAAAAGGCGCTTAAAAGCTAAAAACGCATTCTAAAGAGTGCGCATTTTATCATACTATAACCAGGCCCTTTTCGTCATTCGTAATAAAAGCACCCTTTTCGTCATTCGTCAAAGGCACAGATTTAATCGATCTTCAATCCGTTTCCGATGGAGAATTCAAGTTTTTGATGGTCTACCAGGATCATTTCACAAAGTTCGTCGTTTTGCGGGCATTGCAAAGGAAAACACAATTTGAAGTTGTCGATCATCTAATGGAAATATTCGGAACGCAAACGCATTCTAGTTGCAGTTGCATTTTGCATTTTTCGATCAAACTAAACAACAAAAATAAACAATAATACCAAAAAGCGAGCTTATAAACATTTTTGTTTTATTAAACAATAATAAAACAAAAATAAAGAATAATACCACCGGTTTCACGAGTTCTTTGCCCTAAAAGCAAACAAAATAAAGCGTCATTCGATAAGACACAAAAGTAAAAGCTTACCAATTTGTTGGCGAACTCCTTTCCGTTGTCGGACTAAAGAATTTTTGGGGTTCCAAACGTTCCGAATATTTCCATTAGATGATCGACAACTTCAAATTGTGTTTTCCTTTGCAATGCCCACAAAACGACGAACTTTGTGAAATGATCCTGGTAGACCATCAAAAACTTGAATTCTCCATCGGAAACGGATTGAAGATCGATTAAATCTGTGCCTTTGACGAATGACGAAAAGGGCGCTTTTATTACGAATGACGAAAAGGGCCTGGTTATCGTATGATAAAATGCGCACTCTTTAGAATGCGTTTTTAGCTTTTAAGCGCCTTTTAGAGAGCTTGAGTCTGTGGTATTGACTTGAGTCAATACATAACTCAAGATTTCATTTTTGAGACTTAATCGGCTAGCCGAAGAAGTCTGAGACTAGCCGAAGAAGTTTGAGACTAGCCGAAGAAGTCTGAGACTTCTTCGGCTGAAATCCTTCATCGGCTACGACACATATAAAAATACAAATATTTAAAGCTAAATTTAACTTTTTTTAAAATTAAAAGATGTTTAGGATTGTTGTACGTATAAAGATTTATCGCTAAACTTTTCTTGGGCACAAAATCTACGAAAAGTTGAGGGTTATATGCAGAATTGGAGGTGAAATCTTTTCTAAAAGATCTATTTCAAAAAAACCTATCCTAATAAGCGAATTTCCATTCGCTAGTTCATCCAGTCGAATCTAATTGTTGTCTCTTTTCATCAGCGCTCATTTCATGAGAGAATCTAAAGCCTCAATGATTTTGAAGCCTCAATGATACCAAAATTTTGGTTAATCAAAGGAAAACTGATCAACTGATCAACTGATCAAAGGAAAAACTGATCAACTGAACAAACGACCATAATCTGGATAGATTACGGTCGTTTGAGATCGTTTTTTTGAAAATAGATTGATCAAAAGGAATTTCCTTTCATTAATTCTGCTTTTGAATCTATTTTCATTGTTTTTTTGTCAAAAAAACTCCTTTTAGATGGTTTTATCCTGGAGAAACGGTGAAGTTAATTCGAGAAGAGTTTCAATTCTTACCTACAATTCAGCAAATGGTAAAAACTTTACCATTTTCTTTATCTATTAGGTTGGTGAATTGAAAACTCCGACACTTTGAACTAAAATTTATTCAACATAAAACCATAAATTCATTCCAAATAATTTCCATTATTATTGACGACTTCTGCCCATTTTATAGGCAATTTGCGGATTCCTCTTTCGTAGTAGGATTTTGGTTTGTGTGTGAGACAAGTGTGAGACTCAAAAATGGAGGACCGGAGATCTCCAATGTCCCAGTTTGAGCACTTTCTTCAAAAGAAACCCATTTTGGTGTCAATAGAAAAGTTGTAGAGAATCAAAAATTAGGCTTATAGCCAAATTTCCTAAAAGATACACTTAGTAGTTTCGCTTAAAATGCAAATTTTGTTGCAAGTTTTGTGAAAATTCGTAAATTTGGCATTTCTTGAAAACCAGTTTTTGAATCTTTCTGAAAATTTGGATATAAGCTTCATTTTTGATTCTCTACAACTTTTCCATTGACACCAGAATAGGTTTCTTTTGAAGAAAGTGCTCAAACTGTCACATATGACAATAGCCCGCAGTTTTCAATTCACCAACCCAATAAATTAAAAATAATAATAAATAATAAATAATTAAAAAAGTAATTAAACAAATTGGGTTTTATTTTATTTTATTTTAAATCAACTTAAAGGAATTCTCTCTTGAAATAATAAAATTCTGGCGGACAGATGCCTTTCGGACCGTCCACCGTACTTTCAGACGTTTCCGCGCCAAACGTCGGAAACTACCGTAACCCGACGCAATAAAAGGGCCCCGCCACAAAGAATTTTTCAGTCTTTCGTCCTGTTTTATTTTTTCAGTCTTTTTTTTTCCATTGACACCAGAATGGGTTTCTTTTGAAGAAAGTGCTCAAACTGTCCCATATGACAATAGCCGGCAGTTTTCAATTCACCAACCCAATATTTATCTATTTTCTTTATCTATCTTTATTTTAAAGTCAAATGACTTGATCGAAGAGGCGAAAGCTCGCTGGAGATTGGGGCGAGCAGAGAGAGAATCTGGAAAAGATCAAATGGAAATTGATTATCGACTCAAATTTGCTGATGGTTTGATGAAATTCTTGAATATTTATATTCTTATCTTGAATATTCTTGAATATAACGATACTATTCCTTCAATATAACGATACTATTCATTTTTTAGAGATCACTGATCCAATCATCGTTGGGATTCACGTGAGAAGAGGACTGGATTTAACGTTTCATTATAGGTGGCTAAAGATTTGCTTATCAATCAATGCTTGTGCAATGTTAGAAAGGTTTAGAGTGAGATTACGGTAGAAAGATTACGGTAAGATGATGATAGAAAGAGGATTACGATAGAAAATGAATAAAATAAAGATAGAAATATGAAACACGGTCACAAAGCGGCTCCTCGAGACTACTACGAGAAAACAATTCAATATTTTCGCGAGAAATTTCAACAGGTTTTGATCTTTTCAAAGGAATAACTAAAAGCTAATTTAATTAGTTAATCATTAATCGATTTAGTTAATTTTCCTAATCTCAAGCGATGATTTGAAATGGGCGAAAGAGAATTTGCAGGAAACGAAGCCAGGTACGAGGTATGGGGATGAGTATAAGCTCAGGCTTATAAAAGCTGCTTAACAGTACAGACTGCTTGTACAGTACGCTTGTACACTAGAACTAGACTCATATCTCCCCTATCAGGCGAATTCTTCTTTCTTCCACGAAACACTGAACGAGAAGTGGGAATGTCAGTGCTTTCCTCTTGCGATCATCTCATCATTTCAACCGGCACTTTCTCGTGGTGGGCCGCTTTTCTCGCAGATGATGAGAAAAATGAGGTACTTATAAGCAGAAAAATCTTTCTACGGTAGTAAAAAGTACGGTAGATAAAGAAAGTTCTAGAAAATCTACTGCCATTATGAGTTTTATGACTTTAACTGCTTCATTATAACCATTTTGAGTTGCCGGACTTGAATCTGTAATTCCTTTTTGCCAAATTCTTTCAAATTTCTACTGCTTTGACTTTTTGTTGGGAATTTTCATCGTTGTTAACTTGTTGCTTTTTTTTATAAATTTAAAATTGGTTTAAAGTCTGTCTGGCTGTCTGTCTGTCTGTCTGGCTGGCTGTCTGTCTGTCTGGTTGTCTGTCTGCCTGTCTGTCTGGCTGGCTGTCTGTCTGTCTGGCTGTCTGTCTGTCTATCTGTCTGCGCTACTCCTTAACCCCCAGAGGATTGTTTACAAAGATTTTCGCGCCGTTGAATAGGGAATTAAATCTAGTTCTGCAATGTGCTTTTGGATTTTTTAAAAAACCCCATTCCAGTCGCACGGAGAGGTTGAACCCGGATCGTATGGGCGATAGACCGGAGCACATCGGCGCGAAATAAGGCAAAAATGCGTTTTCTATCGGATTTTTCCGGGAGTACCTTTTTTAGATGCGGAAAATTGTGCTGATTCCGAATCTGAAGGAATTTTTCAAATCCCCTTCACAGAAATTTTTTAAATTGAGTTTTAGCGGTTTTTTGGTCATTTTGTATGGGAAATTTTGTGGTACCCTGCAGTTTGGGGCTCGTGACTCGACAATCAGGGTCTAGAACAAAAAACGAGGGGATAAGTTTTATTCTAGAGACTCTCACGAACATTTTGATACAAAAATCATCAAATTTGCTCAACTCTACAAAAAGTTATAACATCTTTAAAGAAATTTTGCAAAATACACTAAAAACATAAGGGGAAACCGTGGCCGAGTGGTCTAAGGCGCGCGACGTCAATCCCGCGCAAAAGTATGGGGTTGTTGGTTCGACTCTCCTGCACACTTGAGCTGTTATTTTGCATATTCCTTAATCGTTTTGAGTGAATACGATACATAGCTACATTGTTCTTTTGAACAAAAAAAATTGTGCAATAGAGAATTTTTAAAATTTTCTTATTTCTTTTTTAAAAATGTTATAACTTTTTGTAGAGTTGAGCAGATTTGATGATTTTTGTATCAAAATGTTCATGAGAGTCTCTAGAATAAAACTTATCCCCTCGTTTTTTGTTCTAGACCCTGATTGTCGAGTCACGAGCCCCAAACTGCAGGGTACCACAAAATTTCCCATACAAAATGACCAAAAAACCGCTAAAACTCAATTTTAAAAATTTCTGTCAAGGGGATTTGAAAAATTCCTTCATATTCGGAATCAGCACAATTTTCCGCATCTAAAAAAGGTACTCCCGGAAAAATCCGATAGAAAACGCATTTTCGCGCCGATGTGCGGCGTGCTATCCACGGCAAAACCCGTCTATTCCCAAAACATCCAGAAAAACCCGCTTTACGGTTAACGACGGGGGCCAATTTTGGTCAACTTGCAGCTCATTTTTAAGCACCTTAAACTTGTCAGATCAGGAAGTTTAAATAAGATTTAGATGGCTTAGAACGTCAGCTTTCAGAAACTATTTGTTTTTTCAAAAGTTATTAAGATAAACTTATATAAAATCGGTCTGCAAGTTGGTCAAAAACTTGAGCCCCGCTGATATTCGCTACCCCCGCTGTTCGGCGGGTTTCTCGACTAGTAAAGAGAATAATAAGACTAAAAAAAGTCAATGAAGTGACCTAAAGAAAAGGAAAACTCAAGTGCCGGGGATCGAATCTAGTTTGTCCGCCTTGTAGCATAGCAACCTACCAATCGGCTACCAGCTTTTAAACATTTAACACATTAAACACATTAAACAACAGCTATTAAACAGCTTAGGGCTGTTTAATAACCAAACAGCTGTTTAATAACTTCGCCTTATCAAGACCCCAAAAAAAAATTTCCTTTATTTTCGCTTTATTTTCGACTTTCAGATAATCTACTACAAAGATTGGCCCCGGGAAGATTCAGAAATGGCGAAAATGCTTAAAAAAGACGAATATTTCTTGCCGAGATGGAAAGGAATGTAAAAAAAGTGTTCGATTTTGTGCTACGGGTTGCAATAAACACTCAATTGTATGAAAAATTGCTAAAACAAAAACATGCGCAGTTTGAATTACTTTTTGGAAGGAAGAAAGGCCTTGCAGAAATTTGTAAATCTCTAGAAATTGGATCTTTACGTTTACTTTTATCGAATTTGTTTTTAACGTTGTTATTATATTATTTTATGATCAGCTTTCGTTTATTTATATTGTTTTTATTTAGTTGCAACCGCCAGAACAGCCATTCAACAACCATTCAACAACCATTCATCAGCTATTCAACAGCCATTCATCAGCCATTCATCAGCCATTCAACAGCCATTCATCAGCCATTCAACAGCCATTCATCAACCATTCATCTACTTCTACATCAGCCATTCTAAGCACCGCCACCACCTCCCGTCTACATCGCTCCTCCACCTCTTGTAAGGGTTTTTTTCTTTACGTTTTTCTATAGTATTGTTCATTAACCCATTCGAAACTTCTGCAGCGAATAATCGCTGCAGCAAAAACTCAGGAACGGACCGCTGCAGCGATTATTCGCTGCAGCGCTAATTGAGCTATTTTCATTCAATTAATTGCTTTTTTTTGCTGTTTTTCAGCATTACATGTATATTCCAATTGTAGCAGATCTACAAATTACGTGGGCAAAAAAAGATGTTTCATATTTACCCGGAATCAATACAGCCTCTGGTTTTGCATTGAAATGTTCCATAATAGCTCTAATCTTATAAAGCCGATCTCCTGCAGGATCCAGTTCATTATCACAAAAACGCAGGTTGCGAAGAATAGATTCAAATTTTGCTCTTGACATAATGTGGGACATGTGGGAAAATCCTCCTAATCCAGGCCTGCTACTCCAGTAGTCACGAATCCTCGGTAATTTGACGATTCCCATTTGAAGCCAGGAAGAGCTTGAAAGATTTTGCATCGAAATCCTGCCAGTTTGTTTTCCTTTTTCCATGTTTATTAGATTCGCCTACTAAAATATTGTCGTCGATAAAATAAGAACAATAATCGATAGGATCTTGAAAAGTACTGAAGTCAAATCCAAATCGTTCGTCATCAAAAATAAATGGTGTAGGAGACTCTCTTTCATCTTTCCAACCATAAATAAACTGATTCGGAGTCAAAAATGTCAAAAAAGGGCTTGGTCCGTAGACGAAAAAAAAGAAAAAACGCTGCGGTTTCGAATGGGTTAAAAACTTATTTTGAAACTTTAGCACCACTTTTGCTGTTTAGTCTTTTTGTTTTGTGCAGTTTAGTGGCCGATGCATAGTGACTTTCAAGCTAAAAACGAAAATGTTGAAACCTAGTTGATAAAAGCTCGTTAGAACTACCGGATTAAAACTTCCTAGCTTCTTAGCGAAACTTCCTAGCTTTCTAACTCCTTAACTAAATCTAACAACTTCTTAAAACCCAACAAATAGGTTAAAACCAACAACAACAATAAAACTTTGCTTAAAGTTAGAAAAAACAAAGATCTGACCGTTGATCGTTCAAGTTTAAGCAAAAAATTAACAATCAAAATGAAACACCTCATAAACTTTAGCGTAAAATAAACAATTCTAAAACTCAACTTGAATTTGTGAAAGCGAGATGAGCAGAGAAGAAATGATAAATTCGTCTTCGAACGATTGTTTACTTGAGCGATTGCTCTTTCTCTTTAAACTACTTTTTGTACCTTTTGCTGGTAAGCTGCTTAGAATTTTAAACGTTTCTTGTACATCTCTATTGTCTAAACCTTTCATTTTAGGTGAAAAATGGTATCACTGTTTGCTGCCACGTGAGGACATCAAGATGATGCTGCTTAGCAAAGGCGATTTCCTCGTGCGCACCACCAAAGACGTCAACCGCGGGTCTTATCGGTAATCTTTTGAATGTTTTGGAGCTTTGATTTACCGATTTGTCGTTTGTCAATTGCAAAAACCTTGTCTTTCCAACATTACAATAAAACTTTTTATTCTTTCATTTTAGGTGATGTGGGATCCGAGTCGCGGCAAGGAGCAAAGAATCAAACATTTCGTCGTCAAGCAACATCAGGGCGGCAAATTCTCCATCGAAAAGTTCACGTTCGACTCAATTCCCACGATGATTATATACCATATCAAACAAAAGGAGAGCATCTCGAAAGTAAGTTTGAAGTTGTTTTGTAAAACGTTTCAAGAGCCAATTATTTTGTTTAGCAATCCAAAGTTATCTTAGAGACAGCAATCGGAAGACAGCCTTGGGAACTCAATCACGTTGACATCGAATGCACGAAAAAGCTGGGAGAAGGAGCGTTTGGAGAAGTGCACAAAGGAAAACTCAAACTCAAGGTAGGAAAGCTTGTCGATGTGGCTGTGAAATTGGTATGTTTTTATGTTGTTCAAAGTATTGTTGCTTGTTTAGGCGAAGCTCGAAGTGCTGACAAAGGAACAAATCAAGGAGATTATGCGAGAAGCACGCCTGATGCGGAACTTTGACAATCCCAACGTCGTCAAGGTTTGGATTGCTTAGTTTTTCGGATTTAAGTTCTTTAATTAGTTCTATTGAGTGGCTGCCGGACAAGAACCCCTGATGGTGGTAATGGAATTGGCGAACAATGGAGCCCTCGACTCGTACCTACAGAAGAACAACGTCCCGATCGAGAAAAAGTTGGAAATTATTGTACAGGTCAGTGTTTGAATGATTAGTTACCAATCTCTTTTTAGTCGGCATCGAATATCTTCACTCCAGAGAGGTTCTCCATCACGACATTGCTGCTAAAATCTGGAGCCTCCTGAATAACCTGGGCCAAAACAGCACCACCAACAAAAGAAATCGGTCCAGAAGTTCGTTCAATTTGGCAAAGGCACATTTTTATTGTCTTTTGGGGCCGCAATTAGTCGTAATCTCCAAGTCCGGATCCAACACCCGCACAAATGAACGCCAAAAGATTGATGAACTCAGCGAAATTTGTAAATTATATTTGCTCGATAATTGTACATGAATAAATGTTTTGCGGTTATAACTTCATTTGCAAAATGAATAAAATAGAATAAAAGCCTTAGAGGCACGTGGCTCCTGGGCTATCGCCTGATTCTCCTACGGCTGAGGTGAGTTTCGTTCCTGAGCTAGAAGCCACGTGCTTCCACAAGCTCTGATATGTCAAAATTTGGATTCCACGCCCTAAGATTACCCAACAAAATAACTTTCAGAATAGAAATGGGTTAATATTAGAAAAAAGGTCGCATTTGTCCTACTCCCCATATTTTATCTTTTCTAAACCAAAGCTCATTTTCGACGCAAAGACGTCGAAAGACGCAAAACGGAAAGAAACGGAAAATCTGGGCTCAACAAAAATTTCACTTTCACACGAACCCATGTGGGTTTTTTTTGCCCTGATCTTCTTGTTAAGTAGCTAATAATGAATTATTATAATTGAATATTATTGAAGTGAAGTAATATATTGGAAAAATGAAAATGGCGCTTTATTATTTTATTTGTTAGAGACTTGCTTAATTGTTAGCGGGGATTCGTGCGCTTGCCTCCCGGACCTTTCTAGTGTTTCTAGTTTTTGCGCCCCGTTAAAACCCTTGAAAATGTGCTTACTGAATTGGGATGATGAATTTAGAACTTAAGTTAAGTAAATGTCCCTCTTCGAGATTGATTTTTGCGGATTTTGGCTTTTCTTATTTCCGACTCTTTTTCAGCATATATTTTTGTTTTTTCAGGTCTCTGAATTGAGCAAAACGATGGTAGAGGAGGTGGATTGTTTAATCAAAGGACAGGTAACGAGTTTGTTTTGTACATACCTAGCTTTTTCTAGATCATGAACAAGTGTGAGAAAAGTAAAGATATTCAGTCGGGGGTAGGCTCATTTGCGCAACATTGGGCCAATCTTTACGATTTTGGTGTCATTTTGTTGCAGTTATTGAGATCTACAAAATGACAGAAAAATCATAAAGCTTGACCGACTTAGAAGAAAGTTATGGCGAGTTGCGCGTAAAAAATTGCGAAAATTAGCCCACCCTGAAGTGTCGCGAAAATTCTGCGCTTTACACGCGTTCACACGTGTTTTTTTTTCATTTTACGAAAATCTACGAAAGAGAAAGGTCGGTTAAAAAGGCATCTATCATTTATCGCCTTTCTAGGTTACCAAAAAGTGTGGTAAGAGTCTAGTTTACCCCCAGCCACGGGTCCCCAAAACAAGTTTTTCTGGGGTAATTTGCTTAGATCGACACGACAAGAAAATCGACATCTCAGAGCTTGATTTTGAGTTTTAAGAAAAAAATTTCATGTGGCTTTAGTCATGATGATTTTTAGTCAAAAAATTTTGGTACTAGTAAAGTTGGCGGGGGGGGGGGAACTTTTTTCTTCAAAACCACTTTCTCTAGAGTAGTTTTATGTGTAGATTCCGAAAAATACAATGAAAGCTCGGGAAAATGCGTTCTAAGCCAAGTTTCGAGGCTTCAAAGTGCGCTCTTCTGTAGTATGTTTCATTATATAGAGCTATCGACTATTGGGGCACTTTTCAAGGTCAAAACTAGAGAAAAACTTCAAAGCAAAACCTAAAGTTTTCCCAAATGTAGTTTTTCTAGGGTAATTGATGGCGCTGATCACGGAAAAAAAACATTTTTAAGTTATGTTTTCAGTTAAAAAACTTACTGATTAAATTTGGTAGTTTTGGCCCTTAAGAGAGCCGCTAGGTTTGGTATTAGTCAGGCGCCTACATTTTTCTAGGCTTTGGTTTCGCATCGTAGAGCCACGTGATACCCAGGCTAGCCTGATTCTCCTACGGCTGAGGTGAGTTTCGTACCAGAAACACGTGGCTTCCGTAAATGTACTTACCGTAAATACTGTAATAGTACCCCACCCCCATAATGACGGTGCGGAGTGTTGCGTAGTCTAGCTTTGTACGCGTTTTTTGAAAGTATGGATGCTTTGCAAAAAATGGAATACTAAAAAACTTTTGCGACTACCGGACTGTACGAGGGGATGGGGTACTATTACAGTATTTACGGTAAGTATCTTAGGATCAAAACATCTCTGTTACGAAACTCATCTCAGCCGTAGGAGAATCAGGCAAGCCCGGGAGCCACGTGGTTCTATTATTCTAATTTCTAAGTCCTGAGGTGCCTCCGCACTAAGAAAGCCTAAGAAAATATGAACGCCTATATTATGCTATAAACAAGATGTTTTTATGGTCAACTTAGCTTTTTATAACGAAACTTTGACCTTAGGGGGCGGGGCTTATAAAACCAGTCTTAACAAGTAAAAAACCAAGTTAAAGGTACATGCAGAGTTTTCTAATTGAAAACATAATTACTGTATTTTCTTGCGTAAAAAACGATTTGGCAAAGTTTGGAGGCGTCGAGACACCCCCAACTCTCCCATTTGTAAGAAAAACCCCCAAGTCACTATTAAAAAGTATCTACAAGTTTTAATGTTTTCTCTTTAGAAGCCGTTTTGGGGAATCGTGTGCTCGCGCGCACACTCGGCGTCGACGCATTTCGTTCGCTTCCTTCATGGCCAGTTAATGTTGACACATCGAAGCCGCAATTGGGAGCAAGATTCGAACCGTGAAGTCAAAGTTGGGGATCTATTGCGATTTATCTGGAAGTGAGTTAATTTGTGTAATTTCTTTCAAAATGTATTGTTTAGGCCCCACTATGAGTTGGATGAATGTGTGGGTGTCGTTGACACGTATATCATCGTGCCGCCCGAGAAACAACCCTATTTTCTGAGCGCTTCATTGCAACCAAGTCATTCGGGACAAATTGTTTTGGTAGCATTTAAGTACTAATTCTCCTCAATGTTTGATATTCTAGGTCTCTTGTGAACTCCGCTACGAAGGCAACGATGGTAAAGTGGCTACATTCGTCAATGAACATTTGGGAAGAGTCTTCGATGATCACAAGAAGATTCATGTAAGTTTAGTCTGCGAAAGGCAACTTTTATATAATTTGGGCGTTGGCTAATTATAAACTTTAGGAGAAAGCACTCACTACGCAAGGAGTATACCAATGTCTCATTACGCGAGTCGACGATCGGAGCAAGAACACACACTATTGGATGATCGCAAGCTGTCAATTCTACCCAAGAACTCTACTCGTAAGAATTTGTTTGTAGAGATATATTCTAATCTTGATTGTTTCGAATGGATCTCATCATGGATTTGCCGTACGCGTACCGCATAGGGAGGAGCCACTAATTTGGCCGACTGACAGCATCAGCAAGCGTCCAATCACTATACACAAAGAAGTGTAAGTAATTAACGTTAATTCTCTTGCTAAACTGGATTTAGTCTGAGTGGCTTTCATGAAAAGAATCTTGGCCTCTTTGTCGATTATTGGCTAATACCGGGAAGTCGCACAATTGGAAGAATGCAGGTAAATAGTTAAATTGATTCTATTGGTCATGAATTGTTAAATTTAGGTGGCAACTTGTCAACCACCAACGAAGAAAGTCGGCGATCGTTTCATGGTAAGTTGTCAGATGTCCGCACGATTTACGGAAGTAATTTTAGATTGCGCTTGACTGTTCTTACACTGGACATAGAACAAGAGTCAACGACGTCGATGTTCTTTCCTCCAGAATGGTAAGCAATCTATTTTTTATCGATTTACTGGTGTTTTTAGTATCGCTGGATTGAGGACAGGCAAGGCTTCGCCAAAGCGTTGAATATGAAGAAGGGAGATAGCCAATACTTCTGGTGCTACCTCGACACGAGTTCAACAAATGCCGCGTATCTTGATTGGGTTGTGATCGATATTTACGACGAGGTTTGCTTGAGTTAGAAATTTACAGAAGTGTTTTGTTTAGAAGGTCGAGGGATCGTTTGTTGCGAACAGCGCACAAGCGTCGTGCTATCCAAAGGACTTGAAATACGTTGGATCGCTGAACGAGTACGCGCTAAAATCGGCTGAAAGCGAAACCGTTGAGCTTGAAGAATTCGGAGGCAATAAATGGTATGCGAGAGGCATTGATAAGCCTCAACAGAGCTACTCGCAGGTTTGTTTTGTTCAACATCAAACATTTCGATAGATTTTTAGGATTCGATTCAAGCTAAAAATCGCGTTATCGAAAAATGGATTGATGCTAAAGCCGCCACTTGGGAAACCATTCACAAAGAACCAGGATTCGGTGAATCATCGCCTCGTTATGAAAGTGAGTTATTTATTCTCCTTTCTCACTTGCGTTCTTTTTAGATACACGATTTGAGGGTAAGTCCAACCAAGCTGGACACAAATACTTCAACCACGAAAATAACGCTCAACATGAAATCGGGTAATTCGTTTAGTATCTAATTTAACCAATGATATTTATAGTGTGAGAGGTGCAACTGCCGATATGGAACTTCTCGAGAATATGAAACAGTTGCGAGCCATTGTTCGCGAGATCTTTCAAGAGGATGAGGTCAGTCTTTCGTTCATCAAAATTATAATTCGGAATCTTTTAGGTTCGTGAAGCTGCTCGTCGAGTCAATCCGAATGCTTACGCAGAGCTCATCGAGAAACTCGCCTTCGACAATTGATACATTTTGATAAAGTTAGCTCGCTTTTGATGTCACAAGTTATGATGTTTTAATTTTGCAAATTTTGTTAGTTTGTTTGGATCTTTCAGTAATCCGCTTGAATTCTTGTTAACTAATTTGTTGTTTCAACTTTTGATAAACATTTTAAAACTAAAATGAACTCGATCTTGGCAATCGATGCTTAGATCCTGTCCAAGACAGCCGCCAGAACAGTTTTCCTCGTTAAAGCTCTGCCAAATTTATTCAACCAAATCCCTTTATCACAATCAATCAAATTCTCTTTACAAAAACCTTTAAAGCGGGGTCCGGGCCCAAATAGTGCACTAATCACAAAAAAATTGCTGAAAGAAACTAAATTTGAGTGAGCTCGTCGTACATCTGAATCGGTTTCGCGAACTTGTGCACAACTTGAGGTCGTTTGTATTTGTGAGTGGGAGTCATCAGGCCGTTTTCACTTGAGAGAGACTCTGCCAGTAATAAGAAGTGCGCTACCCGAAAACAAGAATAAAGTGCTTAGATTTATACTGTTTGCAGTAGAAAAACTAAAACCAAACCTGCTCAAATCCGTGAAGTCCCTCTTGTCGACCGTGCTTCTTCAAACGTTTCACAATTATCGATTTAACTTCCTAAAGCCAAAAGCTATAATACTGACTGAAAGATTCAACTGCATCTTACCTTATCCTCACAAAGTTCCATAAGCGATCCGGTGAATCCAAATGTTGAGCACAATGGCACAAATGTCTAGAACGTCAAATTGGTGTGGAATTTTTAAAGCTATCAAACTTCTAGATCCGATACAATGATGCCAACAAGCTGAGAATGCGTCGAGTCACCATGAATCACACATTGTTGCAGCAAGGGACATCGGAAAAAAGAAATTAGTCGTTGAAGTTGACTAGCCGAAATTTTATTGCTGTACAAGATGCTAATCTGGGTCGAATTGTTCCAAGGTTTTCCACTATTTCATTCGTTTAACACTGCATAAGTTTCGGGCTTTCCCAAGTCGATACAAATTGAAGTTCGCTGAACAGCTCTTTGACGAGGCACAGTTGGAGATGCCCCTCGATTCACTCGCCAACCCGTCAATCTTTGATCAAAGTGACGATGAGGTTGATTTGGACAATGGACGCTATTGACGTTGAAACCCGACGGTTTTCAAATTATATGCTTTTTTGTTGTTTCATTTTTTTTTTATTTCCATCTTAAAGTGATATTTTCCTAATACAATGCTGTAAAAAAACTCTTCGATTCTAATCTTCGCTGATTTTAGTCAATTTCTTGCTTTTTGACGCATTCTGCCGTTTAGGAAGTAGAAAACAATTCAAAAATGCAAAAACCAACAAAAATTGCTGTTTCTCAAAAAAAATAATGGGCATGCCTTATGCATGCACCGAACTATTCGAAAAACGCTTGTAATTATTAAAACCTATACTATCAAAGCTTTGTGTGATGTTTAGAGTTTGCAAAAACTATCTTCGCAAACTTTTGAGAGTTGATTTGAGACGAAATTAAAACATTTATTTTAAAACCGCCACAATCTGGCATTGCTTAATAGAGTTGAATGAAATCACAAACATGAAAGAGGCAAATGCACAGAAATGAGATGTATGACAGAAAAATGGCTGAATGAAACAGGTCGGGTTTATTTTGATCCCTCAGTATCCGGTGGAGGTCAAGTATTGCGCGAGCTTCTCAACGGCGCCTCGAACTTGTGTTCCTTCGGCTGATTCTCCCTTGAAGACGGCAATGAGAACTGCTAAAGAAAAAAAATTAATTGAGTCGAAAGTAATGTTTATTCTAAAACAAGCAGCTAATTTGCTAAACTACAGGTAACAAAAGCCGGAAAGTTTGCTTACCCGATTGTGTTTTTGCTGCAAAGAACCCGGATTTGTCCTTTTTGCCAAAGATGACACCGTCATCCGCTTGGGGTACAATGTAGTGAACATTCTAAAAGGTAAGAAGTTATATTGAAACCAATTAAAGCCTAATCATGTTTAAAAATCTCACCTCCAAATCGGCTCCATGAGTAGGCACGTCATTTGGGTTGTTGAAACCGGCGACCAGTTTCTTCAGTTCTTTCTCTGTTGCCTAAACCAAGAGATTTATAGGGCTAACTCTTAATCTATGTAATCCGTTGCTAGCCGGGCTTTTTATGTCAAACTTTACTTAGCAATAATAAACTTTTTACGTTTACGACAGTACTTAAGGAGCAACATTAAAATTCAGCTTGTCTTTAATTAAGCGAGCTGGATACTTTGGTGGTCGAGAGGGGCTACCGTTCTCCTGGCTTATTTGGATCTAATGTTTTGAGTAGTTGTATTAATACCTTTTATCTACCTATTCTAGTGTCACCAAATATGATTATACTTTTAGAGCATTTACAATACGCTTCAACTTTCTTATTGCTGTTTTTATTTGATTTTCAAGTGTAGGCAGCTTTGAGGTAGCGCTTGCTGGTTAAAGTACATGAGATTAGGTTAGAATTGCCAAAGACTTGGGAAAATAGTGCAATGTGCTTGCAATCTATAAAGCATATTTGATTGCCCTAGAATAGAGAAAAGGTATCAATACAATCACTCAAAACATTAGATTCAACTCAGCCAGGACAACAGTGGCCCCTCTCAACCACCAAAGTACCAACGAACTCGTTATTTGCAAATACATTTATTGCCATCACTCTCCTTTATGGTAATCTTTTGCTAATCAAGCCAGGTCTATCAACTTTCCACCAAATTTCAATACCAATAAATATGCTTACCTCAAACTTGTTTCCCCCTTCTGTGCGCGCCCACACGGATCCATCCGGAAATCCGACGATAGCCGCGCGTTGAATGTGTGGCGATGAGGCGGTCAAGTTGGAGATGTAGGCGTCCCAACCAGTCATCTTTGCTTTTCTAAATGAAGAAATTCGTTAACTAAAAGTGAACTGCAAATAATATTAAATCAAGAGTTCAAAGGAAAATGGTGTAACAGTGTGTAGGGCGGATTTTATTCGAGCACTTAGCTATTATTGTTTTAATGCGCAAATAATTCTCATTGTTAAAAATTGAAAAACTAGCTGAACAACACAAGAAGTAAAGAAATGAACGAATGAGTGAATTTTGTGCTTTGCGGCGGCGACTTTTCACTTACAGTAACCCTTTAAATTGGATTCTGATATTCAGTTAATTCATTGCAATAGGATTTTCACCAAACACTTTTTTGCTTTATTTATCGGGTAGGAAAACTTCCGCCATTTTATTTGCGCAACTCGCCATAGCTTTCTTCTAAGTGGTCCAATCTTTATGATTTGTGTGTCATTTTGTTGCACTTATTGAGATCAACAAAATGACACAAAAATCATAAAGATTGGCCAACTGTTGCGCAAATTAGCCTACCCCGACTAATTTGCGAGGCTAATTTGCGCAACGGTGGGCCAATCTTTACGATTTTTGTGTCATTTCGTAGATCTCAATAAGTGCAACATTGGGCCAATCTTTATGATTTTCATGTCAATTTATTGCACTTATTGAGATCAACAAAATGACACAAAAATCATAAAATTTGGTCGACTTAGAAGAAAGTTATGGCGAATTGCGGAAATAAAATGGCGGAGATTAGCCTACCCCTTTTTTTATCGGTCAATTTAGTTTCAAATAAAAATCACAGGTACATGTGGAGTATCCGGGGAGACTTTCAATATCCGGGGTGGGACAAATGCGACCTTTTTTTGCACACTGGACATTTGCGCACCTTTTTTTTGCTGGAAAAGGCCTTAGGAAAGGTCGTAGAGCTTCAAAAATGTTTTCATATAAGGGAATCGCATGCGTAGATTCCGAATTTTGACAAATCAGACCTCGCTGACACGTCAAATTTGGGCTAAAAGGCAAAAACTACGCAACTTAACGCTTTACCGCAGTTTTTGCCTTTTAGCCCAAATTTGACGTGTCAGCGAGGTCTGATTTGTCGAAATTAGGAATCTACGCATACGATTCCCTTATGTGGAAATATTTTCGAAGCTCTACGGCCTTGTCTAAGGCCTTTTCCAGCAAAAAAAGGTCGCATTTGTCCCACCCCCTCCAGAGTGGTAAAATTTTAAGATCCGGTGGGATAAAATTTTATATACTTTATATACGACCTCTTTTAAAGATATTCAGCCGCTTAAATTCCCTTCAAATGTAAAGATATTCAATTTATTCGAGGTGATTACGTGATTCGAGGTGATACTCGATCAAAAAACGTAACTTCTACAAAATTTTTTTATGTCATTATTAGAAATGTTGATACTATCCTAGTTGGCGGGTCACTTTTTTTTCTTCAAAACCATTTTTTGGGGTAGTTTTATGTGTTGATATTTGGCCTCCTGGCCTAGAAGTAAATTCGATAGATTTTTACGAGTAGTATTCATTGTCACTGTTGTACTTCACAAATTTATTTAATTCTTATGTTTGGTTTATGTTTATGTTCTTGCATTACTCGTGCATCTTGTTTACCCCGGATCTTAAAATTTTACCCGCCGGATATTGAAAGACCCTCCCGGATACTCCACAAGTACCAAATCACAAATAGACCAAATATCTTATTGTTTTTAGTTACTCTTGCATTTTCTGCACTAACCTTGACTAATAGGCAAGTCTACTTTATTATCTACTTTATTTTAGCCAGGTTTATAGGGCATCAGAAATTGTGTTCAAATCCAAATCAAATCCAAAAATAACGGTTTTTTTGTATTTTCGTTATTTTTTGTATCCAAAAATAACGGTTTCCAGATTACGATAAATTTTTTTTTATAAACAACAACCACAACTTGAAAAATGACAGAAATAAGATCATTGACTCGTATTTTGGTGAGAAAATTCTCTAGAGATATGAAGCTAACAATAAGATAAAGATAAGAACACATATGTACAAATAGAAAACAAGGCTTTTGGAAAAATACGAAACTTTTGAAGAAATCCAAAAGTTTTGATAGATTTTTGGTTAGTTTTTAGTAAAGATCTAGCAAAACTTTCGGATTTCTTCAAAAGCGTCGGATTTTATCCAAGAGCTGAAAACAAATATATAACCAAGATAGATTAAAGATTACGCTTTTTTTTTACTATACTTTCAGAGTACCGCCCCCCAGTGTCCCCTTGCCATTGGAAATCTACGGTATTTTGCCATTTTCTCGATATCTACTGAATCAATTTTTATGATTTTTGTACCATTCGATGCGTAATTTAATTCTCCATTGAATGGTACGAAAATCATAAAAATTGATTCAGTAGATAGCGAGAAAATGGCAAAATACCGTAGATTTCCAATGGCAAGGGGGACACTGGCGGGGGCGCTACTCTGAAAGTATATTTTTTACATAATATGTAAACAAATTTACATAGAAAACAAATATATAGCCAAGATAGATTAAAGATTACGCTTTTTACATCCGAATTAGAGTATGCTTGTCTGTGTGGGTTGCCACGAACGACTCACAACCACGTAGGGAGTCCATCGTAGACTCGAAACGATCAACTCGCGGAATTCCGGGTTGAGAAAAGCATAGAGAAGGGGATTTGCCACACAGGATAACATTGCCAAACTAAAAGTTATTGATTTCTTTTTGAATTTCTTTTGAAGAGCGTACTTTAGTCATCCAAACATACACTGGCGCTTCTGGGCAGTTTGTTTTGTTTGGTTTTGTTTTGTTTTGTTTAGTTTTGTTTTGTTTGGTTTTGTTTTGTTTTGTTTTGTTTGGTTTTGTTTTGTTTTGTTTTGTTTGGTTTTGTTTAGTTTTGTTTTGTTTAGTTTTGTTTTGTTTAGTTTTGTTTTGTTTAATTTAGTTTAATTTAGTTTAGTTTCTGGGTAGGGTGTCTTTTAGTAAGCTAAGCTATTATAAGCTAAGCTTTTTTTATAATATATATGTCGTAGCCGATGAAGGATTTCAGCCGAAGAAGTCTCAGACTTCGGCTAGCCGATTAAGTCTCAAAAATGAAATCTTGAGTTATGTATTGACTCAAGTCAATACCACAAACTCAAGCTCTCTAAAAGGCGCTTAAAAGCTAAAAACGCATTCTAAAGAGTGGGCATTTTATCATACAATAACCAAAGGCTATAAAAGGGCCCTTTTCGTCATTCGTCAAAGGCACGGATTTAATCGATCTTCAATCCGTTTCCGATGGAGAATTCAAGTTTTTGATGGTCTACCAGGATCATTTCACAAAGTTCGTCGTTTTGCGGGCATTGCAAAGGAAAACACAATTTAAAGTTGTCGATCATCTGCAGTTTTCCTGCAGTTTTCTCACTTTCAATCAAAGCAAAAGCGAAGTTTGATTCTTTCAAGCGAGAAATACGCAAGTGTAACTCAAGATTTCATTTTTGAAACTTCATCGGCTACGACGTATAAAACAGCAAAATCAAGAACTGTTTCTAATCCAGATTTCCATCCAAATCAATCCAGATTTCCAACAAAATCTGGATCGATCGTTGATGGATTGATTTTAGAAACAGTTCTTTGTTTTGCTGTTTTATATGTCGTAGCCGATGAAGTCTCAAAAATGAAAGGATAAATGTACAAACTTACAAATGTGTGACCATTGATGCAATGTATTGATAATCGGTGTCACCAACGGTGAGAATCGTTTGATCATGCTCGAGCAACATTGAGACAACATTATGGGGAAGTGAGGTCACGCCGAAGATGGCCACCTGTAATTGTTTAGATGAAGATGGCCGAAGATGGCCACCGGATTGAAATACGATAGTCGATCCGTAAACACTTATTGCTCATGACAAACCATTGAAACAAGAATGATGGTGACGCGTCTCTTCTGCGCGATCACCCGTTTCTTCTGATCGATCAAATGGGATAGCTAAAGTTATAAACTTCTATTTTCCAAAGTTTAATTGCGAATATCCTCGACACTACAAACGTAAACTAAAAACGCTTCTAACTTGCTTTAAATCTAACGCATTGATATGAATTATAGCTCAAAAAATAGAGAATTGCAAGAGCTTTTGAATGAATTAAAGAATAATGAAAAAGATTGATTCTAAAGAAAGTTACAGTGGTTTGTAGTCGAAACGGACCGTTGTAGAAGACTATAAACCACTGTAACTTTCTTTAGAATCAAGCTTTTTCAATGTGCTTTAATTCATTCAAAAGCTCTTGAGATTGGCTATTTTTTGAGCTATAGATCATCTTAATCAAATAGATTTAAAGCAAGTTATAAGCGTTTGTAGTCGAACCAATTGATTCAGGCTATAACTTTCTTTAGAATCAATCTTTTTCATTATTCTTTAATTCATTCAAAAGCTCTTGAAATTCTCTATTTTTTGAGCTATAGTTCATGTCAATGGGTTAGATTTAAAGCAAGTTAGAAGCGTTTGTAATTTGACAGTTTGTAATTTGGCAGTTTGTGATTTGGCAGTTTGACAAAATGACGATTTTTTTAGTTTATCTCTAAAGCTTACTTGTTCTTTATGTTGTTGCGAGTCTCCACCAGCTGTCGCTGCAAGAACATAGAGTAAATTGGCTTGTTGACCGATTGATGTTAAACGATTAGCTGCTCGACGCCGAAGAAAGGCAAATATCTATAAAATTGATTTAATCCTTTACTTGCTTTGAATCTAATTGCTTTGCTTACTTGCTTTAATTTGTAAACGCAATCTTTCTAGCGCACTTAATTCTTCATTTTTCTTCATTTTTCTTCGTTTTTCTTCTTTTTCTATAAGAAAAATTGAAAAATTGAAAAATTGAGAAATTCAGTGCATCAGAAGTGCTCCAGAAGTGCACCAGAAAGGGTTTGTTTATAAAAATCGACTTATAAAATAGCTCACTGAATGATAGCAAATTGTCATAATAGTGAATGGGACGATGAATTGAATAACGAGCACAAAAATCGTATAGTAAATCCGAATCGTCTCTGATGACCATTTCTCCGTACAGAATTGACCACAAATTCCTGGAATTACATTAATTTGACTTCAAGGCTAAGCCAGGCTTTTTATCAAATACTGTAATAGAGTAGAAACTCTAATAGAAACTCTAATACTCTAATAAACTCTAATAAAAAATACCGACTGGGGCTACCAGTGGTGAATTTATTGCATACACGAAATATATCAATCACAATACAACGGCACACACAATACTAGGCTATATCTTAACTTAACCCACGTCATGACAGACGGCTCCCTAACCCTAAGCTCAATGGGGAACTAAATAGCTTTTTTGGTGGTGAAGGGAAGATGACGATGAAGGAGTGGCTTGTCACTTTAAAGAACTGGGGCCACAACCACCAGACTGCTCTCAACTCCAGAAAACCTCTCAACCCGAAGGGAAAGGAAATCCGAAGGGGGTGACCATGTCGCATGTGGGGTTCGAACCCTCGACCTTCCGATTAAGATAAAAGACACTTAACCAGTCAGCCTCACGTGCTCAATAATAAACTCTAATAAACTCTAATAAACTCTAATAAATACTCTAATAAATACTCTAATAGAACGCCACTCTCGTAATATTGCGGTAATGCCAAGGTAATGCCGTAATGCCAAGGTATTGCCGCGTAGTCTAACTTTGAACGCGTGCCATTCTCTTCTACTTTAAGCTGCAATTGCTTTGCTTTGCATTTGCTTTATGGTGTCAAAAGATAACCCATGAAATCTAGTATTTTGTGTAGTTGGGAAAATCTAGAAGCTAAGTAAAAAATGATAACTACTACGCGTTCAACTACGCGTTCAACTACGCGTTCAACTACGCGTTCAACTACGCGTTCAACTACGCGACTGTACGAGGGAGCTATTAGAGTACATTGCTTCAACTAATTACAGAACCACTCTGATTTTTATTTGTAGTTATTTCTCTTTCGTTTTACATTTATTTATAATTCATTGAGCTATTGAGTTATATATAATTTATTGAGTTTACTGATTAAGTTTATTAAGTTATTTTTAAGTAATGACAAGAGGGCCCTCGAGAAGACAGATCCAAGCATATACACTGGAAAGAGTAATCAGGAAATTGCTCGACTTCTGGATCGAAGCTCGAAGAGATCTTATTGACAATTAGGTGGAAGATCGATTGATGAGATCCCTTCAAAGATCGATCGATGTGATCTCTTCGAAGATCGATGAGATCTCTTCGAAGATCGATGAGATCTCTTCGGCAGTTAGATGGAAGATCAATCGATGAGCTCCCTTCAAAGATCGATGAGATCTCATTGACAATTAGATCGAAGATCAATCGATGAGATCCTTTCGAAGATCGAAGAGCTCTCTTCGACAGTTAGATCGAAGATCAATCGATAAGATCCTTTCGACAGTTAGATCAAAGATCAATCAATGAGATCTAGAGCTCTCATCAACAGATATCCAGCTAGATATAGCACTAGAAAATCAACAACACGAACAGGACGATGTCAAGCGATAAAAGACGAATTTGGCAAGCGGCTTCTAACAGCACAAATGTCGCTAAATCGAATTGGGATTGAGAATTTCAAATGGATTTCAAATGGATTCGAAGACTCATTTAGAAAATCGAATTTAACATTTAATGGTGAGATCATTAAGATCATTAACATCTATTGATTAATTTTATTTAAAAAAGCTTAATGCTGAAGCTATTTGGTTTGTCATTTAACTTGTTTAGTTTTTATTTTTTTAAGTTTTTCTTTTCAGTTTTAAAGTAGCTCTATAATTAGCTCAGTATTAAAAAAAACGAACGATCGTACGAGTGTAGACTCATATGATAAGCATACGGTATCGTGCAACCAGTCGACCACCACCAAAGAGATACCGTAATCCGTAGGGCATCCTGTTTACGCAATGGTCTACCTAAAGATTTCATTGTTAAGTTCACTTCACTGTTCTTTTGTTCTTTTGTTCTTTTGTTCTTTTTGTGATTTATCTCTCTGGAACTCACCCGGTGCACCGACTAGACGAAAGTATCGATCGACAGCAATAGCGCACAGGAAAAACGTGCCAATAAAAACGCCAATCGCTTGCATTGCGCCGAAAATTTTGCACAAAACTTCACCGAAATACCTAAATGATTTATTTCACTTCTAGAATTTTCTAGAATGCTCTAAAACCAACCATTGCTTGAAAATATGCGTCACTGGAGTCAATGGGATTGACAGAATGCACAAAATCACATCCGCAACGGCCAAATTGACGATAAAGATATTCTGCACGGTTTGCAAGCTTCGATATCGCAAAGTAGCGACTGAAAGATGGTGATGGTTTAGAGATTGATGAGGATTTGATGAATTTGATGAGGATTTGATGAATTTGATGACAATTTGATAAGAATTCGATGAATTTGATGAGAAATTGATGAATTTGATGAGGTTTTGATAGAATTTGATGAGAATTCTATGAGAATTCGATGAATTCGATAAGAATTTGATGAATTCGATGAACTATCAAAATCTATTTTATGCTCAAGTCAAGCTCAGCTAAAGAAAACGCATTGTATTCTTCTTGAGCTGAAGCTACTCTAGAAAGAATGCGTTTAGAAGTACAGCAATAGAACTAATTCTAGATCAAAAAGTACACCAATAGAACTAATTCTAGAATTCTTCGACTTCTTAGACTGGCAGCTTAGCTGACAGCTTAGCTGACAATGGCTTAGCTTAGCTTAGCTGGCAGCTTAGCTGACAATGACTTAGCTTAGCTGACAGCTTAGCTGACAATGGCTTAGCTTAGCTTAGCTGGCAGCTTAGCTGACACCTTAGCTGACAATGGCTTAGCTTAGCTTAGCTGACAGCTTAGCTCAAATCAAAACCTAACTCACCAATCACTCCGAGATTCCCGACAAGACCAAGAACGAAAACGAATGAGTAAAGAACGATGCAAGCGGCCACGCTCAGCGGATGAGTGGTCGGATCCGACCGAACATCTAGAAATTCATTTTATATTATAAAAACATTAAATATTCTTGGAATTATAAAATTAAAATATCCTTGATGTTGGAAAAATAATTTCTTTTAAATCTTTCCCATAGAATTTTTTTTGTTAACAAGTGTTTTCTAAAGTGTGGACCTTCTACCGTACCCCTATTTGTCTGCCATTTCAAAGAATTTTTTCATTTTGATCAAAATCATTGTCGACTTTTGTTTTTTGTCTTTTTTTTCTTTTCTTTTTGTTTCTTTTATGTTTCTTTTGTTTTTCTTTTGTTTTTCTTTTGTTTTCTTTTGTTTTTCTTTTCTTTTTCTTTTGTTTTTGGGAGTGGGACAAATGCGACCTTTTTTTTGCGCACCCGGACATTTGCGCACCTTTTTTTCCGTACTTAGACCATTAGCGCACCTTTTTTCGCGTTTTAAAAAGCTCTAAAAGCTAATATTAACCAATTTCTATTCCAAAAGTTGTTTTTCTAGGTAATTTTAGGGCGTAGAATCGAAATTTTGGCACAGAGAAGTTAAGTGCAAATTGATGTAATTGTTGCAAGTTTTGAGTGCTCCCCTAAACTCCCATAGCACCCAAAAAAGTAAAATGGATCATTTCAAGGCGCTTTCCCACCACAAAATACGCAAAAAAACTTTAGAAAAATATAGATAAGTGCTTATTAAAGAGTCGATAAGTGTTGCTATTCTACTAACTTCTTCCGCAGAACCATTTATAGATTCATAGAAACTAAGAAACCCTCAAGATAACAGTAAAAGCACGTTATTGTAGCGCTTGAGATTGTTTCAATCCAAATCTCACACAAAGATATTAAATTTTGAATCAAACTTTTGTACAACTTTACGAACCAATCCACGGGAGACACTCAGGTGCAATCTCGTCGAGCATTTCGCTATCCGATAGTTCATCCATTCAATTCTTGTTTCTCTCTAAAAGAAACGGCTTATATTTAGAAAAGAAAGCTTTGTAGAGATAAGGAACCAAATTTAGAGAGATAAGGAAACAACTAAGCCAAATAATGCGCGTTTGCAAGAGCTCACGTATACAAGAATAGACGAAAACACTAGACGAGGAAACGAAGAAAAAAATTTGATCAAGTTTGAAGGAATTTTTCGTTGATTAGAGTACTCAAAAAGTTCAAAGGGTTTTGAAAAAAAAAGGGAAAAAGAGAATTCAGATGGGTGAGTTTGAAGTGGAAGAGTAGAGGGGGAAGGGGAACGGCTCAACGACATAAATTGCTGCCCATCCTCCTCTTCCCCTCATTTCCACAAAGCACACATCCATGTGCACAAGTCGATTCAAATAAAAACTCACCCATCTAGACTTAATTGGTTTCTCGGTTTGTTTTTGAAATTAGAAGAAGAAGAAAAACGACTTTTCTAGCCGCTAGAAAATTAAATTTCTTGAGTTTTAAGCTCTTTTTATAGCCTTTAAATTATCACAATTGAGAATCAGTTTTGGAATTGAATTTGATTCGAGATTATTGATTAGAGGTATTTCTCTAAAAACTTTCTAGTCTTTCCAAAGCTATAGGCTTTACGAAAGACTCGACTTCTGGTTTAGGCTTAATAGACGCTATTTTTTCAATTTATTTACCATATTTCTTCGAATAGAAGACCGGGCAAAGAGTATGATCGCGTACTCCTGCGTAGCAGCCCTTTTTAAAAATTTCTTTTCTGTATAAAAGCTTTCAATGAAGTGCTATAGGGCTGGGAAATGACTCAAAAATACCACATGAGCTAACAGATTTTTGAGCCATTTTTCACCTCTATAGCACTTGATTGAAAGCTTTTATGCAGAAAAGAAATTTTAAATGCTACGCAGGAGTACGCGATGATACTCTTTACCCGGTTTTCTATTCGAAGAAATACGGTATTTAATTTCAAAAAGAAATCTGGCTATTTAAAAGAAAAAATTGAGACCAAAAGACAAAAGAAACTTTTGAAAAAAAAAGAAAAAAAATCATTCTCATTACGGAGTCAAATTACAAGTGAAAAGAAAAGAAAAGCAAAAAGAAAAACCCCCAAATTGAAGGCTGACTTTTGATTTTGCATGTGGAATGGATAAAGATTGAGAAGGGAAATGCATTCGGCTGAAATGAATTGATGCAGGGAAAAGTTGGGGATTCAATTTGCTCTTCCACAATTCAACTTCGCTTCACATCACTCACTTTTTGAGATACACCATTGACCAACTGGTGTTAGTGCATCCCTAAAAACTATAGTGTTTCCCCGTGCCTACTAATAAGCCTGAGTATAACTGTAGCCTGGCATCTGTGAATGTCAATAAGCAGCCTTGAATCTGGCATCACTCTGACCTGGTTCGGATAGTAGAACCAAAGCTAGAAAAGTAGAACCAAAGCTGGTCTTGGTCTGAGCGTATCTACCTGATCTGGACAGCACAAATAGAAGAGTACAAGTAGAACAAGACCTACAAGTAGAACTAGAGTTCATCTGGCCCACCAAACTATTTATCCCTTCCCTATTTACCAACTAGTCAGCATTTCTTGAAAAATGCAAAAGAAAGATCCAAAGCTAGAGTCGAACTTATGAGGTCTCGCTCTGGAAACGAGAGCTCTACCACTCGGCCAGGGTTGCATCGAAAGGGTTTGGCAAGAAGACCGTTAAAGAGGCCGAAGACCCAAATCAGCTCAGAGCTAAGACCTAAGAGCGCTGAGTGAACATTCTGATGAGAGATTTTCAGAGCTCTAACAAAACTTTAGACGCTTAAAACTCTTGACAGATTGTCATTTAACAAAAACCGAATATATATTCGAAATCAGCATCAAATTCTGCGTTGAATGGTATAGATCGCATAGCATTTAGCTCAGCGAGTTGAGCTTTTCTTGCGAATATTCTAATGCTAACAATGCTAATATAAAGCTAACATAAGTTGACTAAATCTAGCCTTCTTTTGTAGCCAGAGTAGCTAGAGCTTCTTTTGTAGCTTTGTTGTCGGAGTTCGAATTAGTGATTCGTTTTTATATCTTTATTCAAAGAGCTATAAGTGTATCAGAGTTGGCGGCAAAAAAAAAGTTAAAATTAAAAATTTTACGGTTCCAATACGGTTCTTTTTTTGATCTAATATGGTTCCAATACGTTCCCAATACGTTTCCAATAAGGTTCCAATACGTTTCCAATACGTTTCCAATACGGTTCCTTTTTTGATCTAATATGGTTCCAATACGTTTCCAATACGTTTCCAATACGGTTCCAATACGGTTCTTTTTTTATATCTTTATTCAAAGAGCTATAAGTGTATCAGAGTTGGCGGCAAAAAAAAAGTTTTTGCAGTAAGCCTTGTAGCTGTTGCTGTTGAATGGAAAAGAAATTTAGGCTCTAAACAACTACCGTAAGCCTCATTGACAGCTAATAACTCTTTAAATAAAGACTTCAAATAAAGACCTAAAATAAAGACTCAAATAAAGTATTCATTTGAATAGCTAAATTGGAGTTTTTCTTTTTATTTCAAATGATGGATGAGCTCCGTTTAAATGAATTACTTTTTCAGAGAAAGAAAAGAAATTTTTTTGATGAAAATTAGGGAAATTTCAATTGAATTCCGATGATATCATGGAAAAATGAAGAAAGTTTTTTGTTTATTTGTGTACTTTCTTAAGTTTGAATGTGTAAAAGCATTCTTTCTGATGCATTGAATGACCGATTCTTCTTGCAGCAAGAAAAACGAGGAATGTGAAATGCAGAAAGGATGCTTTTACAAGTTACCGTATTTTCTCTAATAGTAGTATTTAAGCTTAATACACATGAATTCATACAAATAAACACGAAAAGGGCCGATAAAAAGCAACACGATATAATATCTTTGCTGCCCATATATATGTAATATATGAGTAGCACAGATAACATAGATAACATAGATAACAAAGATCCACTAGAGCTTCAAGAGCATCTACAGATAATTTAAAGGTTTCGAGACTATTGGACTCTCTCAAAACTCTGGGGAGTCTGGCAAAGTCCAAATTCTGGCAGTTCTTATTGGAAAAGAGTTATACAGTTATAGTTATAAATTTTAAAAAGTAAAAGAAGTAAAAGAAGTAAAAGAAGCAAAAGAAAAACAATAGAAAAACAATAGAAAAACAATAGAAAAACAAAAGAAACATAAAAGAAACAAAAAAGAAAAAAAAGAGACACAAAAAACAAAGGTCGAAAATGATTTTGATCAAAATGAAAAAATTCTGTGAAATGGCAGACAAATAGGGGTACGGTAGAAGGTCCACACTTTAGAAAACATTTGTTAACAAAAAATCAACCTTCGACCAACTTTAAACTCCTCGTTCTCAACCCCATTTTAAGATATTTTTATGTGTAATATACCAAAATATAGAAGACATTAAGGGCTATCTTTTGGTATACTATACATAAAAATATCTTAAAATGGAGTTGAGAACGAGGGGGTTAAAGTTTGTCGAGAGGGAGGAGGAAATACGGTAAGCACCCCAGCTTTGATCGTCTATAACTTTGCCTAGAGCTAATATTATTTTTATCTTTTTTTTATCTTTTTATAGAAGACATTAAGGGCTATCTTTCCGTATATAAAACATAAAAATTTCTCAAAATTGAGCTGAGAACGAGGGGTTTAAAGTTGGTCGAAGGGTTATGGATGAGGGTCAACTTTAGACACCTCGTTCTCAATCCCATTCTAAGATATTTTTATGTTTTATATACCAAAAGATAGCCCTTAATTTCTTCTATCTTTTGGTATATTAAACATAAAAATATCTCAAAATTGCGCTGAGAACGAGGCGTCTAAAGTTGACCCTCGTCCTCGACCCCTCAACTTTAGACTTCTCGTTTGCTCGAAATTCCTCGAAATCTCGAGAACCGCTTATCAGAATCTATTGATGTGGGATCGGAAAATGTAGCTGACGATGAGATCTAGCATGGGGATTTGAGTGTTGAGCTTCTGGGAAAACTTTGGAAGCCGTAAATAGTCATCAACTCGGCGGGGTGCACTATTAGAGAAAATACGGTAATACATAGTTAAAAGTACATAAAAACCAATGAAGCAAATGTGCTTTAAAACGACAATAGAAATAGGAAATAGAGAAGCAAGAAGAACAAGAAGAATCAAGAACTAGTTTGTTAAAAGCATTTGTTCATTTACTTCAAAAAAAAAAACTTTAATCAACTTTCCAAGTAATATATGAAAATGTCAAGAACAGAAAAGAATAGAAAAGAAAAGAAAAAAAAGGAAAAAAAGAAAAAGGAATACTTAGAAAGGGAAATGGACATCCATTTCAACCTTTTTTTCCTTCTTTATTTTACTCATTCTAAACCCATTGAAGCTGGAAGATAGACAGCGAGGCGCTGAAAAATAATTATCTTTGCGACACTTGACGAATTGAATCGAATGTAGAGAGAAATGGGGTGAGGGGGAAAGCTCGGGAAAGCTTGGGGAAAGCTCGGGAAAGCTCGGGGAAAGCTTGGGAAAGCTTGGGGAAAGCTCGGGAAAGCTGGGGAAAGCTCGGGAAAGCTGGGGAAAGCTCGGGAAAGCTTGGGAAAGCTTGGGAAAGCCTGGGGAAAGCTTGGGAAAGCTGGGGAAAGCTTGGGAAAGCTGGGGAAAGCTCGGGAAAGCTCGGGAAAGCTTGGGAAAGCTTGGGAAAGCTTGGGAAAGCTTGGGAAAGCTTGGGAAAGCCTGGGAAAGCTTGGGAGAGCCTGGGAAAGCTTGGGAGAGCCCGGGTAAGCTTGGGAAAGCTTGGGAAAGCTCGGGAAAGCTTGGGAATTTATCGTCGTCTATTGAGTCTACTACAGTAATCTATTGGACATTTAAAAGTGACCATAATGCCTGAATAAGAAAAGTTGTCTATCGTATGGCAAAAGTAATCTAAAGAATCTAAAGAAAGTGATCTTAGTGAGCTGATCTTAGATCTTAGAATGACAGAGTTCTATGCTAGTTGCAGATCTCTAAATTTCTACCCAAAATTTCTACCAAAAAATTTCTATGAAAATTTCCACCCAAAAATTTTTTTTCGGGTAACGAATACGAATCCGGTTCTAGTTTTCAACTAAAGAAACCACCCGGAAATAGTAGTAGCGCGTACTTTAGCTAGAAAATAGGTTAGAATAAAGTCTAAAGCATGGATCCGGCGGTGGGAAAACTGAATACAATCGAAATAATTACGAAATCCCCACGTAAACACTATACAGTCAAACTTCGATACAATGAATTTGAAAGTCAAAAAAAACGTGTACAAAATTTCTGCGTAGCTGCCCCCACCCAAATGCAATCACTCGCCATTTCTGCGTAGCTGCCCCACCCAAATGCGATCACTCACCATTTCTGCGTAGCTGCCCCACCCAAATGCAATCACTAAAAATAGCTTTTGTCTCTTGTTAGCTGTGAGTGGACTGTGGAAAAAAAATCCACATTGTTGCGAAGGACACATCAGTATTATATCATCAATGGACGATTACCCCGACGTCAAACTTGTAGAAAAACCTTTCGAAACCATATGAACATTGACTTTTTGATGTCCCAATAAAGAGCTCGATTTATTGTATAGGTTTGCATAATAAAGCTTTATTAGCGAACGAAAAAAATCATTATATCATATTTATACCCGTATTCTGGAAAAGTTGAGTAGAAAAAGCGTGCTGTAAGTATAAATGTTTAATAGGAAGCACCTAATTTCAAAAAACACTGAGGAATAGACTTTCAGAAAGGTCGGTAAAAATGGCATCATTTGGCTTTTATCTGATAGTGAAAAAAATGACTAGGAAAAGGTTAGTTGGGCTACTCCTTCGTACAAAGGTAAACGATATACCTAAAATGCTGACAAGTAAATAGCCAGAACCCGAGGAAATTAATCACATAAGAAAAATGCGACAAGAAAAATTGAGAGGATAGGAGAGGGGGTTATTCGGTCTAAAAAGTATCCCTGTGGATGCTTTTTAGATAAAATGAAACATACTGATGAGATACAAATTTGGTGAAGAAGTGGCATGCATTGTGCGGCCGAGTATGCACGTAGATCAGCATCGAGGGAAACCTTCTTTTGCGAGTTGTGCACGACTTTCTTTCTCTCGCATATCAACCAATATGCGAGTGTAGAGGGAATAACGATCTACCTATACCAACAATGGATAATCTTACAAATTTTATTTCCCACCTGTATCAAGTCGTAATTTAAATCTGCTAATCCATCTTTATGCCATCGGATCCTCGTTTTTGCCATTAGTTTGTGTCGGCAACTAAAAAACAGATTTTGAATATGTCCACTTACTTCAACATTTTATTTGTAAAAATTTTGTTTTGGCTAGATAAAGTCGAAAAACTCACGGATTGACTGGATTCGACTTTTTCTCCTCGTTGTGCTTGATCATCTTGTATCGTGCAATTGCTTTTGGGTACCTCGAAATCTTGTAGCCAGAGTAAACGACCCTAAATTTTACAGTACAATAAATATCTAGTCTGATAGCTAGTCTGATAGTCTAAACATCAGTAAGGTAATTTTGAAAACATTAAAAGACCGTACCTACTACTCATATCGTCATCCTCTCCACCCCAACCCCAGTAGCTGTTCGAGAAGCCATTCATTTTTTGCATGTGTTCTTTCGTTAACCCTGAGATTCCGCCAAATATTGAGCGATAGGGTAATCTAAAATTGAATATATTTGAGTAAACACAGTGATACTAACGAATATCCAAATTTATCGATCGCCACACTCATGTGTCGAGGTTGTTGTGGACATGAGTAGAGATTTCGATCGTCTTCCGGCATCAGATCCACATCGTGAAAGATGAAACACGTCCATGGATATAACTAAAAAAAATAGATAATTATCCGATTCATAAAACTCAATTTTTTTAAATTTTGTATGCATTATTGCCGATTTTCCCAATAAATGATTCTGTCATTTTGCTCAACTTTGTTTTATGAAATCAATCAACGAATTTTAAGGAATTAACCCTAAGTGCTTCCACATATCCAATGTTCATCAATTTTGCTCGGTTGAAAGTGTTGTTGGCTAACGGCTCTGAAATTTCAAACTTGGGTTGAAAAATTAGATAGCCCACTCACCCACGGCAAAAATTGCAAAATCGATTTGTTGTTTTTGAAGCAGATCAATCAGATTGTGAAGCAAAATTCTAGAATGAAAGTTGAAAGAAATGTCGAAACGTGCAAATTACTTTAAATGTGGTAGTCGATCCCGGAAAGGCACAATAATCGCTACTCTGTGACGGGCAAAGCATTTGCTCGGTGTTCCATGCCCTCCTTTCTGGAAACAAAACACAACTAATTTGATAGAAAAGATTATACTTACTTCCAAGTTGTTGAAAATTTTCTCCATATCCTCAATCTTTGGTTCGTCCATGTAAACACGAATTGGTCCAACGAGATCTAAACATTAATTTTCTCTCGAAAAAATAAAGAGATATTTAAATGAGTTCTGTCTGTGATTATCCAACTAGGTTACTTTACACTCCTTTTTTTGACTTCTCATCGTAATGATTCAATTTTATAACTTTGTGAAATAAAAAGTTACTTGGAGGATGAGGTGGGCAATAAGGGAGTGACGACAGCTGAGGCGTAAACATATTCGGGTTGTGAACGATCGCCGTCAGATTGGCATCGAAAGTCGAATTTTCGCTTGCTAAATTTTAACAGATATAATGTGCCCAACTTTAAATGCCAAGTCATAGCTTTGGCAAGACAATTGAAGAGTAAGATTTACCATTGTCTAGAAGTTGTGCCCCTCGATCGACATTCGGCTTCATTGTGTTCGTAAAGACGAGATCTTCATCACCCGGGCCGACTTGTGGAGGGTCTTCATAACTAAAAATAAAAAGATCATTCTTTACGAAAATAAATGATTTTTAAAGTTTTACATAACTTTAAAATATTGGTTAAGGAAAAATGATAGTATTATCAAAAAATGATTATTTTAAAAAATTATTATTATACAACTGTTACTTACTCGGATGAGATGGCAAACGGATTGGCATCTGGGCAGTATGAGATGATCCAATGCACCGTAGCCAATCCACAAAGCAGCGCGAGAAGCGCGCGAGTTCGAAAATTCATTGCATGCCTGAAATTTTAAAAATTAATTACTAAAAAATTAGCTGAAAGTCCGAAAATAAAAAGTCCATGGAATGCGACAAAAAAAACAATCAATTTTTTGATTCATTCGTCTGAAATTCGCCAAGTTTCCAGACAAAACATTGACGTTTTCAGTTAGAGGGAAAAATCTTGACGCTTTTGATGTCTTCCCTTTAATAATAAAGTATCAAAAAAATCAAAGAAAGGCTATAAATAATCTGGTAAACGCTTATCAATGATCGTTTCTTCAAAATGGAAATCTAAATTGAGGAAACCCTAGAGAGCCAAAAAAAGTCAAAGTAGGTCCAATCCAGTCTAATCCGTGAAATTAAATGGGATTTTCAAAAATTCTCTTGGAAGCCAATTTCACTGATTCAATGAACTTTGAATTAACCAAAATTCGAGGGTGGTGTTTGGGGTACTTTGCCTTGCAGTGAATGAATAACTTGAGTTCAGTTGTGAGAGAGATAGGTACTTTAGTATTTGAGACAATTCAAGACAAAGAATATTCAAGACAATTAATGTCTTGAATGATTTGAAATTGCAGACGCAGAATATTGCTGCGAGAAAAGTCGTGGCTGTAAAGAAAGGGAATTAATAGTCGGAGAAAAAAAAAGGAGTTTACGTTGAATACAAAACACGCGTCCATTCGAAAATTGGGAATGATGATTTCAAGGTGGAACATAATAACGTAAGAGGGATGGGCGTGAAGAGATTGGTGATGGACCGATCGACACACGCAACGACAAAGCGAGTTCCCCACCTATGAGTGTGCATCCCTGGTGACGGCCCCTAGTCACCCATGCAAAGAGAGAAAGAGGAAAAAAAAAATTTGCGAAAAACGAGAGCCATTCCCACCCCGTCCGCTTTCCCATACACACAAAACATGATGTGCGAAAAGCCGGCGCGAATTTGCTAATTGAATTGCGCTTCTATGTAATTGTGGGCATTCTTTTTGACGAGATGATAATCTTGTATCGATTCGGCACTTTTGAAATTATTCTGTTACTTGTGCTATGCTTAAGCTTAATTCTAATCAATCAAAAACCTTACCCAACTAAAGCACTAATTGCTGGTACTTACATATCCGTTTATTTCTTAAACCATATAAAATCTTTGTCACAATCTAAAAAGCTTGATTTACATTTCATTTTTGGTTTGAGTGGGGGTAAACAGCAGAGGAGTGCCGATGATGTTCAACCAAAAACAATACTGAAAAATGAGACGATAAATACAGGTTGCAAATCCCCACTAGAACTATCCGTCTCATGTAATGACGGAAATCGATCATTTTTGCAACCAGGAAATATGAGAAACATGAAAATGTTAGTGGGATATTATTGCAAGTGAGAGAGGCAAAACGGGCAGAGAGCATTGTTTATAAAGAGTGAAAGGAGAAACTTTCCTTTTCGTGTTGAGGTCATTTCCCACAAAAAGTTCAATTGTTCTAAAGTTCACCAATACAATAGCATTTGGGCTTCCCAAAACCCTTATTTTATAAACTCAGCACACTGGTTTAAAAGATTTATTTTGAAAGTTTAACCGATATTATGCATAAGTGAAATAATTTGAAATGCACAAACTGGGAATCATCAACACATGGCTAATAAAGCTGAGAACCAAAAAGACTAGGGTACTCACACAAAAAAAAATATCACAGCTTAAAAGAGTAAATAAATCAAGGAGTTTTGTTTTTGCGAAAGATTTGCGCTTGGAAATAGAATGGACAATCACATATAAAAGAGAAAAAAATTTAATACTCAAGCTAACAACTTAAGCATTAAATTTTTATTACTTATCAAAGCGATGGCTAAAAATAGACAAATGACCATTTTAAAAGTTAAATCTTTGGTTTAATCCCGGAAAATTCACAATTAGGGATAGGTGTAGATATATTTACAATCATAATTATTATCAAGAAACTACGCTTGTCCACTTACAATAAAACAATCTTCGGTTTGCATTTGTCAATCTTTGGGATCAGTTGAGTAAACGGCGAAAGTGACTGGCTTTGATTTGAATTGACTCCGCGTAGACCCTAAAAATATTACTGTAACATGGACAACTTTTCAAACAAAACAAAATCTTAGAATCTACTCACCTTTAATCTTGATACGAGCCCGACGAGGTGGCTATCAGATTCCGAGGTGCGCATGTCAGCCTAAATCTAAAGGTTAAAGATACTAAAACTGATGCCTACCTGCGGAATCTGTTCATCCATGAAAACAACGGAAGACGGTCGGTGCTCATGTTCAACATCCGGTGTTAACAAATCAGGGATTTTTGTCTACGATACCCTTTTTATCAGACAACAGAATTGAAAACCAACCCTCTCATTGTTGTTTGACTTTTCCGCATTTGTTGGCTGCGATTTGGAGAAACGAACCTTGCCAAGCATCGAGAACATCTGCGCGATTTTCCTATAAAAAACAAAGGTCTTTTTGATGTCACGTAACAACTACTTTTTAGCTCCTTCTTCACCAGTAGTGATGCGTTGGGGAAAGGTAATCTCGGTCGTTCTGTTTAGCACCATATCCATCGTGACTTTGAGTTGCTCGGCGATCGATTGAATATACTCGTCCGCTTCGTCATTATTCTAAAGTTTAAATTTGGTTTTGTTAATGGATTAACTTATCTACCTTAATCCGAATAGGCACATTGCTAAATAGACGAGTTTCGCCGGCTCGAAATACCCAACTGCCTTGTGATGAGACGACGCGCACATGAATTCGCGAAGTTCTCGACGTTCGTCCAATCTAAACAATAACTTTATTTGGTTAAAATTCTAGCAACCCCAACTAAACTTTAATCATATATTGCAAACCTCAATTGCATTAATTTCTTCCAACGGAACAATTTTCACTTCAAGCAGTTTCTCGGCATCATCATCATAGAAAGCCACATATAAAGATATCCTAAATCGTTGCTTTATAATTAAGAGCTGAATAAACGACCTAGTGAGAAGCAGAACTGAATCGCATTGAGATGTCGAATTTCGAGCGTCAACCAAAGCCCATCCACCAATCAAAATCTAAATGAAAAATTTTGCAAAACTAGCAAGTTTTCTCTCCAAACCTCGTTTTCTGGCAACAAAAAATGCGCAGTTTCTAAAACAAGTCGACCAACGTTCGCATCTTCATCTGACTCGTCTTCAATTTCGTCGATTTGTTTGGGAACTGAAACTTGAAATTCTAGCATTTTCATAGTACAAAAGGATTACTTTCTTCTTCTACGCCTAAAAGTGCATTCATTGCCTTTTGTCGTCTTGCATCTCTCATATGAGAAAGATAATATCTAAACTTGAGAATTGGTTATAATCAATAAACTCTAACCTTGATGCACTGTTGTAGCCGTCTTTCATAATTCCAGTTATTTTACGCTCTCCATAGCGCGTCATATCGCCTTTTAGTGCTGCTGTTCCCGCATACTAAAAATTCAATGCAAAAAGCGCGCCATAAATCACAAACTTGAGTACTAATGCTATCTCCGTTATCTGCCCAAAGCAGTTGCAGTGCTGAGACGAGACTGTCCGGTGGGTCGTTTAAAGGACCAAAGAGCCCAAGCCTCCGAGCTTGCCCAAAACAAACCATTTGTGAAATGGAACCCTAAATCCGAAATGAAATTTAATTTAAGTTAGCACTACTTGAACAACGTTCGTCCTATCGAGACAATCAACGCAGTTCGTGCGAACAATCCCCTTTTGCTTGCGAACAATTTCACCCATTTTGTCGATCCAACAAAAGCCGATTTCTTTCAAAGAGGGTTCCAATGCAGCCACCAGATCCAATACCTGAACAATTGTGTGGTTATACCATCGTTGTCTATTTTTTAAAAATGACATACCTTATCAAAGTTCAATCCCCTGCAATGATGATGGAAGTCAAACGAAAAGAACTCTACATTCTCCGAATCTTGAGCGATAACATGCTAATTTCATAATAACTAGCGAAAAAATAGTTTATAAACTTCTAGAAAACTTGTGCCTAATTTCAGCTCGCGACCACTTTGATTGACAAGATTGACCATACAAATTGGATTTCCGTAGTCATTTGTGAGGCGATGTACGTGTTTTTCAAAGTAAAGCAACGAGTCCTCCATAGTTCGGGCTAAAAGAGGTGAATTCTAGAAAAAAAACCAAGAAAATACTCACTTATCGTTAGTGGCGGGCGGTAATGAAGGCCTTGTTGTGACCAGAACAATGGAATGCTTCCTCTAATCTAAAAGTTTAAAAATATCTAGGTAGGTAATTGGATTTTAAAAGATACTTGAATGAATGACACATGGTGTCCAAATATATTAAGAAGGAGTTCTGATTCGACAAAGTTAGCGACGTAGCCATCGTCATCAATTCCTCTAAAACAATGCATGTATTTAGTCGGAAATTCTAACTAGCCCTAAGCTATTGATTTTTCTACATACCTTCGCAAGTAACGAGCTCCGGCTCGGTGTACTGAGCGTCTTGATATAAGTGTTAAGCACAGAGGCGGTATTGAAGATTTGTCGCAGTCCTCGAGATACAATTCTTTGTTTTGGATGAATCCTTGAACAATTGGTATTATCCTAAACTCGAGTTCGAGAATTAAGCTTTTTTTCTTACCATTCTCTATGTCGGACATCAATGAATTCACTCCGCAACAGGTCGTTCAATAAATTTTTATTCCAAAAGAATCTTTCGTCCGGCACATTCACTCCCTCAAAATGCCTAAAACTCGAAATTAATTATTTCAAATACAAAAAACCTTTGAGTCGAATGAGTAATATCGCGTTCGTGGCAATAATAAAAATCGGGAACATCGTTGAACAATCGTAGAATCTCGTCAAGCAAATCTGGAGTTGATCCTAAACTCTTTCAGTTCAAAAATTTCCTTCATTTTGCTCTTTCCTTTAAGGCAAACCTGGAATTTTATTGGTGACAAATTTCATAAACGCCTTTTGTCCCAGCTTGAACTTGTTTGCTGCCTAAAATTTGAGTTTATCAAAACTCGTTAGATGAGCCACCTGGGTCGCTACGTTTCCAACCGGATGTCCTTGGCGTGAATTGGGAGGCGTTTTGTTTTCCGTAATAAACCCCGAAAATTGATCGTCTTCAATTAACGGCAAAGCCCGTACACGGTCCACTCGATAGATGGGAAACGACTCCTAAAACTTGAATCATAAAACATTAGCGAATGATCCAAAAGAGTTCTAATATTTGTATACTTTAATATTGCACCGCATTCATAAGCTAGCTTACATTTTTATCATAAAATCGCGCAACCACCGAAGCCTCCGATACATAAAGCACGTAGAAATGTCCTTCGATCTCGATTTTCCCCAAAATATCGCACACCTCGCCCGCTTCGACGCCCAGCGCTAACACACAGGAAGCAAATTCTAAAAATTTAGTAATTTTAGGCGTAGCAGAGTTAGAAGTAGAATTACGGATACAACAACCCGTTCATAAAAGCCAAGAAAATCTTTCTTACCTCGGTCATCTTTTGCCAGAGTCGATAATTTCTTCGTCTTCTTGCAAATCTTCAGCACTGAGTATTGTCCCTCAACGTAAAGCGCCGATTTCGTCGAGAAACACTTCTTGCGCGTTTTCTCCATCATCTCGGGTACATTTGAATATATAATAGTTTGTCTTCAGCACTGAAGAACTGTCTTAAGCTGTTTTAAGCGTGAAAAATTTAGTAGTCGTGATAAAGAAATGGCAAAAAGAGCGATGGGTAAAAAGGGGTGTGACACATTCTCCGAACGCTATCGGGTCCAAACTACACCATCCCAGCTGCCAAAAGAGAGAGAAAAAGACCGTGTTGGCTTATTCGAAAAATTTCAAGGCTGGCATTAAAAGACAAGTAATTTGAGTTAAAAAAAAAGGTTTTTCACAAAAGTTCAGACTAAATTCCTTAAAAATAGCTAAAAATGCTTTAGACTTTATTTTAACTTTTAAGTACCCTAAAGTCTCGAGTATAAGTTCATCCGAGTATAAGTTCTGCCTTAATTTACATTCGCTTTAATTGCTTTGAATTTCTTTTTGTTGGGTTTTTATACATTTTTATTGTTATATAAACTTTTATTATTGTTCTTGGAGCGCGGGATACTACAGGGTGACAGGCTATCACCATTGCTATTTGTTATGTGCATGGATACATCCAGACGATAGTGTTGAAGAAGACGCTGGAAAGCATCTCTTTCGACCGTCGACGTGGACTTTGGCCGGATGAAGAGGCCAGGGAGGGATCCATAAGACTGAGCACCGGAGGAGCAGGGCGGACGCGCCGAGCCACACCCGGAGCAACAAATAACAGCATAAAATTGCTATAACCCTCAATAAATTTACTTCTATTATTGTTCTTAAAAAGCAAAAAAGTTATGCTGCAGCGGGGTTCGAACCCTCGACACACCGCACCGGAGACAGCCGTCAATTTGCATGCGAAAACCAAACAGAACTTATACTCGCGACTTTAGGTAATTAAGGAATTCAAGTGTAACCTTTAAAAGAAATCTCTAAAGTTTCCATTTTTGATTAGCTAGTCAAAAATCAAATATTATATATACTTTTTAAGCGATTAAAGATATTCAGTCGACGAGCATTATAGATTAAATTGTTATTAGAATTAAGATATTCAAGTGAAAAGTTGTTTATAAAAAATTCGATTTCGAAAGATTATTTTTCATTGTTGTTTCTTGGTTTCCTTATGCTTTCTTTGATAAGTACAATTTTTCAATTTTAGATCTGATCGTTAGAACAAAGAAGCGACACAAATATGACAGCGGCTGACATCAAGGTAAACTTTTGATGAAAACTGTTTAACTTTTTCAAAATGTCCCATTCTTGATCTAAAAGTCGCTTACCTATTTCATTTTAGATTGTTCCGCTTGGAGCTGGACAAGATGTTGGGCGTAGCTGCATTCTCGTTTCGATTGGTGGCCGAAACGTGATGCTCGACTGCGGAATGCATATGGGATATCAGGACAAACGCCGTTTTCCCGATTTCAGGTTCATTTTTTCACTCACTAAAAGAATTCTACACAGTAAAGCTGACCTATTTGTTTAGTTACATTTCCGGAGGTGGACGTTTGACGAATTACCTTAGCTGTGTGATCATCTCTCATTTTCATCTTGATCACTGCGGGTCTCTGCCACATATGAGTGAAGTGAGGTTAATTTTTTTTTTTTCACTTGGATTTATAGGTGGTCGGTTATGATGGACCCATTTATATGACCTATCCGACAAAAGCTATCGCGCCTACACTCTTGGTATGTTTTGAATTACAATTTACATCGCTAAATCTTTAGGAAGATTATCGCAAAGTGCAAACGGAATTTAAAGGGGATAGGGATTTCTTCACTTCACAGATGATCAAGCAATGTATGAAAAAGGTTGGAAAATTGAATATTGAGATGTAAGATTAGTTCTAGGTAATCCCTGTTAATCTTCACGAGACGATCTATGTTGATGATGAACTATCGATTCGGGCATTTTACGCTGGACATGTGCTTGGAGCTGCCATGTTTGAAGTTAGAGTGGGAAATCAATCGATTTTGTATACAGGTAAATTTTGTAAAGATTTTTATTTATTGTTGATTGTTGATGAAAGATTTAATTGTTGCAGTTATAACATATGCTTTTAGGAGACTACAATATGACGCCGGATCGTCATTTGGGAGCGGCAAGAGTCTTGCCGGGGCTTCGACCAGATGTTCTTATTAGGCAAGGAAAAATTGTAAAAAGGAAACAGCAAATTTTAGTGAAAGCACTTACGCAACAACTATCCGCGATTCTAAACGTGCTCGTGAAAGAGACTTCCTCAGAAAAATTCATGAGTGCGTGCAAAATGGTGGCAAGGTTAGATTTTCTAATAAGAAGTTTTGACTTTCTTTTTGTAGGTACTTATTCCCGTTTTTGCACTTGGCCGTGCGCAAGAACTTTGTATCCTCCTCGAGTCGTATTGGGAGCGGATGGCACTCAAAATCCCGATCTACTTTTCTCAAGGACTCGCAGAAAAAGCTACTCAGGTAAAGGCGCTCGATTTTTTTTCGTAAATGTTTGAATTTAGTATTACCGATTGTTTATCAACTGGACAAACGAAAAAATAAAGGAAACATTTGTGGAACATAACATGTTCGATTTTAAACACATCAAACCATTTGACGATTCCGTTGCAAATGATTTCGGAGCGATGGTGCTATTCTCCACCCCAGGTTTATTTCATCCCTTAATTTCATTTTTTATTTCATCCCTTATCTTGTATTTTAGGAATGCTTCACGGTGGACAAAGCTTGCGTGTTTTTAAGCAATGGTGTCATGACCCAAAGAATATGATTATCATGCCGGGGTGGGGTTTTTTTTGTAAGGTTTTTGACTCCAAATTTTAGGTATTGTGTGGCTGGAACACTAGGCGCAAAAGTTATTAACGGAATGAAAAAGGTTGACATTGAGGGAAAGACTGTAAGTAATTATCTTTTTGAAGTTTTAAATAACGTCATAGTATGATGTCAACTTGGGTGTCGAGTACATGTCATTTAGCGCTCATGCAGATGCTAAAGGAATTATGCAGGTTTGTTAATCTTTGGAAATAGTAAGCATCAAATCTTTTAGTTAATAAGAGATTGCAAGCCACGACATGTAATGTTTGTCCATGGAGAGGCGGCAAAAATGGAATTTCTAAAGGAGAAAGTGGAAAAGGTTTGTAAAATTTCTCTAAGCAGTAAGGCAGGTTTTTTAGGAGTTTCGTCTGAAAGTATCTTGTCCGGCAAACGGTGAAACGGTATCCGTATCGACTGAGGTTTGCATATGCTTTACCAATCGAAATGATCTCTTTTAGATTGGCAAGGACATTAGCGTGCCGATGGAAATGGTAGCCCGAAGCATTTCATTGGATCCAACACCGGCAAAAAGAGGTATCAATTAAATTTTATGGTATCAAAATCAAAAAGAGGTATCCATTAAATAACAGCTAGATTTTAGCGTGCCCATTTCGCGGATGCATTATCGTGGACCGACAAGTAAGCTGTTTGATGACTTTTTTTTGTAAATTTTTGTTTAAGTATAACGATATTGAAGTTGTTTCATATGAAACAGTCGCTAAACAGTTTGATGTTCCGCTGCATACGATAACGCTCAGTCAAAAGATCACGGGGAAAGGTTGGCATGAGTCGTAATTTAGAATCATTGGAAAAAAGCTATTCATATTGCTTATGTTTAGTTTCATGCATCGATTGGGACAAAATGGCAAAAGCTTTGAGCAAACACGACGCGGAGTTACAAGCAAAACAAGTTAGTTTTGAACTAGACCACAAAGTCAATGCTTTTTAGGATGGAATCGAAATGTTCCACGGAGAGATCTGTGTAATGCCAGTTCGAAGACAGCATAATCAGGTAAAATAACCTATTTCCAATTGCAAGTTTGCCTTGATTTTTGTCTAGGTTGAGTTAATGTGGGATGAATCACGCGAACTATGGAAACCGGTTATTTTGGAGGAAATTCAACGAGTCATCGAAGCCACAGCTATGTGAATTTTTTTCTCGAAATTTGTACAGTTTTTCAATTAGTTATACGGGTTTTTATATATCTACTCTTTGTTGTTTATTTCATTTTGGTTACGTTGAGTTTTGTTTGAATAAATTTTAAGTATTTTTTTTATTGATGGTGGAAACGAGTTTATGGCAAGAGGTTACTTTGTACATTGTAAAAAGAGTTGTGCGCTGCGAGTTTTTTCTCCGTTAATTTGGTTTTATGAGCATTTGATGTCCTTAAATATTTCCCAGTCTTTCCCTTGATTGCCCCTGGCAAGTTGCCACTTCTCATCTTCGTTTCGGGATCTGTAAATGTTGTTTATAGTGCGTTTTCAGTAAACAAGACAAACAACTCGTAGTGGTTCATTTAGCCATCTTTTTCACAAGCTTTTAATCGATAAATCATTTTTGAGAAAAATTTTTGTTAAACATGTTCAAGAAATGGATGTGAGTTTGGATTAATTCTTTTAGACAATTGGTTAATTTAAGACTGTTCATATTTCGTTTTCGTAAATTTGTGTTTTCAATTTTAAAGGAGAACAATTGCTGTTTTAGGAAAATGCTTTCTGCAGTTCGACCTTCTCTTCAAGCATGCTCGCGTACGATTGCTAGGTATATGGCTTCAATGCAGCTTTATAATTAATTAATATTTTAGTGTCCGTGGAAAGCACGCTCTACCAGATCTTGGTTACGATTACAATGCTTTGGAGCCGGTTATTACCGGTATATCTTTAATTTACATTACTTTATGCTTTCAGTATCACTTTAGCCGAAATAATGCAACTCCATCATCAAAAACATCACGCCACTTATGTGAACAATTTGAATGTAGCAGAGGAGAAGACCGCTGAAGCTCTTGCTAAAGGTTATGGTTTAGAAGTTTCATTTCTACAAGCTGAGGACGTTAAAAACTAGTCTTCCAGTAAAATTTTACACTTGGAGTTTTATAAAAATTAGGAAAAAGTGGTATTATACTGTGTATTTAGGCAATGTCAAGGAGGCTATTGCTCTGCAAGGTGCGCTCAAATTCAACGGCGGTGGACACATCAATCATAGCATTTTCTGGACCAATCTTGCAAAGGTTTTTTTCTCCTTTATAGGTTTAGAGCTAAAAATAAGAAGACTAATGCTACTTTGACTGATGATCATTGGAAAGTTTCAATTTTTAATTTAGGATGGAGGTGAGCCGAGTAAAGAGCTTCTGGATGCTATCAACCGAGATTTTGGCTCGTTGAAGAACATGCAAGATGCACTCTCCAATGCTACTGTTGCTGTTCAGGTAAATTAGCGAATTCGGAAACGAAAGGAAACAAACATTCGCTAGTTAAAGCCTCTAACATGCATTATTTAGGGTTCTGGCTGGGGTTGGCTCGGTTATTGCCCTAAAAGCGGACGTATAAGCGTTGCTACTTGTGCCAATCAGGATCCACTAGGTTTGCATTTTCTTGTCTAACCATACATATATGTCATTTTAGAGCCCACCACCGGACTGGTTCCACTTTTTGGCATTGATGTTTGGGAGCATGCTTATTACCTTCAGGTAATTATTGATGGCAAGGGCTTTAGTAATTTACTGTACTGCACAAAGTAAGCTCTTGCAGTAAATAACTTTTAAAGTACAATTTTCAGTACAAAAACGTGCGTCCGGACTACGTAAAAGCTATTTGGAAGATTGCCAATTGGAAGAACATCTCCTCCAGATATCTTTTTGAGGCCAACGCTGGAAAGCAATGATTGCGCACGTTTAACCACATGTTTAAACTTGTATTGTAAATAATTTTTTTTCTCTGACGTGTTAGGTTTTACGTGTAGTTCGATGACCTCTTTTGTGTGCATAGAGCACCATCAAATTTTGTGTTTCTCCTGCGATAAACGGTTTCTTTAAATTGTTTGAGTACAAGGCGTGTTTATTTTGTGACTGCTTTTGTCATAGCTCGATTTTACCTTGCAAAGTTACATTTCGTTGTGGGACCCGCGAGACCGCGAAGTGAAAACCTTCGAAAGAAGAAGGATTTTAAAGGGTCACGTTACAGCTGAATTTGGACTATTGAAATACTAAAAAGTTTATGCAGAATCATATCTAATTTGAAGATTTTAGCAAATGTTTTTTGTTTTATTACACTAAAAACTATGATATAACTTCCAAAAGCGACAGTAACGAGTTATTTTGCATTTGGAAGTTAGCTTTTGTAAGCGCCTGTTTTAGTTTCTAGAGAGATTTAATAGTCATTTGATTCAGATTTTTTTACTGCTAACTTTTCAGTATAATTTACTAACTCTTCTTTGTTTCAGGGTAAATCTATCATGGAGCACTATTTGCCGCAAATATATTGGCACGATCGAACGGGTCTCTTGTCCACCGATTTTCATCCGGTTGTCAAAGATGGACGATACAAAATTGCCACATCAAGTGTTCAGGTAACATTTTGCTTTACAATATCTATATTCACTTTTGAATTTTCAGAAAGAAGTCCGTATTTGGGAGTATTTCTTCTTCAAGGCAAAAAAGCCCGGTACAAACATCGAATTCGAGGAGCTGCAAGTGAACTTTATCGCAAACCTCGTTCAGCACAATAATTCAGTCAATATAGTGCGGTTTTCTCCAGCGGAAACAGGTTTGAATTGATTTTTTTCACTTTTATTAAGTAAATTCTAGATACTTTACTTGCGTCTGGAGACTCGGAGGGCCGGCTCGTGATTTGGCGATTGAACGATCAGTCGGTGGCACAAATGACTGATGAAGAGTTGCCGCCAAATAAGGAAAATTGGGTAGATGATGAGGTCCTTTTTTTGGTCTATGCTTGGTTTAGGTTCGATATCGTTTGATTTCTCACGAACAGGATGTGACATCGATTGCTTGGAATCCTGAGGGTAAACTTTTGGCGAGTGTGGGTCGTGATGGGCATCTCATGGTGCATGAAGTGCACTCCGGTAATTTCTTAAAGATTTCCAGACTTACTATTGTCATTGGGTTAAAATAGCATTGGTGCCAGTATCACTCTTTGAGCACAATTAAAATATTCCTAAATTTATCATTTCTAAATATTCTTTAGGCAAACGAACTGTGTGCATCCGCAACTTTCGACAATTCCCCAATGGGATCACATGGGATCCTCGAGGAAAATATTTGGCTATTTTGTCGATGGATCGAAAAATGGATATTGTTGATTGCAACAAAGGTACAAAGTTGAAATCGATTGCAATGGCCGATCTGCCCGCTCGATCGATTTGTGGACTTTTTGCAGAAGCGAAGGTAGATTTTTATACATTTTAAAGCAATGTCATGTTTCGATGTTGTGTAGGCAACATTTTTTAGCTTATTTATATTTTCAATTTTCAATTAACCAATTTGTTTATTTTTAGCCTTACCGACTATGGCATGATGATCAACTTGCTGGCTTTCAACGTGGAGTTGCTTTTTCACCTTGTGGGGAATTGATTGTGGCACCAGGTAGTAGTTTAACAGCTAATTGTTTATCATATATTCTTTAGCCGTTCAAATGGAAATTGGCACACAAGACATTTATGGAACATTTGTTTTTAAGAGAAGCGAAATTGACAAGTGAGTGCAATTCTTTCGTTAACCTAATTTAAATTTATTTGCAGGGAGAAACCATTCTGTTTGTTGCCAACTGCAAAAGCGACATTTTTGGTGAGAATGTGTCCGTTGATTTTTGAGCTCCGAGATTCCGAGGAAAACTACACAGGGTTTGTACACTTTTTTTTGCAAGGTTTCTTAAAAAATCTTTAGATTACCTCATCGAGTGATGTGGCTTGTGCTCAGCAAAGAACAAATGTACATCTATGATTCGCAGCATCGACACCCGATTGGCTACATTGACAACATTCACTACAATAATTTGACGGACGCGGCTTGGAGTGCGGATGGGAAGACGATTATTATCTCATCACTTGAGGGGTTGGTTAGAAATTTGTTTTCCTCTTCAAGGACAAGAAGGTTATGTTAAGATTGATTATGGGTTGTAAAAAATCAGCTTTGAAAAATAGAGATTTAAAGATCTTTATCTTTTCAGCTATGATGAACATCAATTTTCTTTAGTTACAACAGCTTTTTGAAGTTGTATCTTGAGCAATGGGGCAATGTGTTGGTTGAACGTCCCGAGCCTCCACCATCACCGCAACTCATCAAGGTAAAGTGAAAAATTTGGATATTACATACCAGCAGTCCGCCTAACGGCGGACTGCTTCAGAAATCGTAAAAATGATTGCCAGAGACGAGTACGTTGTGTTGGCAAACCACGTCATGCAAATTTCAGCGTAAAATAAAAATAGCACCCATGGCGCGGTGGATAGCGCGTTCGCCTCACGCCTCACATGACCCGGGTTCGATCCCGGCCAGTGACCACCTACTTTGACTTTTTGCAAATATTTTTTTAAAAGGCACGACTACATGAAATTTCATTAGACACGTGTTTCAGGGTTTTTTTTAATACTCAAAGGGGACGCGCGTAGTGCGCGCGCAGACAAACAAACAGAGATTATATTATATATGGGTGGGGGGGCGTTGCGGTTTTTAACTTCATAAAATTTTTTTATTTTTTCTAACCTTTTTAATTTTTATTTTTTTTTTTTTTTTTTTTTTTTTTTTTTTTTTTTTCATATTTTATTATTTATTTTTTTTTTTTTTAATCCTTTTAAAATTATTTATTTTTTTTTTTAAATTTTAAAATTTTTTATTTTTTTTTTTTTATTTTTTTTTTTTTTTTTTTTTTTTTTTTTTTTTTTTTTTTTTTTTTTTTAATTTTATTTTTAAATTTTTTTTATAAAAATTTTTTAAATAAAATTTTTTTAAATTTTTTTTTTTTAAAAAATATTTTTTATTTTTTTATTTTTCTTTTTTTTAAAATTTTTCCTCTTATATAAATTCTTTTTCTTTTTTTTTTTTTTTTTTTTTTTTTTTTTTTTTTTTTTTTTTTTTTTTTTTTTTTTTTTTTTTTTTTTTTTTTTTTTTTTTTTTTTTTTTTTTTTTTTTTTTTTTTTTTAATTTTTTAATTTAAATATTTTAAAAAAAAAAAAAAAAAAAAAAAAAAAAAAAAAAAAAAAAAAAAAAAAAAAAAAATAAAAAAAAAAATAAAAAAAAAAAAAAAAAAAAAAAAAAAAAAAAAAAAAAAAAAAAAAATTTAAAAATTTTTTATTTTTTTATAATTTTTATAAAATTATAATAAATATAAATAATTTTTAAAAAAAAAAAAAAAAAAAAAAAAAAAAAATAAAAAAAATAAAAAAAAAAATAATATTTTTTTTTTTAACATCTTAAAAAAAAAAAAAAAAAAAAAAAAAAAGCTTGAAAAAAAAAAAAAAAAAAAAAAAAAAAATAAATTTAAAAAAAAAAAAAAAAATTTTTTTTAAAATAATATATTTAAAAAAAAAAAAAAATTTTTTTTTTTTTAATAAATTTTTTTTTTTTTTTTATTATTTTTTTAATTTTTTTATTAATTAAAAAAAATTTTTTTTTTTTTTTTTTTTTTTTTTTTTTTTTTTTTTTTTTTTTTTTTTTTTTTTTTTTTTTTTTTTTTTTTTTTTTTTTTTTTTTTTTTTTTTTTTTTTTTTTTTTTTTTTTTTTTTTTTTTTTTTTTTTTTTTTTTTTTTTTTTTTTTTTTTTTTTTTTTTTTTTTTTTTTTTTTTTTTTTTTTTTTATTTTTTTTAATTTCTTTTTTTTATTTTTAATTTATAAAAATTAAAATTTTTTTTTTTTAAAAATTATTTTTTTTTTTTTTTTTTTTTTATTTTTTTATTTTTTTTCTTTAAAAGAATTTTTTATTTTTTTTTTTTGTGGGGGGGTCTTTTTTTTTTTTTTTTTTTTATTTTTTTTTTTTTATTTTTTTTTTTTTTATTTTTTTTTTTTTTATTTTTTTTTTTTTTGGGTTTTTTTTTTTCACCGGCTACGACATATATATGGATTTAAAATTCAGACGAGAAAGAAACGAGCAAAGGTTGTTGCTCAAGATGCCGAGGAAAACGCTGCCGGAGAAGAGGCCAAAGAGAATGTCCAAATCACGATGACTGCACCACCTACTGATGCTCCCACACCAACCAAGTAATTGTTTCATAAAGCAGCATTTTCTATGGAAGTTCATTTAGATTAGCAAAAGTTAAAGTGAACGTATCTACTCCATCGTCAAAGCTTCCAACAAGTACCCCAACAACACCAAAGGCTGGTCCAATGGATAAGTTGGTTTTTGCAATAGATTATTGTACGATCTAATAGTAAATTTATGTAGAAGTAACGCTTTTTCATTTCAGGTTCGTCAAGAAAGAAACGCTTTCGGAGAAGTCGGATGATAGTCAAAAGAATGCGGTTAATCAACCCATTCAAAAGAATGATGCTAGGTTTGTTTGTGCGATTGTAGTTTCTGTTTACTTCTACTTTGTTTTTGCTTTGATAAATTAGCACTAACAAGTTAGCGGTACTAATGAGGTGATCATAAACATAGCTTGAAGAGATTTTGTTTGACATTAATGGATAAACTTGGCTCTCATTTAGCTGCTGCCCTTCTTTCAAAAGTATACCATAATTTTGGAGCGCATAATTTGAACATAATCAGTTTGAAGTCCACAAAAAGCGCATAAATCTTAACTACTGTAAAAATATCTAGTATCTGAACATGTTCTACAATTTAATATAAAATTTGTTTCAGTGATGTGATTGCCATCAATCCACCTCCAAAGCCGACAGTGTCGATGATCGCCACGAGAAAAGAACCGCGAAAATCCGTCGACGTTATCACGATTCCCCATTAACCCTGTGATCTCATTTATATTCATTTTCTACGCAAATTGCTTTGCTAAATTTAGATTACCCCTTATTTTTAGTTTTCTCCTGATTGATCTATGTTCGTTTGTCAATTCTCAGCTTTGCGGTGACGCTAGAAATTTTCTTTGGTGTCATTTAGCGAATTGTGGCCAATTTCTCACTCTTTCGATTCTCTTCCTTGATGGAAATTCACTTCCTTTCTTTCCTTTTTTAATAAATTAGAAAATTTTGGTCAAGTTTAATTTATATAAAGTTTACATTCTATGCCTAAATGCTTAAATGCTTAAACAGCGATGAAAACTTGGTGATTAAATGTAATGTTAATTCTGCTTTTCTTGAATGTTAATTTCTTATCAATGAGTAAGAATGGTTGTTCAATCTCGGAATGGTCACACAAAGGATTTAACTGTACAGCTTGTGCTAAATTGATGATTTCAGGCTTTTAATGTGCAAGACGTGTTTAGTTAAACACGACAGTAGATAAAATTTACATTATGACTGTCTATTAGACATTTAGATTTTCGGTCCTTTCGTCGATAGGTGAAAAAACGGAAATTCATGTGTTATAGACTTTAAAATAGACTTTTTCAAGATGTTGATTTCAATGTTGATTTCAAGACGTCGTGAATTTCCGCTGTACACCTATTGACGAGCGAAGTGAAAATGCGCATACACCATAGGAGATGTTGGCGTGCCATATTTGGGGGTAGTTGAGAGAAGAGAGGGAAATGGCGGCCGTGTACCCGCGGCGGCTTGTTGGTGATTCGAGAAAAGTGAGAAAAGGGGAAAAAAAAGAGACGAGAGTGGGTCGTTTCCCTCCCCCCTCCGAGCTCTTTTCTTTTAGAGCTCTTTGCATGGCACGAAGCGTGTGTGTGTGTGTGTGTGTGTGTGTGTTCAGAGAGAAAAGGGCCGTCGGTAGCTCTGCTGCTGCTGCTGTGTGTTGGGGTTGGTCTACTGGGTGCCCCCTCTTTCTATAGTCTATCGCTCTTCTTTAGAACTCTTAGATTTCTCTCAGCTCTCTGGATCTACATTTCTATGACTTGTCTACGTCTCAGCACCTCTTTTCTATATTTCTTGCTATCTCATCACCTCTTTTCGATCTTTTTTTACATGTTTTTCTCTATTCGTGCTCTAGCATCTCGTTTCTGGCGTTTCTAGCTCGTTTCTAGCTCGTTTCTGTTTACGTCTACGTTTCTATAGCTTTCGATCTATCTATCTATCTTTCTATCTTTCTATTTTTCTATATTTCTCTCTTTCTATCTTTCTATCTTTCTATCTTTCTATCTTTCTATCTTTCTCTCTTTCTCTCTTTCTCTCTTTCTATCTTTCTTCATCTTCTCTATCTAGACGATCTCTTTCTTCTCTAAACTCTTACCCAATCCCTTACTATCTTCATTTTTCTCTACCCCATCTCACCCTTTCCTCTTTTCTATCTCCTTTTCAGAAAAGTGGTCTCACCACGGCTCTCTTTCTCTCTCTCTTTCATTCTCGAAAAAAGAGATAGACAGCGCCTTGCCTTCTTTTCTGCTTCCTTTTTCCCCTTTGAGAGCTGCGACGCAACGCGGGCACTCAACGCGTCGCGTGCCATCCCCGATCGGTGCGGCCCGCGCGCGTCTCTCCCCTTGCTCTCCCTTTTCTGCCCTTTTTTTACTCGCCATCACCTCAGTACTTTCCCCTTTCTGTATATTCATTTTTGCAAAAGTTTTCCCGAAGACTCGTATGGTGATGTCTGTCACATAACGAGGAAAGAAAAACGATAAACGCGAATCCTTCTCATCATCATCAGCAATTTTTTTTGTTGTTTGTTTGGTGGAAATTTGTGCCGAGAATTTGACGAGTGCGATTTGGACAAAAAAAAAAAACGAAAATTTGGTTCGCTTTAAACCGACGAAAACGATTGCGAGAGTGAGAAAAGAAGGAAAAGAAAAAAGGGTATTGCCCTATTTGGAACACCCGAAAGCTCTCGACGTTGGATAAAACGCAAAAATGGCTTGTTGCTTGTCTGAAGAGGCACGCGAGCAAAAGCGAATCAATCAAGAAATCGAGAAACAATTGCAACGAGACAAGAGAAATGCGAGAAGAGAGCTCAAATTGTTGCTACTTGGTGAGTTTTTATTTTTGATGATTTTTATCGTATTTCTTTTCATTTAGCGGTTAGATAAAGTGAAATCGAATCGAGTTTTAAACTATTGTAAATACTGTAATAGTACCCCACCCTCAGAATGACGATGCGGAGTGTTGCGTAGTCTAGCTTTGAACGACGTTTTTCTCGACACTGATTTATGCTACAATGCGCGGTTAGGTATCAAAAAATAGCCCTGAATTTCAGCTATTTTTTGATACCAAAACGAACATTGTAGCATAAATCAGTGTCGAGAAAAACTCGCTCAAAGCTAGACTACGCAACACTCCGCATCGTCATTATGGGGATGGGGTACTATTACAGTATTACAGTATTTACGGTAGGTTACATACGGTCATTTATAGTCGTAATTTCATTTCGATTTAGCACTTTTAGCAATAGGAGCAATAGGCTTTTTGATTGAATAGAAATCAATTTTGTTTGTTTAAAAAACGTTTATGAAACTAAAAGATTGGAGTTTTTTTTTTGAATGAATGAATGAATGAATGAATAGAACTAAGATAGAGTTTTTTTTTTTGATTGAATAGAACTAAGATAGGGTTATTTGATTGAATAGAACTAAGGTAGGGTTATTTAATAATAATAATAATACTTTATTCAAACGATAAAGTGAAAGAAATCATAGAGAAATGCACAGTGATACTTAATCATACAATACATACTGAAATCAATAAGCCAATTACTTACGGCAAAGAGCCACTAGATCTAAAGCATCGATACGTTTCTTGAATATGAAAAGCGACTGAATTTCTCGTATGTCGTTTGGGAGCAAGTTCCATAATCTAAAAGAAACTAAAAGATTGGAGTTTTTTTTTGAATGAATGAATGAATGAATGAATGAATAGAACTAAGATAGAGTTTTTTTTTTTGATTGAATAAAACTAAGATAGGGTTATTTGATTGAATAGAACTCAATTTCTAAATTTCTCTTACTTCTTTCTGTTAAAAAAGCGTTTATTAACTTTAAAAGAACGTTTATTAACTTTAAAAAAGCGTTTAACTAAAGCGGTTTTTGTTTAACTAAATAGAATGAAATTTATTTTTTTAAAAACGTTTATTAACTAAAAACTTATTAACTAAAAACTTTTGAACTTAAAAAAAGCCGATTTTTTTTTGAATGAATCTACATGATTTTAAGGGTTCTTTAACAAAAACAAAACTTTTTGCATTTTAGATTTAACGTGACAATTGTCTATAAATGACTTTTTAAATAGTATCTTAAATAGATAAACGACAGCTTTTCATTAGAGTTTATTCTTTTAAAAAAAAAAAAAAAAAAATTTTAAAGAGTTTTTAATTTGAAAAAATGAAATTTAAAAAAGATTCACCTAAAACTGATCAATGAAAAAAAAAAATAATTTCCCTCAAAACTTTACTAAAACCTTATTTATTAGTTTAAAAATATCAAATTTATTTAAATATTTAATATAAAGATTTAAATTATTTCATTTTAAGCTTTCAAGTGTCAATTTTTCAAAAAACTGTTCTGTTGAGCAAATTTTTTTGCGCAACTGGATCATTTGCGCAACTCACCATAACTTTCTTCTAAGTGGGCTAATCTTTATGATTTTCGTGTCATTTTGTTGCACTTGTTGAGATCTACAAAATGACACCAAAATCATAAAGATTGGCCGACTTAGAAGGAAGTTATGGCGAGTTGCGCAAAAGACCTAGCGGAAATTAGCCTACTTTGCGCAACTAGCCATAACTTTCTTTTAAGTCGACCAATCTTTATGATTTTTGTGTCATTTTGTTGCACTTGTTGAGATCTACAAAATGACACCAAAATCATAAAGATTGGCCGACTTAGAAGGAAGTTATGGCGAGTTGCGCAAAAGACCAAAGTTGAGCAAATAAAATGGCGGAAATTAGCCTGCTCCCAATTTTTGAACTTATTCATTAGTATTTAAATTCAATTCAATTCAAATTTAATTTAATTCAATTCAATTCAGATTTAAATTCAATTCAGATTTAAATTTAATTCAGATTTAAATTCAATTCAAATTTAATTCAATTCAATTCAAGTTTAAATTCAATTCAAATTTAATTCAATTCAATTCAATTCAATTCAAATTCAATTCAATTCAAATTCAATTCAAATTTCAATTCAATATTATATTTCAAAATACTTTAAAAATATTTCCATAGATATTTAAAGCTAATTTTTTGTACTCTTAAATCTCTCTCTTGGAGTCGGATTTTGAGAAAATTATTGAGCAATTAGATAAACTGAAAAAAGGGGAAAAATCTAAACGATTCTAATGGTTTAGACGATTTAAACGATTAGAAATCGTTTAGATCTAATCTAAAAAATCTTTCCGAATACTATGAATATCTAATAATATAAATTGTAATTTTGATCTTAACATTGTCTTAAATTTTTCTTTTTTTTCAAACTTTTCAAATAGTTTAACCCAGATTCACATTCGATTTTTTTTTTTTTTTTTTTTTTTGATTGAACGACCCTTTTCCCCGGTTTCGTATCACAATTTTTCTCAAAGTAGCCAAGGTCAACGATAAGCCTTCAGGGGAATCGATTTATCAAATTTTGAATGTGAAATCATTGATGAAAAAAAAAAGTGGTCAGGCCAGGATTCGAACCCGCGACCTATCGCTTACCGCCCTTGCGACCTTTACCAATACTCTATAGTGATAGCCTTCGCCGGTCGCTAGACTAGGACCTTATCCCTTACTCCAAGCAAATTATCATTTGATTTGATTAGCTCGCTGTCATTGATGGTAAAATCTGACGATTATTGCTCAATTTTATAGTACTTTTCCAATCTACAGTACCCAATCTACAGTAACCAACCTACAGTAACCAATCTGTCTCTAGAAAATATCTAAAGACCTGAAAAGCCTTTTCCTTTTTCATTCTTCTTTCAAACACTCTCAAGGGTTAAAAAGTGTAAGCCTGGCTCCTCCTGTTTCTTCCCGTTCTTATCATTTTTGAGGCTTGTAGTACAGAAAGGAAGCCCTAAAAAAAAGCGAACTCTAAAAAATAATAAGTACCGTTGAGCGTTTTCCTTTAACAGCATTAAACTAATCACAGAAATCACATTTTTGTTTTTCAAACTGATTCAGAAACTAGCCAATGTCATTGCTAATCGATTCTAAGTCCACTAAAGCCCAAACCCAAGCCCAAACCCAAGCCCAAGCCCAAGCATAACTACCCTATCATAAACCTATATCTTTTACCAAATCTACACCAATTTTGATCAAAATTTCCCGAAAAATAATCGAGAGATCATTTGCTATATAATGGATCGGCTTTTGATTGGATTTGAGAGAAATGGAGGGTGATCTTGACCAATTAGTCTCTTTTCTTCTCTTCTTCTTCTCTTTTCTTCTCTTTTTCTTCTCTTTTCCTCCCAAAGTGACCTGCGGGAGTCAAACACAGAAATAGAGAAAGGAGAAAGGGGCAATCGACGGGGGAGAAGTGAAAAAAAGGGAAAAGGGGGAAGGGACACCATCCTCGAATCGATAAGTGCAGTCGAGCACACAGAGAACAGAGAAGGGGCTGAGCGGGGTTGGGTAGGGGTAGGGTGCCGGCTCGCCGATCCACATCCAATGCTACCCGCTTATGGATCTTGGATTTAGTACCCGAATCAACTAGAAGCCTGCCTCAGGCTCAGGCTCAGGCTTTGCCAGGCTCCTGGTCTATCCTTTGGCATGGTTACTTCAAAGATTACTTCAAAGCTTACTTCAAAGCTACTTTGGTTACTCAAAAGCTTGCTTCGCCTAGGACTGAAATATCCTACCCTTATAATAAAAATGGAGGAATTGAAAAACTAGATTTCCGAAGAGGGATAGAACCCTCGTTCCTTTGCTTTCCGGATTGATTTTGTTAGCTCTAACCTTGATTAGAGCATGGTTAGAGCAACCACTGAGCTATTCGGTACCTTAAATTACCGAGAAAAAGAAGGAAAGACAAGGGGGAAGAAGAAAGAAAGAAAGAAGGAAAAGAAAGGAAGAAAAAAGAAAGGAAGGAAGAAACTTTCTTCTAAAAAAAACTCTATTTAGTAAATTTCTCTGAAAACATTTCTCTTAACATCTTGTTAATGACCAATGCTCTTTGGTCATTAACAAGCTGTTAACAAGCTGTTAATGACCAACCAATGCTGTTAATGACCAATTTTAATGACTACCCTGAAATAAAAACAGAAAAAGAAATCTAAATATAATCAATAGAGTAAAAGAAATAAAAGAAATTCAAATCCTTTCATTTCACTCAAATTTGCAGGTACGGGAGAGTCCGGTAAATCGACATTTATCAAACAAATGCGAATCATTCATGGACAAGGGTACTCTGAAGAAGATAAACGACAACACATTCGACTCGTTTATCAGAATGTTTTTATGGCCATGCAGGTGAGCTTTGAGAGAGATACCGTAAATACTGTAATTGTACCTCCATAATGACGGCGGAGCGTTTCGTAGTCTAGCTTTGAACGACGTTTTTCTTGACACTGGTTTATGCTACAATGCTCGCTTTGGTATCAAAAAATAGCCCTGAATTTCAACTATTTTTTGATACCAAATACACCTTTTTTGAAAGTATGAGCGCTTTGAAAAAAATGAAATAATGAAATACTAAAATTTTGCGACTACGCGACTGTACGAGAGGGGTGGGGTACTATTATTTACAATATTTACGGTACTTTTGTTGTTCTGATTAGAGTGTGTTCCTTGCGAGTAATGCGGTTTTTAAAAATGCACACTTGGGAAAAATTATTGCAAAAAATTGTTGCAATTGACGCAAAAAATCGCAAACGCCGACTTATAGAGGCTCTTTTAAAGATATTCAGCTGTTTAAATGATTTTGGTGAAAAATTCCCGTCAAATGTAAAGATATTCAAGTGTTTAATTGATTTAGTCGCAAATTTCCGTCAAATATAAAGATATTCAGCTGTTTAAAAGATTTGCTGGAAAATTCCCGTCAAATGTAAAGATATTCAGTTGAATAATTGTGGAAAATCCCGTCAAATGTAAAGATATCAGTAGCTCACCCCCCCCCCCCCCCAAATTAAAATTTTCCCCCCTGTTAAATTTTTTTGGGGGAAAATTCCCGCAATGTAAAGATATTCAGTTGATGATTTTGGTGAAAATCCCCTCAAATGTAAAGATATCCAAGTGTTTAATTGAGTTAGTCGCAAATTTCCGTCAAATATAAAGATATTCAGCTGTTTAAATGATTTTGGTGAAAAATTCCCGTCAAATGTAAAGATATTCAGCTGATTAAATGATTTTGGTGAAAAATTCCCGTCAAATGTAAAGATATTCAATTTACTCGACGTGTAAAGTGGATTTATTCGTAGTTATTTGACAAAAACGTCGATTAATCGAGGGAAAATTAAATTACTGATGCGAATTTTAATCGAGTGATTACTTACTCGCAAGGAAAACACTCTAATCAGTTATATTATGGTTAGTTTGTCGCTATCTCTTCCTATTCAAGTCTATTCTTTTCCAGGCAATGATTCGAGCGATGGACACACTGGGAATCCCCTATGGGGACACGTCCGCTGAGCTGCAGGACAAAGCGAGTGTCGTGAGGGCGGTCGATTATGAGAATGTCACCTCGTTTGAGGAACCCTATGTTGCCTATATTAAGGTGAGATTTAAATAAAAGTATTGAAAATTCGTTTCCTTTGACAAAATATTTAAATTATCGCAACTTTTGCAGGATCTATGGGAAGACTCGGGCATTCAAGAGTGCTATGACCGACGGAGAGAATACCAATTGACCGATTCGGCCAAATAGTGAGTGATTTTAAATCTTGGAAGCGAAATTCTTTGAACTAGGCTAGACCTGGACCTGGCCTTTCTCTGAGCTAAGCTATATTCAAACTTGGTTGTTGCTCTAGTACTTTTCTAGGATCAGTCTTAGCTTGACTTTGGCTTGGATTTGACAGCCAGGTCAGGCCAGTTCCATATTATTGGATCAATGCATAAGAAATGGTTAAAATTTTTCCAGATTTCCCAACCAGATTTCAAAAAAATTCTTTTATGATTTGTTGCTAGTGAAAAGTTATTTAACAACCAGCTTTTTGATCAAAGAATCCAGCTTTAGAATAAACTATTTCAAGCAAATCATGATTTTCATGGGCGTTTTTAATAAAAACTAATTCATTAAGAAATCCCAGGCTTTATCGCTTCAAAACTTCAAAAGGCTTTATCGCTTAAGTTGACTCGAATGATCGAAAAGTTTCTCCATCATTTCATGTCGAATAAAAAAGTTGCTCGACTTTTAGCTATTGTTAGCTATTAGCTATTAGCTTAATATTATAACTTTTCATTCGAATCAAACAGAAATTAGATAGCTGCTCTGGTGGAGAAATTTACATAAATTAGCCATTTCATTTGCATTCACCCAATAGAAACCAGGCTTCTAGCTAGACCCAAGTACTTTCTAGTCCATGCCAAATCAGCAGCTAGTTCTAGCTAGTTAGGCTTTTGCCCATTTCTTTACTGGCTCACTTTGGTCTGGATTGGTTTTGTCTGGCCTGGCCGGAAAATCTCGTTTAAAAAGAGAAATATCGAATGTTAATTTATGATATCATTTGCAGTTACCTCTCGGATTTGGATCGATTAGCTGTGCCGGACTATTTACCCACCGAGCAGGACATTTTGCGTGTTCGTGTGCCCACAACGGGTATCATCGAGTATCCATTTGATTTGGAGCAGATCATTTTTCGGTGAGTAAAGAAAAAAGCTTGGTTTAAGCTGGCTATTGTACTAGCTAAAAATTAAATCTTACTATCTTTTTTTTTACAGAATGGTCGACGTGGGCGGGCAGCGATCAGAGCGAAGGAAATGGATTCATTGTTTTGAAAATGTTACATCAATCATGTTTCTCGTGGCGCTCTCCGAGTACGATCAGGTGCTCGTTGAGTGCGATAATGAGGTGAGTGGGGAAGAAAAGAATGACTAGAATAAGCAATCGGCTTCGAAGAATCGTACAAAAATGGAATCCTTCACGAAATCTTTCATTTCCAGAATCGAATGGAGGAGTCAAAGGCGTTATTCCGAACGATCATCACATATCCGTGGTTTACGAATTCTTCGGTGATACTCTTTCTCAACAAAAAGGTTAGTGAATTTCTTTATTCTTTTCTTTATATCTCTATGATATAAAGAAAAGAAAACGATTTTCAGATTTTGAGCTAAAACTTGTCAATTTTATTGTACTTTTGGTAAACTGTTGTTATTTTTTGACCTAATATTTGAGTATTTCTATGCAATGATAAGTAACTCAAAACTGATATATTTATGCTGTGCTAAAGTATAGCGCTAGGATGATTTTAAAAAACGATTTTTTGAATCAGGTCACCTCTGATACAAAACCTGGATCAAGTCAGCTTTTGGCTCATGATAGCCTTGTCTGATCTGTTCTACTATTAGATTTTTTTCACCAAAATTCATTTTCTAATTGAATAAGTCTCAAGCTACCAAATGAAAGACGGATTTTTTTTTCATTAGATAACCACCCAATCATTTCTCTTGCAAATCACTTTTGAATGTTTATGAAAAGCTTTGTTTTGAAGGTTTTTCATTAGCAAGAAGGAGATTGTTCAAAAAAAGACCAAATCTGATGATGCTATTTCGACCGTTTCTTCCAATGAAACCTATTTTAATGATAAAATAAAAAAGATAGCGCACAAAAAGTTAGATCTACAACCAAAATTTCAGAATAATTCGTTCAGCGGTTTTCTTTATGTGCTCATTTTTCAATACTTTTAAAAATATCAGTTTTCGTTCTCGTAGATTATTTTAAAATACTAAAAAACGAAAAAGACTTGCAATGAAAGAAATTGTTTGATATTTGGTAGTTTGAGACTCGTTTATTTAGATAATGAAATGAAAATTGCAACACTTAGTACTCAATTTAATGCTAGAGTCAACTACTAGATCTAAAAACCCTCAGCCCTATTTGAACATCTATAACCCTAAGCATATTTCTAATATTTTAATTCTCGTTGCCGTTTTGGTTCAAACTCAATTCTTTTTTTCCAGGATTTGCTAGAAGAGAAGATACTCTACTCACATTTGGCCGACTACTTTCCCGAGTATGATGGTGAGCTTTGAAAAAAAATTAGAGATTAATGTAAACTTTTATAAGCTTTATGAAGGGTTTGATAATTCTAGATTTATTAAACGAAATATCAAAGTTTATCAAAGTATCACAATTTCATTTCCAATTTTCCTAGGCCCACCCCGAGATCCGATCGCTGCACGAGAGTTCATTTTGAAGATGTTTGTCGATTTAAATCCCGATGCCGACAAGATTATCTATTCACATTTCACTTGTGCCACTGGTAAGTTGAAAAAAATTTTGTTTTATTTGAAGTTTTTATGTGATCCGTTTGAGTCTAGTTCTAGTCTAGAACGTTTTTTTTTCTTAAACGTTTTGAATTTCTTTTTCTATCGTAAGCTTATCTTTTTCTTTACCCAATCTATTCACTTTTTGTAGCTTTCGGTACTAGAAATGGACAAATTTTGACGAGTCGAGTCATTTGATATCTTTTGTAAACCTAGAAACCAAACTAAACTAGAAACCGGTTTGTAAACCAAACCAAAAGTGGATAGATTGGATAAAAATAGAGACAACATTACGGTAGTCGAGAAAACGCTCGACAAGATAGGTACGATTTGTGGTAAAAAAAAAGCAATATCCAAAAAATTTCAGACACGGAAAACATTCGTTTCGTGTTCGCGGCGGTGAAGGACACCATCTTGCAGCATAATCTCAAGGAGTACAATCTGGTGTAGTGACTACAGAATGACGATGGGGAAAAAAAGAAAGCATTCAGTTGTTGGCAAAAGTCAAAGACTGATCACTTTCCATCCATTCATCGATAACCACTCCTTTTCTCCAATCATTTTCTTTTCTTTTCCCCATGTCCAGCCGGTCTTTCCTTCTCAATCCCCGCCGATTTTCCTCCCTGAAATTTGGGATGCCTTTGTGAGATTTTAGAAATAATTTAGCTTTCAATTTTTACCTTATCTATAGTGGATTTTAGACTTTAGAATCGTAGAATAAACACTGCCAAAACGATCATAGACGACTTTTTACAATCCCATAGCGTATTGTAATTTGGATTCAAGTTTTAGATGCAAAAATTTTATTTTAAAAAATCTCACAAAAGCCGAGCAAATCTTTCCCTGCAAACGTCTCGTTGTGAACTCTTCGAAGGTGGCTAAAATGAATCATCCCCTTTTGAAACGGTTCCCAAATTTTCTTTTTTTTTTCCTTTTCTTTTTCTTTTTCATAAAATTTTCAAACTTCATTCACATTGCTCTTTTTATTTTTATTTTTCTTTCGTTTTTTTTTTTTATTTGCGTTTCTTTTCCATTTTTCCCTTTTTTAGGCATGATTTTGCAAGGATCGACGCGTAAAATTTACATGTCGATTTTGGCCATTTTTCTCTCGTTTCCCCCATTTTCAGCCCCGACTCTCAATATTGCCCGAAAATTGGGGAAAAGTTGACGGAAAAGCCGGGAATATCTTTCCAGTTAAAAGTACTGTAGTTTATTGGGTTACTATAGTTTGTAGTACCGTTGACTTCTTTCCCGATTCAACTTTTCCTCAAACCAAATCGTCCCCTAGACTTGCTTATTTGTGTAAAATAGGAAGTCATTGAATAGCTTGACACAAGGTACGGTAATGGTGGTGATTTACAGGACCTGTACCGGTCTATCGATTGCACAACTAGCCTACCGTAGCCGGGTCGAGTCTACCTTAGCTGGGTTGGGCCTACCGTAGCCGGATCGAGCCTACAGTAGCTGGGTCGAGCCTACAGTAGCTGGGTTGAGCCTACGTTGACCCTACAGTAGCCGGGTTGAGCCTACAGTAGTACTGTAGACATATAGACAGATGACTGATGTAGTTCAGGTCTGTACTGGTCTTTATGTACTGTAAGTGAGTCATAGTATTGTTCAGTATGCTATTGAGTAAAACAATTACGTTGCTAGACTATAGACTGGCTTTTAAAACCGATCCAAACTTGAACCCAGCTTTTTCTAGTACTAGCATCTACTGCCATTAGCTTCAGCTTTCCGGCTACAGTATCCCATTTCCTATTTTACACTAAACTAAACTCGATCCAAGCAAGTCAACCCAATTTTCCATTGTTTTATTTTTGTATTCGCGCTGCCCTCGGCCTCCCGCTCATTCATTCATTTTTCTTTTTTTTTTCGATTTATGTCGTGTACATATAAGCCCTGAGGTCGTTTTTATCCTTCTGCTCCATCAAATTCAGAATTATAGATAAAAAAAAGAGAGAGAAAAGGTAATGGCATCGGGCCCCACTGCTTCTTCATCCCCCATTTAAAACTAAAAACAAAAAAAATCGGCTATCTTTGCTTGAATGGATATGAAAGGCCATAGTCGCTTGTTAACAAAGGAAGCTGTAGTAATACTGTAGCTGAGCTGCTGACTACTGTGGTCGTAGAGTCCACCTACAGCACTCAAAAGATCAGCCTCACCGCGCAGCAAGCATAACCGATTTCCCTACATAACAAAATCACTACACTACCCCCGCAAAGCAATCCACTAGCCATTTTCTAGAAGTAAAACGAATTCATTGAAAAGAAAAGAATATCTCTCTAAATTTGGTTCCTTATTTAGAAATTTGGTTTCTTATCTCTCTAGATTTGGCTCCTTATCTCTAGATTTGGTTCCTTATCTCTCTAAATTTGGTTCCTTATCTTTTCAATGAATTCCCCCGAAATACCCCTTTATCCCGAAGAATCCTTTCCCCAATTCAGCCCCGAAACTCGAATCACTTTCTTTTTTTTTGCGTCTTTTCTTTGTTCAGCAAAACTTTTCTTCCCCTTGATTTTCCTGATATTTTTCCCCAATTTCGCTCCCAACAAGCAGCCATTCCCCTTCCCTAGTCGCCAAATGTTTTTTGTTTTTATTTTCTCTTTCTCTTTCTTTTTCTTTCTCGTGTTTTCTTCTTCTTCTTCTTCGCGCAATTCATCCCCACTCCCCACTTTTCGAAACCATCGACTTTGAAAATTTGTAGGTTTATCGAAATTCTTTCTTCTTCTTCTTCTTCTTCTTCTTCTTCTTCTTTTACTTGATTTTTTTTTTCTCGAACTCATTTGACAAAAAATTTTTCCCATTTTATCATTAGCGTTACCCAGATTATTCAATTGTATCCTATAAATTGACTTTTCTTTTTTTTTTTTTTTCGAGAAAAGCCTCAACTAACGAGGGAATGATTTCAACAAAAAAAAAATTTGCTATCGATTCTAATAGAGAAGTTGTGCTTATTTTTTGCATAATAAGCAAAAAGTCTAAAGATCGTGAAGGACTCGAACCAGGGTCCAAAGCAATTGGAAAGCAATTGCACTAACTGCCAGGCGATGACCTCGGTGCAATGAGCACGAGCACCTAGACGCTAAAATAGTTCCGAAAAGGAGGCAAGGCCAGTGTTTGCACGCCTACATGGCAGACCGGGGGAAATTTAGCTGCATATTCGGAATTATCAAATAAAACTCGATAAGATGAAATAAGGGTCCGAATCGATATCGAAATTTGAGCTGAAATCATTGCCTTGTAAGTCGAAATGCTTATCCGTTTTTAAATAGCTGAGCAATTGCGTTATTCGAAACAGTTCGTATTCTCCTGCCACTTTTTTTTTCTTCGTTCTCCTTTATTATTTGTTTTTTTTCTTCTATTGATTTTCATTTTTTTTTACAATGATAAAGTTGCAAAAATGAGCGCGCTTTGATCTGCTCTCTTTTTTGTTTGTTTTTTTTCTTGACTTCGTGTCGATAGTATCCGCTCTAATGTCTCAACTCCCCGATAATAGACTGTAATTCGGCGTTTTCCTATTTATTTCTTCACCTTCAAACGTTTCATATGTAATGTATTTTGTGAAATTTTGGTTATTTGATTTGTTCTTAAGATAATAAATTTTAAAATTGTATGATTAGAAAACTGCACTATAGAAGCTATATCAAACTTTTCAGCTACAATACCCATTCAAGAACTTATTCACCCCAAAAACTCCAGGAATTGAAAAGATCATCAGATTGCAATTCTTGAAAGATAAGGTCTTTGACTTCGTTTTAGGGAATCTCGCAATATAGCTAAAACTGAAGAATTATCGTCGAAGTCTTTGAATACGCAAAAATCTCACACTATGCATCCCAGCCTTGACCACTTTTTTGTTACTCACACACCTCAGAGTTAAACATGTTTATATATTTATGTAAACAATAAGAAAATAAAACAAGAATTTATTGAATAACAATAACAATTTAGAAGCGAAGCTTTGTGAAGAACCATCTGTAATTTGACTAATTAAAAGAGCAGAAAAGGTAAAGTGTAACCTGTTCTTTCCAGTCTTGTATCGTTCCTCGAATTTGGCCTTTGCTTCAAGCGCCGCTCGTCTCTTCTTTCCGGGCTCCTTTAACGACTCCTTGTTGATGTTCGCTTTCTCGAATGTCACATCCAAAGTGTATCGTGTAGGCAACAAATGCGAATAGGAGACAACTTTCAGGAAGGGCTTCAGCTTGTTTCTCGATTCCTGCTTCTTCTTGCCCATACGAGTGGTGATCTAAAAAAACAAGATACATCATCCAGCATCATCGTTTTTAAGTTTCATTGTAAAAACACCTTTCTCCTAACCTTAGAGCTCCGGTTTCACTTTCAAAATTCCTAGCTATAAGAGCTAATTGATTTCACAATAGTCAATACGCTACTCTACATGGCAGGAGTTTGTTTTTTACAGGGTTTTTTATAGCATTACAATAAACCCACGCACCTGCTTTGGGTACTTGTTGACTCCAGCGATGAGCGCGTGTGGGTATGCCCGTTCAGTTGAGCCCTCGTCGTAAGTCTTGACAACAACGGCCTTTCTTCCAGCGTAGCGGCCCCTCAGAACGAGGACCACTTTCCCAGTCTTCATAATTTTGCCCATTGTTGTTGTGTACCTGGAAATAAGAAAATTGTTAATGAAGACTCACTGAATGTTAAAAGGCAATAAAGAAGTGAAAAGAGAATGATGGCTCCAAACCATATCATAGCATAATTGCTCACAAATGTAACAAATTTATTTAACAAAAAACAAGATCACTCAAGCGTAAGTGCCAACAAAAACTCTTCTAAGTTTCTCCTTTTTCTTTTTATTGAAATGCTTCTTGCTTCCCAATTCTGTTGTCGCTGACGACGCCGTACTGCCGGTTTGGGATGATTCATGCACATCGGCTAAACCCCTAGACGTCCTGATATGTGCAGAGCTGGTGTCCCCAGCAAAGAATCCCACGTCGACTTCCTTATTACGGGTCTTCTCGTCAAGTAAAAGCCCACGTTTCTCCAATTCTTGCAATTGAACTGCTCCAGCCCTCTTTGTTTCTCCTGATACTGATGAGGCATACATGAGTTCATTGATGTCTTCTTGTTCTTGATTTGGAGGTGAGGCGACCCACAATATCTTTCCAGTGACAACATCCTTAATCAATAGTCGAGCTGCACGAGAAGAGTCGGGTATTCCAGCAGCAGACATGAATCCTCTGTTGAATGCCAAAGTTGTTAGAAGATCAGTTGCCGATGGTTTCTCTCGATCTGGCAATAGCAGTGAGTATCTGTTCTCCAAGTAATCCAGAGCTACTCTCGACAACAAGAGCGATGTCGGTCCATAATGGTCCCTCATTTGATCCACTGGCATGATACCTACAAATTAAATAATTATTGCAAAGAAATTAAAGTACTAACCATTTAAAAACATTTCATTTCTGCCAAAGGAAAACGATGGCATAACCAGGCCTGGACAATCGCACAAACACAACTAAAACCATTGATACAAATGTGACAGAAGCAACGCTTTACCTCTTTGTCCACCCAGATTGTTTGAAAGTGTCGGGTTTTTCCAGGCGTCGCCGAGACAGAAACCTTCTTCGCGCCGACCAGCTTGTTGATCGTTGAGCTTTTGCCCACATTCGGATAACCGACCATTCCAATCATCAATGGTTTCTCACCAGGCGTCCCAGTAACGTGACCCATTCGCTTCAACATCGCAATCAAGTCTTCTTTCTTGCGAAGATAGCACACATCAGACGCTTCGCTTGAACAAGACGGTTCTTGTTCTTGTTCTTTCTCCATTTCTTCATCATCTTCATCAATCTTTTCTAGCTCATCCATGGCTGACCAGAACACGGCGTTGATGTTTTGTTCGCGGAAGTAAGCAGCCCAGACGTGCACAAGCTCGCTCGGCAACAGATCGGCTTTGTTGACGAGTAGAAGATTTTGCTTAGCTGGATCCACTTCTTTCACGTAATCTTCCAAGTCCTGGCTGCGAAAAAGTAGCGGATTCCTCGCATCGACAATCTAATATACAATAACATTAAGAGGATAGAACAATGCACAACCTGTACTACAATGTCACTCTTTTCAACAACACGCCATAATTCTTTCCACATCTCGGGATTCCTCTCAAAGGGAGTCAGTGACAGTCCATCAACCTAAAGCTACACAAATAAATAAATAAACGAAAAGAACAAACATCTTGAAGCTCGGCCAAATCCTCTCGCCATTTCAAAAATACTTCATTTTCGAGCAAGTTGAGCTCTTCGATTGAATTCCATCGATCACGTGACGGGCGACGAGGAATCTTCAATTTGTCCTTGTATTGGGCTTGCAGTTCAACGTTGTTCAAGAAATCTTTCCTCGACGGTATCACCACACTTTTGTTTCTAAACTAAAAAGATAACTTTAACCACTTCGACTAGCTAGATCAAACTCACTCGCTAACGATCCGAACATTTTCTCGATCTGCTGAGAATTCGGTTCCAGCCAGTTGCGCCTTCGCCAAGAATTCTTCAAGCCCACTCTCCTCGGTGATTGAATCAATAACCTTTTTAGAGACCTAAGCAAAGCATAAACAATGATAGAAACTAAACAACAAACCTTATCCAGCATAGCTGCATTTTCCACCTCGCCCTCAAACTTTGACTTCTGATGCGACCTTCGATTCCGTTCACGCTCGTTCAGTAGCGAATTTCCCAGCGAACGATTCACTCCCGTCGGCTTTTTGTTGCTTGGACGCCGTTTGGTCATTCTAAATCCAAAAATTATCATCAATCTCAAATAATTAAGAATTTCAACAAAAGGAAAAAGAAATGAGAAAAACCTCTAGCAAACCATTCCATTATCGCACAGTAGTGGGGGCGCGCTAGGACTTTTGGCGAGTTGCCAAGATTGTCTAATCACGGAAGAAATAGGGAACTACTGGGTTATAGTTAGATCCTTAGATCAACGGGCCTTTAAAGTTCAGGGGTAGGATGAAAACCAATTTAATTAGCCCTTTAATTTTAATGAGGGTAATGAAAGTTCAAAGAGGTTAATTATATTTAATCATTGAATCTCCATGTAAAAACCATTTGTTCTTTACCCCTAACTAAAATGTAATTCTGGGGGTTTAATATAGTTTAATATGGGCAATTAAAATTAGTTAGAGTAATGAAATTTCAAAAAATTTAATTAGCGTTCTTGGAGGCTATAATGAACAAATTTTCAATTTTTTTGCGCCACAATTAAATTTTTAATATGACTGATCAAATTTTGATTACCCTATCGTAATAACTGTAATAATAGCGTAGCCTAACACAATTTTGCGAATTTTGCGATGCTCAGTTCTCCTCGCTGTTTCGACCAAAAGTGTGCGCTTAGATATCAAAAAATAGCGGGGGTGGGACAAATTGGACCTTTTTTTTGCTGGAAAAGGCCTTAGGAAAGGTCGTAGAGCTTCAAAAATGTTTCATAGAAGGGTATCTACGTATGTGTACGATTCCCTTCTATGAAAACATTTTTGAAGCTCTACGACCTTTCCTAAGGCCTTTTCCAGCAAAAAAAAAGGTCGCATTTGTCCCACCCCCTAATAATAGCGCCCCCCGTACAGTTGCGTAGCCTAACACACAATTTTGCGAATTTTGCGATGCTCAGTTCTCCTCGCTGTTTCGACCAAAAATGTGCGCTTAGATATCAAAAAATAGCGCTTAAAGCTAAGGTTTTTTGGTACTAACAGTTTATTTTAGAAAAATTTGGCCACGTTCAAAAAAATGATTTACTCTAGCGACTACGCGACTGTACGTCGTTAAGGGGGGCGCTACTATTACAAGTATTACGGTAGTTAAAATTTAATTTTGATCAATGTAAGGGGTAATTAAATAGGTCAATTAAATTGGTTTTCGTCAAACCAATAAAAATTGAGACATACCGTAAATACTGTAATAGTACCCCACCCCCATAATGACGGTGCGAAGTGTTGCGTAGTCTAGCTTTGAACGAGTTTTTCTCGGCACTGGTTTATGCTACAATGCGCGCTTAGGTATCAAAAAATAGCTGAAATTCAGGGCTATTCTTTGATACCAAAGACGCATTTTTTTGAAAGTACGGGCGCTTTGAAAAAAATGAAATACTAAAAAACTTTTGCGACTATGCGACTGTACGAGAGGGGTGGGGTACTATTACAGTATTTACGGTAGGAATATGATGAATTTCTAACACTAACACTGAAAAATTTTTTGTGCTAGAAACTATTAGACGGAACTTAGAATTTCCGCTTTTCAAATGATCATCTATAATGATTTTAAAAATTTGTTTACCTATATAACCTTTTTAGTTCTATGCTCGCATTTTCCCCCTCACATTCTCACATTTTTCAACACTTTTATGGCTATCTTCTCTTTTTAAAGCTGTTTAAATTTAGCGATGATATTACGACGTTTATTGGAGCCACAAACGTTGACCTGCTTATCGTTGAGGTGGAATTGTCCATGGCATCGAAGCAACTTCCGTCCATGCTACTTCCCGTTTAAGCTTCAGGTTAATTTTTGTTTTGATTTAGTGTTTAAAGTTGAGTTCTAGTGAGTAGGGATGGTTCATTATCGGTTCATAACGTCGATATCCTTTGCCAAATCTTTGCTAACTTTTTATCACCCCTTTAAAGTTAAAGATTGAATCAGAGCTATCTTTGAGATGAAAACTATATTCGTACGCAACTTTTGTTTAGCGGTTTCTACTCTTATCAGGCTGTTCTGTTTTTATTAGCACGTAAAATTTGCGACAGACGATGTTTATACAAAACAAATCTTTTTTAGGAAAAACTAAACACTCAAACGATTGAGACGCGAACAAAAACCCGTGGCGGACGTTTAATGCTGATGCGAAGAGTTCTACGCGAGCAGCCATTCTTGGGATACGTAACAAAGCCTCCACAACCAGAGAAAGTTGAATATCCAATTTAAATTAAATGATCTCATTTTTTGATAGCTTGGTTTTATTAATTCCATTTTTTGTAGGACATTTTTAGCGTAGATTTATGTCGTTTGTTCATTTTGTCATTATTGGTTGATCGCATTGAGATTTATTGAACTTGAAGTAAAAATCATTAAAACAACAATAACCGTCAGTTTGGAGAACACGGGATAAACAATCACATTTTCATAGGAAATGTTATGGCTAATAATGATGAGGGGTTATAAATATTAAACACAAACAACTAAATAGTTTCAGCATCTTCAGAAACGTAGAGTTTCTCAATGTTGGTGGCAAGGTAGTACCCAAAGACTGCAAGAACGACGAAAAGCAGAATCCAGAGCAAAAGCTAAACATGAAAAATGACTGGAAATCCTATGGGAAAAATCACCTTCTTGAAAGTCGAGTTTCCGTTTGTACTTGGTGACGATTCGCGTGAAACATATCGGAAGCTCTCCTCACCGTGCATCTCCGACTCACTTCCCGATCCTGATTCAGCTTCATCCGATTTCTAAAGTTTAATTTTGAATTTATTAGTAAAAGTAAAATATTCACAAACCTTGATAGTGCGTTGCTTAAGTTGGGGAGATAAATCCGGATAAAGTCTATTTGGAGAGGATCTTTCTCGAGTTGGTGTCAGCTTGAGGTTTGGCGTCTGCTCGTTGACTGTAGCAGAAGCCGATGACTAAAACACAAAGAATTGAGAGTTCTGCTAGGTATTTTGCATTCGAGCTTCTAGAACCACTAATCCTTTTAATTTACTCCCAATGCTACTAAAAAGATCACCTCTTCCAAAACCGATGCATCAGTTCCAATGGCCTTGCGAAGTTTCTTTAAGTAGAGTGAGCTAAAGTTGACAAATCTAGGTCACAATTCAGAAATTAGAACCCTTACCGTGTAGTTTCAGTAACAGGTCCACAATTGATTCCGTGTTGAAGCAGAGTCTCGCGCAACTCAGTGTCCGATAACTTGTCCAATACGTCGGCCATTGCTAAATACAGATTTTTATTATACATGAGAAAGTTGAAAAAAAAGAGTAGACAAATAAAAGACGGCAGCAAGAATAAACATCAATACGAAAATCGGAGGCGGCTACTTTGCGCCAAATTTTTTGCACAACTCGCCATAACTTTCTTCGACTAAGTGGGCTAATCTTTATGATTTTGGTGTCATTTTGTAGATCTCGACATCTCAACAAGTGCAACAAAATGAGACCAAAATCATAAAGACGACCCACTTAGAAGAAAATTATGGCGAATTGCGCAAAAACCAGTTGCGCAAAAAAAATTGGCGCAAAGTAGCCGCCCCCGAAAATCAACTGAGCCTATTGCTCCCATTTCTTGTACTCCATGCTATCTGGTGGCTTCACTTCAGTCTTTTCCTTGCTGATTTCGGACCAATTTGTTGACAGAACCGTGCCATTCGACTCGCTGTAGCTCTTGATCATTGCTCGTCTCGTGTCATCGCTCGCACTAGCGTAGATTTTCTTGAACATTCTCTCGACTTCAGCCTCGCCTTGTAATGGCTCGTCTTCTTCCTCTTTTTTCATCTGCTTCTCGAGGGCATCCCAATCCCTTTTCGTCGTTGTTGGCTGAATTGAATCCGCCTCAATCACCAGCTTTGTCCATCTTCCAGGTGTTGCTTTTGGCATCGAGACCTCGATCTTTGAAGGCGTGCATTTGATGGTGATTTTTGTTGGATCAATTGGCCCTTCGAGTTTTCCAGTCCAAATTTCCTCATCGTCAACGTTGATTCGCAGATGATTGTTTTCGCTGATCCTCGCTTGGCATCGTTCTGGCGAAACATTTTTCTTCATCACCGTCATTGTCACGGCAGCCTCCGTTTGAAACCAATCGAAGCGATAGCTCGTTGAAGCCATTGTTTTTCTGGAAAAAAAAGAGAATGAGAAATTTGCAGGAATTAACGAAATTGTGAAGTGAAAAGGAATAATATCAAGACTACAAGCTACGGGGTTTTGTGACGAAAAAGCGCGCGAATAAGGGGAAAAGAGAGATTCTTAGTGAAATTCCATAAATCAAAATCAATCAAATGATTATAACGAAATTATAATGGCAATTGGAAGGGGGCATTGGGGGTGGAGCAATTGCGACCTTTTTTTTTGCGCCGCGGGTCAAAAGCATAACTTTTTTTCGCGCAACTGGGTCAAAAGTGCAACTTTTTCAGAAGCTTCCTAAACTAAATATTTTTGTTTGAAAAAGTTCTGGGTAATTTGGGAGCGTAGTAATCTGAATAACGAAATTTCAGAGCGTTTAGAAGCGATCTGGTAAATGCACAAGGGGGTCGGAATTTAGAATCTCCTAACAAACCTACTCTTTGGACTTTGGGGAGACCACTTTTTTTTCACCAAAACCATTTTTCCTGGGGTAATTGATGACGCTGATTACGAAAAAGTTATTTTTAAGGAAAGTTATTAATCGAAAATGTCCGTTTTTAAAACTCAAGGTGCTATAGTAGTTGGGGGCCTATTTTTTTGCACCCAGGGGTTTTTGACTATACTGAATCGATTGGTGGTGATAGTTTCACAAAAAATTTCGCAACTTTTAACAACGTTTATAACAAATAGCAATAAAAATGACAACAAAATGTCAAAAAATGGTTTTTGTGAGAAAAAAAGTGCCTTCCCTCAAAGCTCATAGTACCAAAATGTTCAATATTTAGTTTTAGGGAGCTTTTTTTAAACTCCGAAAAACTTGCGCAAAAAAAGTTGTGCTTGAGTGGTTGTGCAAAAAGAACTAGCAATTGTCCCACCCCCGTAATTAAAATAAAGTTAGAATGAAGTTGAAAAGGTGCGTTTTTGGACGGGTGCGCTTTTGGGTCGGGTGCGCAAATAAAAGATCGCTTTTGTCCCACCCCCTATAATGCGCAAAATTTATTTTTGGTTAAGTCGCGCTAATTTCGTCATGCAAAATTTCTTGTGTAAATTTCGTTTTTTCATTCGTCGCGCAAGCTTCATGATCCCGTGAAATGGTTTTTTTCATTCCAGCAACTACCTATCGTATTTATTCCATTTGAAGAGCTTCCTTTAGACAAAATTTTTCATTTTTCGGATTTTCGGAACTCTCGGATAGCAAAATGCTCGACTTTTTAAAGACTTTCAAAGGCTTTAAATCATAGACTATAGACGAAAAAAGCTTAACAGTGTCGAAAACCGGATGAAAACCAAAGCAAAGCACCCATTTTTGATCTTTAGAAAATTTGGGCATACTGTAGCTAGGGCACGAAAAAGAATTTTAGAGGGACATTGAAAAATAGAAGAGCCGGCTCCCCTATGTTTACTGTAATTCTGTAATTACTTAATTACTGTAATACGTCAATGATACAATATGAATTTCGCCTTTTAACTAACATAGATTTGGTGTTATTTCTAAACAGCCAATAGGATACAAATTTCTCTCGCAGATAGAATTTTATTAAACTAACAAAATACCCAAACAATAAAGTGAAAACGTAAAATTTCTCTCCTTAACTTCCATAAAGCAGCAATGCCAAACAGCTTGAATGGAATTTTATAAAAAAACCCGATGCTTGCAAAAAATATCGAGCAGCAAAATTGAGGATCAATAAGAAATCATAAAACTGTGATTCAAACAAAAAAAAATGAATCAAAACGAGACAACTTTCAATAGACAAAGATCGATAAGAAACATTAAAACCAATTAATTATATGGCAAGTGCCACCGAGATCGCGTTTGCTTTGAACATCTTTCCGTTTAATTTTGCGGCGGCATTGTGAGCAGCCTAAAAGTTATGAATTTAAAACAAATTTCACCCACGAATTTCTCAACTAGTCTTGTTCTTTGTTACCTCCGTATTCGCCATGGCTAACATGCACTCTCCAGTGGGCACCGCCTTGTCATCCATTCTGATACGGACACTTGGCTGTTCGATGGGGAAACCGTTGAAGAAATTCATCACATCTTCCATACAGACCTGGAAATTTTGATAGTACACTAAACCTTTAAACACACTAGACTATCTTTTACTATATGTAAAACAAAGCCTTACTCACCCCGTTATCAAAACCCGAACTGATGATTACCGTTCCCGGTGGTCCTAGTTCTCCAGTAATAGACTCGCCAATCTCAATCTGGAGAGAAAAAAGTGTTCATTGTATTTTAGAAAGATACTTTTTGAACGACATCATTTCCGCCAATTCCCCCATCTTCAGAGTTAGAGCCATTTGGACGGGATGAAAAGTGATTTCCACGGCCCAAACCAAAGCCGCGACCACGTCCGTTGCCTAAAAATAAGCAGACTTGAAACAATAGCCATGATAAGCACCTCGCCGGTCGAATCCATGTGGCATATTTTGATTCTCTCCCCAAAGCGGTCTATTTCCGGGTGTACCAAAGTTACCACCACGCCCGCGCCCTCCTCGTCCTAAACAATAAGCCATTAGATAAATTAACATCATTTTTTTAAGAAGGATAAAAATTGTACCTCTAAATCCTGAAACAGGGCCTCCACTGCCACGTCCAAAATGAGCAAAGTCCATCAAGGGTGCTGGCATCGGACCGGGTGGACCATGGAATTGCGGAATGCCACCGATTCCCATTCCGGGACCTGGTGGACATGGTGGACCGCCAAACATTGGTGGACCAACGGAGAACACTGGTCGACCCGGTTCGCGCATCATTGGAGCCAACATTGGAATCGATGGAGCACTAAAGTATCGAGGTTTTATTTATAACAAAAATTTAGCAACCTGAAAGCGCCAAACTTTGTGGGATCACAGGCAACATCATCAAGACCCTGTTCAGCCATTGCCTTCATTGTGTATTCTAAATAAAACATCAATTATGCTCCAAAGAGTTTGTAAGCAGCTCTAGCAAGCAGCAAAAAATTCCAGCGCCGATGTTAGTCTTTATGTGATGCATTTATCTTGTAGTACAGTGTCAATGTCAATGTCAATGTCAATGAGTGTACGTAAAATGTGTCCTTTGTATAGTAAATAAAGTAAAGATTTTGAAAAATTACCAATGGTCTTTTGCTCGCCAAAGCGATCTCGGATTTGAAGATATTTGTCCGCTTCAAAACTTCCAATCCACTTCAATCTAAAATCGGAACATAAAATGGGTTAAATAGCAAAAATCACCTGATTCGTCGACCTTGGCAAAATTCTCTATCCTTTTTCAATGCCTCGTCCATCTCGTCTTTGGTGCGGAATTCACAAATCCAGCGATCACTAGCATTTCCATCTTCAAAAGCGGTACGTTTTGCAAATTTCGATTTTCCACCAAGCCACCTAGAAAAAGATTTTCAATGGAAACTTGGAATTTTACTTACTCTCTAAACTCGTAATCCTTGCATTTAAATGGCACATTGTTGGCCTGAATCATGAAACGATTTGGATCATCATCCAAATGCGGTTTAGATGGTGACGGGGTTCTAGAGGTCATTCGACGATGTCTTCTTGGAGAGCGGGAGCGCTGACGAGGCGATCGAGATCTAAAACATTGCTGTAGCCAAATCTATATAAAAGCAAAAGAATATGTCTTCAAAAATTTTGAATCTCTGCAAAGCATACACATCTAATCGAAATATTTACCTATCCCGACGATCTCGTCCTTTCCAACCCCTTCCATCTCTTGGGCTACGACTTCGACGCCTTGCTGGGCTTCTTCTTCTGCGGGGTGGGCTTCTTGATCGGCGTCTCCTTCGATCTGGAGATCTTCGATCGTGATCTCTTTCCATCGGACCATCACGGTGTCTGTCAGCTGGAATTCCATCGACCGCCGAATCGAAAGCCTCTTGTGTCGTTTTTCTTACTCTAAAATATAAGACTTGTTTTTTGCATTTTTTCGTTAATTTTACTTGATTCCAAGCTCGTTGTTCCGTGCCAATATATCCTGTGCATCCTTGAAACATTCCAACTTTACCAACGAATGAAGGTGAATTCCTAAAGATATAAAGTGTTTTATAAAAGCTTAAAGTTCATACCATTATGATCGTAGACGACTTTGACTGATGAAAGCTTTAGTGAAATTGATGGACGGATCCATTCCTCCAAAGTTGTTGGTCGAAGCATTTCAGTTGGCAAACGAGTGAGTTCGACGTATTGTGGAAACACTGGTGGTGGTCTGAATAAATAAGTATACACTGATTTACACTTAATTCATTACCTCAAACCAATTGGTCCGGGTGGTGCAACGGGTCTATTTGGTGGTAAAACAGGTGGCAATCCATTCATTGGTGGGCCTAAAAAACTTTGTTGTGTTCTGATCAAATCCGCAAGATGACAAACCTGCCATAGGAAAAGCTGGTGTTGGTGGCAACCTTCCTGGAGGCCACGGAAGCTGTCCATTTATTGGTGGAGGTGGCAAATTTACGCGCTGTGGAATCGCAGGAATAGAAGGAAGAATCTAAAGAAAACTTTTGATCTGTTTTTGCCAATTTAACGTTTTGTATTCTTAAAAAGCTTTACCTCGTGCTCAGGTTTTTTCCAGGATTCACTCTTCTGTGGTTGAGCAATCGGCGATCGATTTGTCGTCAAATTCGAGATTGTAGGCGATGTAATGCTTTCTTGTCCCTTAGGCGCAAACGGTGGTGACTTGAACGGTGGCATTTGAGAGCGATCGAATGGGGCTGCTCCAGGATGCTGTTGCGAGCTTCCAGGACCACCAAAAGCACCGGGAACACTAAAAAAAAATATGATAGTAACCAAATGCGAAACGTTTTGATCAATTTTTTTGATGATCAATTGATTTTGTTAATAAAAATTACCGCACCTTGTTGCCGTCAATGTTTTTTGTTCGAAATGTGAATGGTCAGCAGATGCAAAAGCTAGAAAGAAAAATACAACTTTAGACACAATAATTCCAACCTGAATTCAAAGCAAATTGGACATTTTCCGGTTTCAATGTTGTTCCATTTTCTCTGGAAGAATGTTCACTAAAATAAATAGGTAAGATTCCTTTTTTTTTCTGATAAGGTCAAAAGAAATTACTTTTTATTCGGTGGAGAGAGCAATACTTGACGTTGAGATGGTGCATTTAATCCTCGAGGTCCATTCACCGGATAATTCTGTCGATATGTGTTCGGCTGACTTTGTTGAAATGAATCGACGTTTTCCTAAAAGCAAAGTTAATTTTTCAAGAATCATAGAAGAATTCGGTTCTTTTCCAATATCGGGGGAGCGGAAGGATTATCGGGGGAGCGAAAGGAAAATCGGGGGAGCAAATTTTGGCAGCGCTACATATGTCCTATATTATACAAACTACCGCCATAAAATCCGCGAATTACCCGTTATTCTCACAACCTTTATATGAGATCACAAAAGTGACTTAAATATCTAACACCCAGCGAAGAGATCTTTTCCCTTTGAGCGGACTTTCATCGATTCGCCACAATTGCAAATCCACGACTGGATGACTCCTTTGGTGACGAAATAATCGATTGCCGTCGATTCCTTGAACGCACAAATATCGGAGAAGCGCATCGTCGTTAAAGTTTGAAAAAAAATGTTGCAGTTAAAATACAGTCCCGGAAATGCATTTTTTGAGGACGCAAAATTTGCTCCCCCGATTTTCCTTTCGCTCCCCCGATATTGGAAAAGTACCAAGAATTCTTACCTGTTGATATGTGTGCTTTGGTTGTTGACCGGATGGCATCTGCTGTGAATATTTCGGCTCTTGTCGATACGCGTTCTCCGTGGTGGCTGGGCCATTGTAGGCCGTCAATCCATTCCATGCTGGTGATTCTTCTAAAAAAAAAGATTAAACGAATTTATTTCCAATTATTAAAGGTAGAAGTTCGCTTAAACAAGTCGATATTCTTTTAGAAGTCGATATTCTTTTAGAAATCGATATTCTTTTAGAAATCGATATTCTATTTACTCGTCGATATTCTATTTACTTTTAGAAGGCTTACTCTTTTTTAAATTGTTTAATCGATATGGTTTAAAGCCCAAGCCAAAATAAGTGTTTAAAAAAAGGTGCCTGCTCTTCCAAATCGCCAAAAAGTGCCTGCTCTTCCTTTTAACTTTTTTCGATACTAATAAACTTCGGAGGGGCACCTTGACCCGACTTGATCAAACCCTATTCTAGGCGCGTTTTTTCTAGTCTTGTTTTGCATTTTCTGAAAAAATCAAATACGCTTAATCTATTGACAATATTTTTAGAATATTTTGAACAAGTTATCACTTTGTTTTTTGTCTCTCTCTTCATTTTTAGCTTAGCAACACTGCAGAGGCAAAACTTCAGCTAGCTAATCGAAATATCAATAAAAATTGTTCAAAACTTTCTAAAAATATTATCAAAATCATGCTTGATTATCCCGGAAAAAGTAAAACGTTGGTAAAACAGTCAAAAAAATACCAAACTGACCAAATCGGGTCAAAGTTTATTAGTATCCTTTTTTCTGGCATCAGAGAAATGATTGCTAAGCTAAGATCACTAAACATTTCAGAAAACACGCTACCTTGTTGATACTTTGGTCCACTATTTGCAATTGGTTTTGGTTGAGCGGTGGTTTGTGGATAAACGGGCTCGTATGGAGCACCACGGGCATACGCGGGTGGACTTGTTGCTCGAGGCGTGGCCACAACGGGCACCTTTGTCGCCAGAGCTCCGGCCCGAGCACGAGCGATCACCTCATTCATTTCATTGCGCGACGAAAATAGAAGTCGAACCTGAAGAAAATGAATGTTCACTAAAAACTAAAAAATGTTTAGCCAGTCTACTAGGTTTGCCAGCCAGTCTACTAGGTTTGCCAGCTAGTCTACTAGGTTTGCTTATCGATAAAGCTAGTGCTCAAATGGCTTAAATCACTCATGCAATAAGTTTTCATGAAAATTTCCCCTTGTGTATTTTCAATTTTGCTCTAATTTTGCATAGTTTTTAATTTCAATAACAAAAAGTTTTCCATATTTTTTCGGGGTTGAAAATATTTAAAACTTCAAATTACAATGCTTTGTTTGACTTAAACAGTCGTCAAAAAAGTCTTGATCGGTTAGTGTTTACTTAGTCCATAGATCACATCCAAATATATTGACCATAAATAGTTCTATGTAGCAGATTTCTAAAGGTTGTTAAAATTAAATCTTTAGCTTTTCGATATCCTTTGAACTAAGAGTTTTATGATCGAAAAACCTTATTTTAGCATGATTTTTTAAAAATCTTTATTTCAAGAATGTTCAAGAATGAATGGATCCCATTGAAAACGGTTCCAATTATAATGGCTATTACTTATCTATTACTTATCTATTACTTATCTATTACTTGTCTATTACTTATCTATTAATTTTGTTCTGGTGAAAATGAAAGGCTATTGACAGTTTTGAAGACTTGAACAAAATCTAAGAAAAAGGTCCCCTCGTCAAATGTCAAAGTAGCTTGAAAAATTCTATTTAGAGCGACATCAAAAACCTAAGAATATCATCTTAAAGCTCTCACAAAATACTAAAAAAAAAACTAATTGGGATCGATTTATTTGATCTAAAGATTTCATTTTGATTTATTCTCGATCGATTTATTTGATTTTATTTGAGAAAATACTAGCCGACCAAGACTCATTGGCCTGCACTTAGGCCAAGCTCTAAGTCTAGGCCAAGACGACTTTACTTAGGCCAAGCTCTAGGCCAAGACGACTTTACTTAGGCCAAGCTCTAGGCCAAGACGACTTTACGTAGAGCCATCCCACCAGCCTGTTTTTCACGGCACGATTTACTGATTTACCGTTCAGTTTTTACATTTTTATCAGGTGAGAAAATGAAGTTATTTAGGTAGATTGAAAATGAAATCATATAGCCATATTATTTCATTTTAAACTGTCAATATGAATATTTCCCTAATCGAAATTTGTTCGTGAACAATCATAAAAAGAGTTGTTGTGAGTTTTTACTGCTGCTGACGTATTGATTTTTGGAGAAGAGGCTCGAAACCAATAATATCTCTATCTCTATTTAGAGTTTCGAATTCTCTATACCAAATACAGGGTGCGACATGTATAGCGTAGCGCTTAATGCATCTTTTTGGCTTTCTAAAACAATCCATTAACCTAAACTGAAAAAAAACAATTAATCATAAAATCTACGCGTAATTTTCCACATAATAGAAGAAACGTATCATTTTTTAATGAATTTGACAACCCTAGCCAAGAAGTACAAAAAATGTTATGAGGCACGATGCTGAGAAACAGTTAAATTTGAGTTTGCGATCTCCAAAAATCGTCTTTTTCCGTCTTTTCTGCATTAATATATTTTTTAAAGTTAATTATTATAAAATTAGTGCTTTTTGAGCTCCATTATTGCAAATGCGAGGTTATCTTGGCTAAAAAATGAGCACATTTTTGACAAATTTCATTTTTTCGAGAGTAGCAATCACGTTTAAAGTCTTATATGAAACGAATAAAGTTTTAAATTTTTGTACAAACTCATGAATCTAGTGAAAAAATCTTCGTAGATTTTAAATATCTAAACGAAAAAACTGTCAACTCTTTTGATTTTTGAGAAAATTATCCTTTTGTAGAGCGCAACACTATATACACTACTGGACAATGAAATATCATATTTGAAAAAAGATCGTCACTTTCGCGCGTCTGTAACTTCCTTGTCTTTACCGTATTTCTAAATATTAATATTACCATTGTGTAGCCCTTGAAAAGAGCTTTCAGAAAAAATGTATAACACTAATAGTTTAAACTCAAAGACAAGAGAGTTACAGATGCGCGAAAGTGACGATCGTTTTTCAAATATGATATTTCATTGTCCAGTACTGTATGTCGCACTCTGTAAAAACTTCACAGAATTTTTGATTCTCGTGCATAAAAGGGATTTGTAAAATAAAGGCATCAGAATTTAACGTCCAAGATTCAGAGAATATCCATCCATGAAAAAAAATTTCCATCTCGGATATGTAAAACTTGTTTGGTGTCAAAAAGGCTGTTGAATTTTCAGTAAAGATAGGCGGCAACGTTAGAATTTTGAATGCAATTTTGTGATATCTTAAATCAGGGCTTAATAGCAGACAGCCCCAAAACTTGGTTGATTGAGAACGGGAAGTTTTGTGAAAAAAAATATAATCCAAGATGTGCAAAGGGCCGTCAACTGGCGAACAAAAATCAGCAAAAACAGGCACTACTCATTCCCAGTTATAATGGACTGAAAACTGATATTTCAGAAACAAGGTATTACTCACAAGGGAAGAATGATTGGGTGGCCTTTTCCGATGATATATAGACCATTCAACGCAGAATTTTATGCTGATTCCAATGATGCAAAAATTTGCTGTCGAATGGCGGATAATTACCGCTAAACTGGGAAAAAGGTTTGAGTCTCTTCTTCTAAGCCGAAAATTCTGCGTCGAATGATCTGTATATCATCGGAAAAGGCCACGGGACTAAATTATTCTTCCCTTGTCAGTTCACTGAGAATAGTTTTACTTTCAGAGCTATGTACGGAGCTATGTACGGGGCGTACATAGCTCTGAAAGTAAAACTATTCTCAGTGAACTGACAAGGGAAGAATAATTTAGTCCCGTGGCCTTTTCCGATGATATATAGATCTTTAAGCTTTCAAAGGAAAAGGAGGGATAGAAATTTTTGGTTGAACAACAAAACCAACAAAAGCGATGTCAACTTTTCAGAAACAAGTCTGTTGAGTGTAGCCCCTGCTTCAAAAGGAACTTTGCAAATGTGAGTTACTTTTTTATCTTTTAAACCAAGCCAACGGGATTTTTTCGCTGTTTCAACAAGAAGAGACAAATCCAAAACAAGGCGTTCAAAGACATCACAAGCGACGCTGAGTGGCTAGGCCATATTCGAGTTGGGAGAAGGCTGGTAGTGTGTGTGTTTGTAGTCTTCGAGTTTAAAGGTCCTTAAGCCAAACTCTTTCTTTAGCGGAAATTTTCTTGTAAGTTTCAACTCACAAGTATCCGGTCGAAAAACTGGATAAAGCTAACATTTCAGATAGGTTTGTTGAAGAGCTTGTCTAAAACCCCCAAAAAACTCGTTTGCACTGTTACTTTCTTTTGTCAATACCTAAGTTTTGAAATTGGGCATTTTTGCACACTTTTGTGCCTTTCCATTGTTGAAAAGTCACAATTTGGGTGTTAGCTTTTCATTTTATGTGTCACTTGATATTGAGTTCAGGCATCAATCATTGCTGAAACTATTGATGCACACAATGGCTTTCTCTAAATACACTTGAGGATTCAAAAATGTTTTAACGCCCGTTGATGGCTTTTCACTTCAACTGTCGTTCATTTTGTGAAAAAACAACGTTTCCGATCATTTTCCACCATTAAGATTGTCTAAAAACGATACAGGGGCGATATTCGATGAATTGCTTTCCTTAGCTCAAAAACGTACTGCGGCAAACGGCAAACGATGGCTGCTGAGCGCTTCCCAAATTCAAGGATTCGCATCGTTAACAATCTTGATTCCCAGCTAGTTAGCTCATGGCTTATCAAGTTTAAGCACCAAGTAACTACTCAACGACGGAGAAAGGACAATGATGAGTAAAAATTACTCTTGAAAGATGAGAACGAACAAAAGACCATCGAACGGTGGATTTTCAGTTCAGATGAAAAAATTGGGTTAATCAAAATGGGCTTTTAGTAAACTAAAAGTAGAAATCTTCCAGTCCAAAAGTTGGATATTTCAGATATATTGAAGGGCCTGTATAAAGATTTAAACCTCTGAATGCTATTCATGCTAAACGCTAAACATTTTTGGCTAAGAAGTATAAACTTCTTGATTCAAAAATTCGCAGATAAAAGCATTAGTTTTTGATAATCGATAATTGTCCAAGTCTGGTAGTTTTAGAAAATTTTTGAGCTTTGCAAGGCAAGACGTTAAACTTTACCGCGCTGCCCTACACCGGTAGTAACTCTCCAGTTATTTTTAGCCATTTTAACGCTTAAATTTAACTATACTCATTTTGAGGTCTTTTATCAAATTTTAAACCTCTTAAAAAAAACCGTAGATTCACCTCTTCGCCGTGAATGTGCTGTCGATCCTTTTGAAAAGCTTGTCGAGCGTCCTCGTCATTCGAAAACGCAATGAAACAATCTCCTTCAGGTCCACCGACAATGTGTACTCCGCCCTCAGGAATGCGCAAAGCGCTGAAAAAAGCTCGTACATCGCCCGCTCGTGCAGACAGTGGCAATCCTTTGAGTCGAACAATTATCGCCGACGAAGAAGCCATCGCTTGACTGTGTTCTCGTAATAAAACTCGTTTCTTATAAAGCTTCCTATCTAAAAATGAAAACGTTTAGAAAGCTTTTAAAAAATTGGGTTTGTTTAGACTGAAATTCGTAAACGCAAACAGGGCTTTTTTTTCATAAGGGGGGCATTCTTTTTAAAATTGAAAGCTAAATCTTTTTGAACAACAATTTAGATAAAATTAATGTTTCGAACAAACAGACAAAAACGTATGAATAAATCGTAAGAAGAGCAGTTCGTGGTTCAGAAATGAGCAGCTCTGTTCGAGTTTCACGATTCGATCGATATTGCCAAAGGGAAAGACAGAAACGAGCTTTGGGTACGGTAGCTGGGGCACTTTTTCCCACTTCGATTTCAACAAATCAAAATCAGAAGACAATTTATTATCAACAATCTTAACAACTTTGCACAACAAGAAACTAAAAACAACAACCGAACAAAATACCTAATTACTAAACCTATAACAACGATAAAACAACGCTTAACGAGAGATACACAGAGAAAATTTCTTTTGCAACTCTAAAAATCAATATTTGCAAATAAAAGAACTATTTTTTCAGTAGACCAGCCACATCAAACGGAGATCAAACAATAACGGCTAAATAAATTGTTATCAAAACATTAGTTGAGCAAACTACTTACTCGATAAATCATTTAACCGTTGCACCTTTTCAGCATTCAATATTCTTCCCTGTTCTCGAATTGTTTCCCGAAGAGACCGCAATATTTTATCGTCATCTAAAAGAAAAATGACAGTGAAGAGGGAAACAAAACTAACCAAGCATTCTTTTGTTACCAATCAACACAAATTGCCGCTTCGCTCGCGTCACAGCGACATTCATTCGACGATAATCGTTCAAAAACCCCAAAACTTCTATAACTCTCAAATTCTTTACACAGCTTATGATTAACCAACTTTTCCGATTATCGCGAACCATTGAGAAGAGAATAACTTCTTTTTCTTGTCCTTGAAACGCGTCAACTGTATTCACTATCAAACCTTGATCGCTCAACATCTTTGAAAGGACTTTAACCTAAATAAAAACAATCATTAAAATATAATTGTATTTACCTGTCCAAAATATGGAGTAATGACACCAATATCTTTAGCATTCACTCCAACGTTGATCAACTTTTGCGCATAATCGAGTACCACTTTTGCTTCACCTAAAGTTTTGCCTTTGTAAATCAGTAAAGTAAGTGGATATGAACCGCTAGAATTAATAATGCTAACCTTCATTAGAAAAAGACTGATTGAATTGGTTCTTCTTCTCGGAAAAATTCAATGAGCTCGTATCAAAGAAGAGTAATGGCTGGGCAAAGATATTTGTCTCCGGTAAAGAGCTGATTTCACTAAAAACTATAAGTTAGCGATTGTACATACTTTCTAAAACTAAAAAAAACAAAGCAAACCTCAGGTTTATGTGGCGATTTTCCTCTCCAGCCTCTAAACGTCCTTCGTAGAAGTTCTCATTAGACCAGCTAAATTATAAAGTTGTATTAAAAGAGTACACTCCTTAACAGTACAAGATAAAACTAAATAAATTTTTTCGTGTTTAAAGTTTATTAGTTAGCTAATAACCTTAAAAAAAAAACTCACCGCATTATCTTCTCATTCATTCTGTATTGCTTTGTTAACAAAAAGTTGATATTACAATTCTTGAACTCGTTGGCGAGACGTTCCATCAACGAGATATGAAGTTTTTCATTGCGTGCTCTAAAATAATGTAAAGCAGTAGTGCGTCGATTAAATGTTAACTTTCTAAAAAACCGAACTCCTCAGAGAAGACTAATGGCGGTAATTGTTGATGATCTCCGACGAGAATTACACGGCGCGCATTCAAAATCGGTACCCAACTGGCCGGTTCGACGCATTGCGCCGCTTCATCTAAAGAATACACTTAACAATTTCTCGGGCGGAACTTTGCTATCTTAGACTCCCTAAAGCTTACCAATTATAACAACATCCGGTTCCCATCCATATCTTCGTACGCCCGCTGTCATGCTCGATGTTACCGTACAGAAGATTACATTTTTCTTCGCAATCACCTCCTATATAAAACAATAAACTAGAACGAAAAAAACACAACTTTTATTATCCCATGTCTCAACGCATTCGCTTTTTGAATCATCATTTTTCCATTCACACTATCATGTGTAGCTCCCTAAATTAATTACTAATTAATTTAAAACAAAATTACTTACCAAACTTTTTGTAATTGCTTCGAATTTTGAGAATTCGGGGTGTTTCGCCATTTCATTATGCATACTTGTCTCAATCTCAGAGTGAAATCTGATGGCGTGCTAAATAGCACAAAATAATTAATGGTATGGGATCAATTATCAACTTGTTCGTCTTGCACTCGATCTAAAGCATTATCGACTGCCGAATGCGATGGGGCACAAACGAGAACCTGAAGAAAAAAATTTGTTATGAAATCTATTAAATCAGGTTCCTTGCCATCAATGCTTCTACTTGATCACACAAACTTTACCTTATTTCCTTTCCTTGTCAGTTGATAAATAATTTCGCTGATGACTTTTGTTTTTCCTGTTCCAGGCGGTCCCTAAAAGAATAGCTTGCTAAAACCTAATAAAAGATCAAAAAAGAGACTTGTATACACATGAAGGATCTTCGCCGATTCATTGCTGCCGCAACTGCTCGTTTTTGCGATTCGTCACAATCAGAAAATGTTCTCACTTCTCGGTCTAAATATTGATATTTTATTATTAGAATCTATTCACTAACCATTTTGTATCGTTGGGAAGGGAACATCGCGAAACGCCGTTGACATTATGAGATCACCCGGATACTGTTCGTACTTCTTGATGCTGCGTTTCTAAACAGAAATTAAAATGCTATATAGACAAGCACAAGCTAATTAATGAGTAATGATATTACATCTAATTTACCTTTAAATGATCCATCAGGGAATGATATGAGCCATAAGTTGTGCTCAGAAGGAGTGAATAACGTTTGCCTCGTTCTATCCGTTGTGATTTATCATTGTCTTGCTTTCGAATTTTTAGCTAAACTAAAAAGTTAGACTGTTTTACATTCGCGTTTTATTATATTTCACTTACTCCAACAAGATTTGATTCAAAACCATAGATGACTGCTTCTGCGACCTTTTCTTTTGCATCTTCCGTATTTATAGTCACTGGTGTACCTAAACAAGCTATTTTCATTAAAACAAAGAGTAGATACTTACCGGCTTTCAAAATTTTTAGTTCATCAAGATTTCGTCTATTTGGAACTCGAAAGACACACTGGAGGCCCTAAAATTTAAAGCTGAATAAAGTCTGAAATTATGTTAAAAGCTAACCATAAACGGTGAATATTCTTTCGAAGTGTTTATCAATCCACCCAAGAATCGTCCTCTTGTTTCAAGTGTTTCGAGTCCCTCTTCGCCTTGATCGAGCAAGTTCAAGTACTATAAATAATCGAGATTAGTGAAAAAGTTCAGTTGATAGCAGAAACTATTACTTTACTTAACGCTTAGGAACATTAAATAAAAACACACTTAACAAGATTTGATCGTCGTTCAAGTTCAATGCTTCCGAAGCGTTTCCAATCAAAATTTTTGCTAACAGACTTACTTGTTTTTCTTCGGCTGCAATTTCTTTCGAAAGAAGCGATCCCCATTCTTTCAGCTTTTCTTGGCAGTGCGGTGTCAAAGCGGCTTTTTTATCTATTAGATTGGTGCATAAGTCTTTACAATTTTTTTCAAAACGTCATTTTAAAATAATACCGTCACCAAAAAAATTTCTATTTGAACTATTAAAAAGCTAGATTGTTTCTCTGCAAAATGGCTTTTGGGAAATTCTTGAAAGTAGCTGTTTTTCTGGATTTTCAAAGGCGCAAAGGCCAGACCCAAAACTGCTCCGATGCTGAAGTCGAAATTTGAACACTTTCTTCAATACAAACCTATTTTGGTGCCAAAGTAAAAAAGATAGAGCTTATTTGATTACATGAGTCCGTAAAATTTGAAAACGATGTTTCTAGCCATTTTCTTTAAAACAGCAATTGAAAATTTTACATAAAAATTCGTTCTTATCGAGTTGAGGCGAGCTTTGAGCTTTCTCTCAAAAGCCATTTTGTAGAGAAATTATAGACCTTTTTAATAGGATGTAAGAAATTTGCTAAAAGATCCTTTTCTATGGAAACAAAAGGATTCTACGGATAACGGGCGGGGGTAAGTTTTTTGGCCAACTTGCAGCCGATTTCTAAGCACCTTAAACTTGTCAGATCAAAAAGTTTTAATAAGATTTAGATTGCTTAGAACGTCAGGTTTTAGAAACTATTTGTTTTATCAAAAGTTATTAACAAAAACGTATCTAAAATCGGGATGCAAGTCGGCCCAAAAAATTGCCTCCCCCTCCTTCGTTATCCGTAAAGCAGGATTATTTTTAAATGATGTTTTGAAAAAAATTGTAAAGACTTATGCACCAACCTAATAAAAATAAAATACCTAGGTACATTAGGTTCATTACATAAAACTAAAAATACCTTTCTTTCTATTCAAAATAAGTTTTTTTCGAGTAGCGGTGCTGGCAAGACGTGTGAAGCTTTTGATTTCGCTTCCGATGACTCTCGATAGCATCAAACGAGAAACTAAAACAATTGTTTTTAAGAAAATGTTGAGTGACAATCTCAAAAAAGAAACAAAAACTTTTGAATGGCGTAAGAAGACAAACTACAGAAGTGAGACCGGGAAATGATGGGAAAGGGGAAGAGAAAGAGATCAAATTTAGCGCATTTGAAGGATTTCTAAAGGGTTTCAAAACATTCACAAAAATTCACAGAAAGTTCAACGTTGGGAAAAGTTGGGAATGAAAAATGGAGAGCAGAGAAATTGTGTTGGCTTTTGGGGGTAGGCTAGTTTCCGCAACAGGGTTATTTGCGCAACTCGCCATAACTTTCTTCTAAGTGGGCTAATCTTTATGATTTTGGTTTCATTTTGTTGCACTTATTGAGATCTACAAAATGAGACCAAAATCATAAAGACGGCCCACTAAGAAGAAAGTTATGGCGACTTGCGCAAACGACCCAATTGCGCAAATGACCCTGTTGCGCAAAAGAAGTAGTGGAAACTAGCCTACCCTGGTTTTTGGGGGTTTTGGACCTATTCAACACGGGAGTGGGACAAATGCTACCTTTTTTTTGCGCACCCGGACATTAGCGCACCTTTTTTCGCGTTTTAAAAAAAGCTCTAAAAGCTAATATTAACCAATTTCTATTCCAAAAGTTGTTTTTCTAGGTAATTTGAGGGTGTCGAATTCAAATTTTGACATAACAGAGCGTGTGGAACCAATTTGAAAGACAAAACGACTAGGTCAAATTACAGAAAATTTTTCTGTTGATTGTTGATTTTTCTCTTTGTCTCTCCGTCCGTTCGCTTCCACAAGCTCTGATATGCCAAAATTTCGATTCTACGCCCTAAAATTACCTAGAAAAACAACTTTTGGAATAGAAATTGGTTAATATTAGCTTTTAGAGCTTTTTTAAAACGCGAAAAAAAGGTGCGCTAATGGGCTAAGTGCGGAAAAAAAGGTGCGCAAATGTCCGGGTGCGCAAAAAAACGTCGTATTTGTCCCACTCCCGGGTTTTGGACTACCTATTCAGCACTTAGCCTTTGCATGGAAATACACAATCAAAATTTTACATAATTAGAATAAATATGGACTTATTGGACAAATATAAGGAAGTTTTTAAAATGAAAAGTCATTTCTATTCTCTCTGCAACTTGCTTTCGACGGTTTCTTCGCGTTAATGTCTTCTATTACGATTTTTTTATTCTTTGTAAGTTTTTTGATGAATGATTTGCTTAATTTATTGCAACGATATTCGAGAGTCGGCTAAATTTTTGAGAAAGTTGAAATGTCCTTTAAAAATTTTTTTTTAGGTTTCGTTGTTAATCGGGTCCTTATCATTGCCGCCAATAAATCGAGAGGATATCATTTTGAAAGAAGAAACATCCCTTTATGCGACTAAAGTACGTAAGAGTTTAAGTTACTTGAAAATACGATTAATTGAGGCGCAAATATTATTTTGTGTTGAAATGTGAAATGCGTTCATGAAATATTATTTTATCAAAGTCGTTGAGAGTAGAGAAAATTTGTTAGACATTTCAAAGTTGTTAGTCTTCTTATTTTATGTAAATCTTTAGGTAATGAAGGCAAGAGTTTTTGGATCAGAAAAGACAACGACTCACGTGGATGAAAGGTCTATATTTTGTATTTACTTTTCAACAAAATGTTTTTAGAAGTTCAGCGACGATCCCAACAACACCAGCACCACCGAAGCTACCGGCTGAAGAGTTTGTATCTTGTGCTTACTACTTACTAATGTGTTTTTAGAAATGTTTCGCAAACAACACTAGCACCGACAACACCCACTACTCCTACTCCTCCTACAACTCCAACTCCAACTCCAACTCCAACTTCAACTTCAACTTCAACTTCAACTTCAACTTCAACTCCAACTTCAACTTCAACTTCAACTTCAACTTCAACTTCAACTCCTCCTACAACTCCAACTCCAACTTCAACTCCAACTTCAACTCCAACTTCAACTTCAACTTCAACTTCAACTTCAACTTCAACTCCAACTTCAACTTCAACTCCTACTCCTACTCCTAGTCCTACTCCTAGTCCTACTCCTAGTCCTACTCCTACTCCTACTCCTACTCCTACTACTCCGACAACTTTGAAACCATCGCCTTCACCATCTGCGACACCTGCCCCAGAGCCCACTCATCCAACACCTCAGTCTCCAAAACCCGAAGCTTCAGGGTAATTACCACTTTTAATCATCTTTATGAATCCACGTTTTTATACTTCTATACATGTGCATAGTTATAATATTTCTTTAATTACATCTTTTAGTGGCGGTCCCTCCATCGGAGCCATCATTGGTGCAGCGGCGGCGATCATTCTCCTAATACTTTGCTCCTCCATCGTCGTGGTGTGGATCGGGCTTCGCAAGAAAAAGAAGAGCACGAAAGGTTTTTACTTAAGAATAACCGTTTCTAATATAGGTTTTAGCTACAAAAACTAAGCTAACGGAAACACCAGTGGTTGACGATGAAGACGTGTATCCAAAGACAATTTTGGGTACGACAGTCAATGTGAGTTTTGGAATTGATACCTTTTAACAACATCTTTATTCAGCCTGAATTGCAGCCCTATCACATTCCGACTGACAAATTCACGTACAAGGGACCGGTTGTACTACACAACGCAATGCTTGCAGGGCCAAAGGTATATAAAACTCATGAAATAATCAATACAATTTGTTCACTTTCGAGAAACACCGTTTTGCCCAGCAAAAATCAAAGTCGATAAAGGCTGTTGAGTGGGATGATGCGGCAAATGAAGCTTACGAGATCGGATCAGAAATCGAACAGATACAGGCATCTAATTAACAAAAGTAACATTGATAAAATTCTTTTTCTAGGACGTTGCACCGGAAGAGATGATAAGCACGAAGTCAAAGAGTGAAGATATGAATGTGCTAGAGGTAAAATTTCTATGTGTATGCGTGTTATCGATGATCGTTTAGGAAACGGCACCGCTGGAGATCGTTCCACCAACTCCGCCCACCAATACAACTATTCAATCACATCGAACCGAACAGGGAAGGACAAATTTGAAGAAAACGAGAGTATGCCTTTTTGTCTTTGTTTTTTTGTGAATACCACTTATATATTTTTATTGGTTTATATCTTTTTTTGTTTAGAAGTCAACGAGTAAAGCGGAAAACAAACGACTGAAGAAACCGTCTTTCGAACGGAGAAAGAAGCGTCATACCACCGATCAACAATGAAAGATGTTACAACATCACTCAATATAAAAAGATGCCTTTTAAAACTGTATGTTTATCGAATAAAACCTGCTAAAACAAACCTACTGTTTATCGAATTGCTGAAAGAGTTAAAAGAAATGTTTTGTTTGGGGTTAACATTCAAAATGTAGGTAGATGTTGAGTTTCTCGTGTAGGTAGATTCAAAATGTAGGTAGATTGAACAATTTTTGCAAGTGTAACTTCTTTTCTACAGACATACACAAAAAAAATGATAGCTAATTGTAAATCTACAGTAAAACCGTGCATGTACTCGCCATTTTTGTGCTCACACAAGTATAGTGCTTGTACTGTTTTTGCAAGTACTACTTTTTCTAAAAAGCATCAATTTTACAATAACTATCATCCACCTCTAGTTTTCCATTCGATCAGGCAAATTTTTGTATCAAATTTTTGTATCGAATGACACCAAAATTGAACTGATCAAATGTAAACTGGCGGTTTGGTTACGGTATTTTAAAAAAAATAGATGCCTTTTAGAAATCGGATTGCTTAGAGGAACACACTCTAAATACAAGGATTGTGTGTAATAAATAGCCTGGAGGAAAGGAAAAGAGAAATCACCCAACGAGGGCCCATCTCTTTTCTTTCTTTTCTCTAAAGACCCTTTAGACTCACCCGTTTTCCCGATTTCTTCTCAATGCTTACACCATGCACACTGACACGACTGCAGTGATCGGTTGAAAGGAAAAGAAATCTCCCCTATCCCATCGAGAAGGCACAAATATTGATTTCATTTCGAGAATGATCAGCTTCCATTTCATTTGAAATGATCAGCTTCCCTTTCGTTTTTGCTTTGGTCAAGCTTTATTGACTGGCTTGACTGGCTTGACTTTATTTTGATCATTCTTGCAACTAGGGAAAGATATGAACTAAAGGTGAGCTTTTATCTGGACACCTAGTGCACTTTATAGAATCAGGTATGAGGAATCCAAATCTAAAATAAAAATCTGCAAAATGACTTTTCAGGCGTGTAAAACTTCAATCGAATCGAAAAAGGGATGCTTTAAAAAGGCTCTTTTCTAGCGAGCGAGAGGTACATTGGTGGCATAGTGGATAAAGCATTATGTTTCCGCCCACAGGATCAAGGTTCGATCCATTGATTCGGCTTTTTGTTCTTGTTTTTCTTTTGAAGCAACTTCTAGCATTTTACAGCTAATTGCATTCGGTGTTTTGTTATCGATTTTCATTTTTAAAAAAACAAAAGCCTGCATCGGGGACCGAAATTTGACCCTGTGGGCAGTAGTCTAATGCGTTATCCACTAGGCCACCAACGTCGGTTTTCCACGGCTAGAAAGGAGGCTTTTAAAGTCTCCGTTTTGACGCCAAATTTTCGATTGAAGTTTTACACGCCTGGAAAGTCATTTGGGGGATTTTGATTACAGATTCGGATTCCTCATACCCGATTCTATAAAGTGCATTAAGTGTTGAGATAAAAGCTCTCCTTGAGTACGTGCCTTTCCCTACTTAACCCTCCACCCACTCCAACAATGGTTCTAGTTCTTTGGAAAAGTTTATCACAACGCTACGGTACTAAAACGGTACTTTTTTTTTTTTTGCAAACACCCCCTATCTAGCAGTCTTTAAGTTGCGCAAGCATTGATTTTGCGCTTTTTTGCAAGCTTGCAAGCATTTTTGCGTGGTGTAAACATCCCCTTTCTGGAGCAATAAATTCTTTTCATTTGTCTATTCAAATCGGGAAAATGAAGAATGCGCCAGAAAGGGCGCGTTTACCACTTCTCGAGCACAAAGATCATTCAGTGCTTAGCTTTTTAAATATTATCATCAAATTGTTTGAAGTTGATCAATTCAAAATTATTCTTTTTATTTCTTTTGCCTTTATTCTCTATTATTCTTTTTCTATCCCCTTTCATCTATAAAATTTGGTTTTGGTTCCTTCTCTCTACAAATTTGGTTCCTTTCATCTATTTCATTCTATTTCATTTTCCAGGATGCGACTCCTCTTGTGGGTATGTCTTCTCGGGCTTTGTCTGACCGTTGTGGAAGCAAAGAGTAAAAAAGGGAACACAAAGGTGAGCAATTTACGATGAATGCTTTGTTTTAAATAGATGAATAACATCTTTTAATGGGAAACTCTTATTTCGTATAGGTTATGAGGCCAGTTCGAATAGACAGGAGATTTCGAATAGTTTTCCAAGCCAAACCTAACTCAATCTTCATTTTCTCGGCCGCTTCTTAGCCGATTGCTTTGAAATTTGACCACCAGCTAGCCTGTCTGGCCACCAATCTGGACACCAGCTGGCTTTGTCTAAATTTTATCTAATTTTGTTGATTTCTATCTGTAGACAAAATTTCAGAGGAATCGATGAAGAAACGGCGAAGAAAACAAAGGTGGAATTAGGTTCGGCTTGAAATTTTCCCATGCCTAGACTCATCCTCAAAAAAAGTTACCCTGAACAGCCAGAATCAAGATTCTCTCTTTACGAGCTACGGATTGACTTTTGAAAATACTCTTTATTCAATAGAATATTCAATTGGTAATCTTTATTTATTTCAGACCACCGCCGCCGAAGAGGTCCCCGTTCCACAGCCGAAAAAAGCGTCAACAAAAGCCGCAGCTGTTCGTTTTTAAATTCGATTCAAAAATAGCTTCAATTTAAAAATACCGTATTTTTTATTTAACATAAATTTTAAAAATTTAACATCAAACAAAAATAAAATAAAATAAAAATAAAAACAAAAACAAAAACATAAATTTAACATAAAACAAACAAGTAAAAATAACAGAAACAATATAAAAAAACTGCGTTTAGGCACCTACCGTAAATACCGTAATAGTACCCCACCCCTCTCGTACAGTCGCGTAGTCGCAAAAGAGTTTTTTAGTATTTCATTTTTTTTCAAAGCGCCCGTATTTTCAAAAAATGCGTCTTTGATATCAAAAAAATAGCTGAAATTCAGGGCTATTTTTTGATACCAAAACGAACATTGTAGCATAAACCAGTGTCGAGAAAAACTCGTTCAAAGCTAGACTACGCAATGCTCCGCACCGTCATTATCGGGGTGGGGTACTATTACAGTATTTACGGTATCTACAAAGTAAATACCTACTGCCTTATAATCAACAAAAGTTTAGAGAAAGAAGAATTTTTCTCGACACTGGTTTATGCTACAATGTTCGTTTTGGTATCAAAAAATAGCCCTGAATTTCAGCTATTTTTTGGTACCAAAGACGCATTTTTTGAAAATATGGGCGCTTTGAAAAAAAATGAAATACTAAAAAACTCTTTTGCGACTCTTTACTAAAAAAGGTCGCATTTGTCCCACTCCCGCAAATTTTCTTACCGTAAATACCGTAATAGTACCCCACCCCCTCGTACAGTCGCGTAGTCGCAAAAGAGTTTTTTTAGTATTTCATTTTTTTCAAAGCGCGCCTACTTTCAAAAAATGCGTCTTTGGTATCAAAGAATAGCCCTGAATTTCAGCTATTTTTTGATACCTAAGCGCGCATTGTAGCATAAGCCAGTGTCGAGAAAAACTCGTTCAAAGCTAGACTACGCAACACTCCGCACCGCCATTATGGGGGTGGGGTACTATTGGGTTGGTGGAAAAGTCCTTTCCTATTAAATTTGTCCAATCTTGACGTTTTATAGCTCATCCTTAGCTGAATTCAAGACGGATCGATTGGTAAAATATTTTTGACGTAAAATAAAAAAAGCAAAAAAAGGCGACTTTCGACTTTCGACTTTTTTCGATCGCCTTTTAAATGCGGCTTTTATTGGAAGGCGATTTTAGATTAGAGAACTGCTTTTATTAAAAGAAATATCTAAAGATCTAATTTCTAGAAAACAACCACTGAAATCGGAAATGAAAAGAAAAAACCAGCCTCGAAGAAGCAAGAAGTGGTGAGTACTGTTTAAAATTATAAACACTTTTCTTTTGCATTCTTTGAATTGAATTCTTTTTTTCTTATTGTTTCAAGCTTTGTTTCTTATTGTTAAAATTCAATGCGCTAGAAAGAAAGTGTTTACAAATTTAAGCACAAAGCACAAATGATAATTTTAGGCCTCAAAAAACGATGATGACAACACGATTGAGGATGTTGATGAGGACAAGATTGATGAGATTTTACGAGACGCAACAAAAAATCTCGTCATATTCTTTTGTAAGTTCTTTTTTTTTATCTTTTTTTATTCAAAATCTATTTCTTTATAGTCATTTTTTGATGAAGGCTAATGAAATTTTGAGTTTTTAAAGTTAGAATTTGATTTACTATTAGAATTTGATTTGTTATTAGAATTTGATTTGCTATTAGATTTGCTATTAGATTTGTTATTAGATTTGCTATTAGATTTGTTATTAGATTTGCTATTAGATTTGCTATTAGATTTGCTATTAGAATTGCTATTAGATTTGTTATTAGATTTGCTATTAGATTTGTTATTAGATTTGCTATTAGATTTGCTATTAGATTTGCTATTAGAATTGCTATTAGAATTGCTATTAGAATTGCTATTAGAATTGCTATTAGATTTGTTATTAGATTTGTTATTAGATTTGTTATTAGAATTGCTATTAGAATTGCTATTGTAATTGCTATTAGAATTGCTATTAGATTTGCTATTAGAATTGCTATTAGATTTGTTATTAGATTTGTTATTAGATTTGTTATTAGAATTGCTATTAGAATTGCTATTAGAATTGCTATTAGATTTGTTATTAGAATTGCTATTAGATTTGCTATTAGAATTGCTATTAGAATTGCTATTAGATTTGTTATTAGAATTGCTATTAGAATTGCTATTAGAATTGCTATTGTAATTGCTATTAGAATTGCTATTAGAATTGCTATTTGATTTGCTATTAGATTTGCTATTTGATTTGCTATTTGATTTGCTATTAGAATTGCTATTGTAATTGCTGTAGCTTTCAGATATTACTTATCGTTTTGAAAAAGTTCAAAAAGCTTGAATAATCATTTCGAAATTTAGATGATGGTCGATCGTCATGTCCCTCGTGCACTGATGCTCTATCGGAAGTGGAAGAGATTGATGATGACATTGAAGCCACCGGATATATACAGGTTTATCGAGTAACCCGTAATGTGTTGCTCTTTCTCTTTCTACCATAATCTTTTCTCCATATTCTCTTATCACTTTCTCTTTAGTTTTATAAGAGTTCAAAAAGGGTATCGAAAAATAGAAAAAGTCTATATCGTAAATACTCTAATCGAAGGGTTTCTAGTCTAAGTTTACTATCAAACAAACGCTCATATCTTGACACCAGTACATTTGAAAAATCAGCTTTTTTGCCACTTTTCAACCATTTTTTCTAAGCACTGGTTAATGCTAGAAATAAGTTTTATACCTCAAAAAATCACCCATTCTCTCTACTTTAATTTGATACCAAACTTTAGAGGGTCTAGATTAAGATAAAAGCTCTAATTGAGGCACCCCCTATAGGAGCGTCGCGGAGTCTAAGTTGACACTCAAAGAACCGCTCATATCTCGGCGCCCAGACATTAGTTTCTGCGCGCTTAGATATCAAATTAGAGTAGAGAAAATGGGTGATTTTTTGAGATATAACAAATATTTTTAGCATTAACCAGCGCTTAGAAAAAAATGATTGAAATGATGAAAAATCAGCTTTTTTGCCACTTTTCAACCATTTTTCTAAGCGCTGGTTAATGCTAAAAATTTGTGTTATATCTCAAAAAATCACCCATTTTCTCTACTTTAATTTGATACCTAAGCGAGCAAAAACAAACGTACTGGTATCGAGATATAAGCGTTTGTTTGAGAGTAAACTTCGACTACGCGACGCTCCTATAGGGGGTTCTATTAGAGTATTTACGATAGATTGGATAAAATTGAGGCAAGATTACGGTAGTTTACGAAAAAGGGCATCTTTTAGGAAGCTATCTAATCCGAATTTATTTAGGTGGTGAAAACGGATGATCGAAGTGTTGCTCGAGAGTTGGGCGTGACGACTTTCCCGGCACTTGTCTACTATCGACGAAAGAATCCGATTATGTACGATGGTGAGTTCGATTGAAAAGATGTACACTTTGTGCGTAGTTTTGTAAACACATCTTCTCTAGTGTACTGTTATTTTTTTCAGGAGATTTTAAAGATTCGACACATGTTCTCAAATGGTTACGAGCTCACGATGAGGTGGGGGGTTTTTATATTAAAATACTAATTCTATTAAAATGATTGAAATTTCATTTAAAACTTAAAAAGAAAGATTTTAAGTTTTTAAAGAAATATTCAATCGAATTTCTTTTGATTTTGGTTATTGTAAAGACAAATTTCTTTGATCTTCATCGGTTGTTCGGATATAAACAAGCGTTGCTAAACTTATTGTTGTGAGAGAAGCTTTTAGAGCTTCTTTTAAAGCTTCTTTTAAAACATGTCTTTCTGTATTTAAAAATACGTTATCTTGTGCATATTTGGAATCTTTTTAAACGGATAATTTCTTATTTTTAAGATTTTTTTTTTGCTTTAGATGAACGACTTCAAAAATCAAGTTTGCGTCTACTTTACTTATCAATAAGCCTACTTTACGACTTGAAACTGGGCAAAACGGTAACGGAATCTCATTGATGTTTGGTTAAAGCATTTGGGAATGATGTATTGTTCGAAAGCCGATGCTGAGCCTGATTCCAACGCTTTCGGAATGGTGATGAAAGTCTCGAGGATGATCTCGTCACTCTCGTCGACCTCAAACAGTAGACAACGATACTTTGAGAGCTGCAATCGAATCAGATCCATGTCAAACGACGCGTGAACTTGCTCAACAATTTCTATGTTCAAATTCTACTATTGATGAGCATCTCCACGTCATTGGAAAGACGATCTGATGCGGGAAATGGCTTCCAAAAAAAGGGTCAACAAAAGCCTCAGCTGTTCGTTTTTAAATTAATAGATCTGATGCGGTTAAGCAGTTCAAACGCTCGTTTATATCCGAACAACCCAATAAAAAAAGTTTTAAATTAGTACTTTGTGCTTAAAAGTGCCTCTTCCTCTTCAATTGCATTGCAGTACGCTAGAAAGTGTGTGTTTCCACTGGCTGAGCATAAAGAACATTTTTTTTACTTTCAAGGTGGCCACTTGGGAGCTAACAGATGACAATTTCGAGTCTCGAACTGACACCCATTCACCCGATGAGGGAACGCTCGATTGGTTTGTGATGTTGTAAGTTTTTTATGTTATTTAAACTAGCCAGCTAGCTAGCCAGCCAGCCAGATTGAACTTTTAATGAACTCCTTTCAGCTACGATGCCGACGAAGCCCCGTGTAACTCGTTTGTGGCCGTCTGGGAAACTGTCGCACATAAGTAAGCTCTAGATTTGGAAAAATCTTCTTTGTCTTTCCTATTTCTTCTCAGGAAGATAGCTCAAAAGGACTATTGAAATTGGGGCTGAGGATAAGCTCAAAGTGCAAACACAAATCGGATATAAGCATTCCAAATATCTATCCACCTTTTGCCTAAATCCTGATGAGAAAAATGCATTTGAAGCTTCGTACATTTTCGAAAAATCCCCCTTAGCCAATAAGAACGTGTCAAACGCAAGCCAAAAAAGAGCAGCGGTGGTCTAGAGGATAGTGTGCTATACTACAAAACCGATGCCGTTTCTTGCGGTGGGTTCGAGTCCCGCCAACGACAAACTTTTGAAAAAAGACAAATATCATTTTCAGGCTATTACAGTGCTTTACTTTACTAGGAAAAATTATTAATCTGTCGAAAAAGCTCTTTGAAAAGATTCCTTTCAAAAGCAGTATGATCTTGTTAAAATGACAGTGACAGGCTTTTTGTTGATTGGTTTTTAATTAATATTGAAGCGCCTGTAATACTGTAATAGCCTTAAAAATGGTATTTTTCTGTTTTTCAAAAGTTTGTCGGTGGCGGGACTCGAGCCCTCCGAGAGAAGCCGCGTGGGTATGGAAATTTAGCACACTATCCCCTAGGCCACCGCTGCTCTGGGTTTCCTCAGGGAGTGGCCTGCCCTTATTGGCTATGGGGCTATTTTTCGAAAATGGTGACACGAACCGAGCCTACGACATTGAAGGCTATTCTTTGAGCACTCACATCTCTGTCTACCACAGTGGAAGATCCGATGAACCAGTCACGGTTGTCCATGAAGAGAAATGGTCAAAACTTGGTTCGGACTTCGAGTTTATCCTGAAATATCAGCCCTAGTTTCGATCATTTTCTTGTCAGTGGTAAGTGAAAGGTTGAGGGTTCAATTCCCCTTTCGGCTTCAAATCCTTTTCCATTCATTTCCCATTCATTTTACTTTATTACTGTAAAGTCTCGTTTATTAATGCGAAATCTTTTCCCATTTTCAGACTTCGCGGTCTTGTTCATGTGGGTAAAGTGGAAGTGTCGGTGAATGATGATGTCACCGAGAGATTTCATATTGATGAGAATGAATGTCCGACTTTTTTGTTGTAAGTAGCTTTTGAGGTTGTTAAATTTCCATAATCTTCTTAATTAAAATAGCATTATATCGAGTAGTCGGTTAAAGTAACTTCTTTCTGTGAGTATTGTTTAGAAAACGAAAGAAACACGCTAGAAACCCGTCAATTATCGTATACATTAGCTCAACAAAGATTAAAGTCTCATTTTATTGTACTTTTAGAGCTTTTAGATCTTTTAGAGCTTTTAGATCTTTAGCTCTTTAGCTCTTTAGCTCTTTAGCTCTTTTAGACGGTCTATCGTAATAGCTTTTCATTGTTTAGAAGAAGGGATTCTAAACTTTGAACCGTTGATTACTCTAGCTAGCTTTAGAGTTATGATTTTTTTGAGATTAACTCAAACAAACTGTGTTTTATCTTCTATTTTTCTCTATTTTAAAAAGAATTCAATAAATTAACAATATAAAAAGAATTGAATTCTTAGGTTTCATCGTGGGAAAATGTATCGATACAAAGATTCGGCAAAGGACGTTCGATCGCTCACCAATTTCGCTCTCTTCAAATTTAAAGAACAACGGTTTATTTTCTAAATCTAAGTCTAAAGCTAAAGCCTAAGAAAACAAGCTAAATCCTTTTCTTAAAAGCCGATCATTTAGCGGTCATCGTGTCCCCGATCCACCCACTGCTATCGAGCATTTCTATGAGTTCGCTAAGGAGAAAATCTTGGATATTATGGTGAGAATATTTCAATTTCAATTCCAATTTCAATTTCGTTTTTTCAACAACCAATCAAAGATTTGATCAATTTCAGGATGACAATCATACCCTTTCCGTGGTCGGCGTTGGCGGTTTGGTGCTCATCGTGGCGACAACGCTTTTCTTGAAGGTAATTTCAGATTACAATGCGTTCTTTCACTTTCCTAAATGCTAAAGCGAAAAAAGAATTTTCTTTTAGCTCAATGAAGCTCAATAAAGCATAGATTACTTTTGTAAAAAATTAAGAGAGCTAGAAAGTTGATATCCTATTTCTATTCTAAATCCTATGCGGCCTATCCAACGCAGAATTTGACTTCCTTATACATGAAATTTTTGAGCTAAAATGGCTGCCACCACTGGTATGATCCATATAGTTGCCACAACTGGTAATCCATATGACTGCCATACCGATCCATATGACTGCCACCACTGGTATCATCCATATGACTGCCACAACTGGTATCATCCATATGACTGCCACCACTGGTATCATCCATATGACTGCCACCACTGGTATCATCCATATGACTGCTACCACATGGATTACCATCATGAAATTTTTACCATAAAATTAAACCTATCTATTGGCATCATGGTGTCATATCAGAGTTGTCATATCAGTATAAACTAAGTTTTACAACCAAAAACTATCGATTTAGAACATTCAGAACATTTAGAACAATCACTTTTACATAAAAACTCTTTTAGCTCGCAATTTTCAAAGAGGCAACCAAGTTCTACTTATCAGCTACTAATCAATAAAGTTTTTAGTTGAAAACGAAAGTTTACATGTTAACTCTGATATCACGATCCCAATAGATAGGTTTAATTTTATGGCAAAAATTTCATGATGGTGATTCATTTGGTTGCAGCCATATGGATTACCAGTTGCGGTAGCCATATGGATCATACCAGTGGTGGCAGTCATATGGATCATACCAGTTGTGGCAGCTATATGGATTACCAGTGGTGGCAGTCATATGGATCATACCAGTGATGGCAGTCATATGGATCATACCAGTGATGGCAGTCATATGGATCATACCAGTCTTGGCAGTCATTGTGGCTCAAAAATTTCATGTATAAGGAAGTCATAAAACCAGAAAAAAGTGGAAAACTATCAAAAATTTGCTCAAAATATTCCACTAGCCACTAGAAATTCTGAGAAAAATCGCGCTAAACTGACTTTTTTTTTTTTTGGAACACTCTGTATATTCCGTTTTTGCTAAATGACAATCTGTCAAGAGTTTTAAGCGTCTAAAGTTTTGTTAGGAGTCTGAAAAAGTGGTCATTTGGGTCTTCTTGCGGCCTCCTAGCGGCCTTTTTCTGGAGCCGATTCAACGCAGCCGTGGCCGAATGGTACAGCGTTCGCTTCCAGAGCGAGATCTCACTAGTTCAATCCCCACCGTGGATTTTTCTTTGCTTTTTTAAAGTGCTGACTAGTGTTCTGCAAATGTTCTCGGTCCAATTTAGCGTCTTAGCGGGTCTTATCGGCCTCCTTGCGGACCGGTTTCGTTACAGCCGTGGCCGAGTGGTACAGCGTTCGGTTCGAGAGCGAGACCTCATGAGTTCGATCCCGGCTCCGGTTCTTTCCTTTCCGCTTTTTGTTTTTCCACAACTTTAGACGCTTATAAGACTATCATTTAGCAAAAAGGGATTTGAAGTTTAATGACCGGAAGTAACTCGTTGACAGTTTACCTGACTAGTTTTACCTAGTAACTCGTTGATTAGTTTACCTGAGTAGTTTTCCTCGTTGTCCAGCTTTGTCCAGCTACCGTAACAGTCACAGTCAGTAGATTTCTTTTGTAGCTACGTTTAAAGTCTAGCGTAGCCTAAACCAATCGAAATACAGACGGCAGAGGAGACGGTAAAAAAGTTAGTCTGGGTTACGGTAAGCGGGGGCACATTGTAGAGCGTTCAAGTTGTTGTTTGTTCAAGTTGCACCCGTTTTACGGTAAATCAAATATCAAATGAAACTCAGGCTCAACGCATTCGAAACGAATCTCACGAGAAGCAGGGATAAAAGAAAAGACTCCAAAATTCGCCTACCTGTTCATAATTGTTGATTTTTTTAAAAATTTCTATTCTCGATTCTCATTTTTTCACTCCTTGCCCCGAAAATTTTTCTCCAAATAACCTTTTTTTTATTTTTTTTTTGCACACTGCCGGTGTTCGCTTTCGATAGGGTATCACTTTTGTTTTTTTGAAACAAAAAAGCCTTACAAATTTCTCATCTTTGTTAATTTAACGAGATCAATACATTTATTTTTGAAATTTTGAAATTTTATATGCAATTTGTTTTTTCTTTTTCTTTTTCCAAAAGTCGTCGATAGTCGCTGAGATCATCAGCTGCCGAAACAATCTGAGAACAATCTGAGAACAATCTGAGAACAATCATGATAACAATCTGAGATTATATCTTTGAATATCGTTTTCTAAAACTTTTCCACTATCACACTACCGTAATCTATCGCCATTCCTAAGTTTTCCGAAAGTTTCCACACTTTAGAAATCGAGTCTAACTCTAGACTCGTCGTCGATTTTGTGAAAAGTAACCCTGGATACTGTAGCTCTAAGTACTCTAGTACTGTCTTTAGGTACTCCAATACTGTCTCTAAGTACTCCAATACTGTCTCTAAGTACCCTAGTACTGTCTCTAAGTACTCTAGTACTGTCTCTAAGTACTCTAGTACTGTCTCTAAGTACTCTAGTACTGTCTCTAAGTACCCTAGTAGCTACTGTACTCTCTAGCGAGCACTTTTTAGGTACACTGGTTCACTAGTATTTGAGTATCGCGCTCGCAATCAGTTTCTTTCTGACTACTGTCTATTCTGAAAGGGTTCTCTAATGCGTTTGGTGGATTTCTTTCTAAATCTTTTTAGATATTTTCATCTATAAAATTTCCCCACCTAAAGCCCGGCTTTTCGCTTGACGTTCAGCGACGCTTCGAGGCTTTCAATTTGCGCGAGTTCATTTAGAATTCGTGTCTCAGCCTAGGAGTATTTATTGCTAGATTTGGTAAAGTTAGTGCCAAATAGAATTCACAGATAAGCTTAAAATATCCTGGTATTCGTCGCACTTTCTACCGTAAACCATTTTCTATTCGGCACTAACTTTGACCAGTATTAAGTGGATTGAAAAAGTACACTTGTTGGGAGCTCTAAAGCTCTACAATACGAATACTATTCGGCTAGACATGTCTCACCTCTTTCCTCAGCCATCGTTCTTGCTCCAATTGTCGCCGTGTCTCCACCAACTCCTCCCTAACTTTATCAGCAGCTTCTTTCGTTTTGCACAATTTGTGTCGAAGCAATTCGATTAGATTTGAACTCATAGGTTAAAGCAAAGATAATATAAGCGGAATCGAATTTGTTCTCAGCGAAAGAGAAAATCGATAGGTCACTCCAGTGTAAAAACTATGTCAGCTGCTCCCCCTCTTCTTTTTTTTGAAATTTGAAGAGATTTTATATAAGAAAACAAATTTACAAGCCACCGGTAACAAAATTAAAAGCTAACAAAAAATCAAACAAAATCAAAATTAACAAAATTTTTGATACCATCCTAGGATACTATAGAAGCGCGCACTTTGGGGCCCCGAAACTCGGCTTACAACGCCTTTTCCCAAGCTCTCATTGTGTTTTTCGGGAATATACGCATAAAACTACCCAAGAAAAAGTGGTTTTGAAGAAAAAAAGTGCCCGGCCCCTCAACTAGGATAGTACCAAATTTTTTACCACTGGTAAGCAAACAAAAAAATTGAAAGATAACAACATAAAAATCTTATTCTTCCATCTTTTCTTCCACATTGGGATCGGCTAACAAAGTTGGCAACAGAACCTAAATTTTTTTTAATAAGCCCATGAGTTTAATAAAAACCTGTAAAAAGTGAGCCATATCGGTGAGGTCATTCGAATTTCCTAAAAAATGTAGCTTCCTAAAAGTGCGAGCAAAATGAAATCTACCTTCTTCCCGGGAAAATCCAATCACAAATTTCTCGTTGATCAAATGAAGAGCGACATTAACGATGAGAACAGATGTGGCGTCCGAGGCTTGCTTTTTGTTCAAAAGCATTCTTGAAACCTGAAAAAGTCATGATTAAAATACTAAAATTCCACCATTGTCTCACTACAGTGTAAAAAAGCTATTCAATCAACAGGTCAGCATGCTGTAGTGATACAGTAGGTTTTCAATGACAGGATTATATAGCATACTGTTAGGTTCTCAATGACATTAACAAAAGCACAAAAATCCCACTCACCTCTTTCTCCAATTTTAATCCACTCAAATGTTGTGCACGAGCCAATTGCTTCTTAACCGCACGTCTGCCGATCCACAGTTGATTGGGTAAGGCAAAACTGTAAGAAGTTTGTAAGAGTTATGTCGCAAATGTCATTAACCGTCCGAGAGACAAATATTCGTGATTCCCCTCCTCTTCCAATCGAACTCGCTTTGCCGTCGGGTTGGTGTCCTTTTGCATTTGCAACACCTAAAATTCTTCATAGTTTGATTGACATTTGATCCAAAAAAACCTACTTCTTCAAAAATCGTTAAAAGCTCTTCTGAAAACTCCTGCAAACTCTTGTTTCCCAGCTCAATTTGACACTTTGCATCTAAATAAAGTCACATTATTTCAAATCATGAAATTTATCCTACCAGCTTTCACTTCTTCCTCGTTTGTGAGACGACTTTCGGGGCGCATTTGTGTACAAAGAGCCACAAATGAATTCTATGACATATTTTTAATGATTGTGAAGCTAACAACCAACTTTATTTTTCTTAAGCGAAGCAAGTCCCAGCATCATGTGGCTGCGCATTTTGGAGAACATTTTCTGCGAGAGATTCTGGCAAACATTGTGGGCTTTTTCAATGGGATCCTAAACATGACAAGATGTGAACAAAATATAAAATCCGTTTACCTCAAGATTCAAATGCCCATATTTGAAGTCGGCGTGTGCTTTGCTTTTGTACTCGGTCACTGATGTTGGTGTAGTGTGCAGTGAAACAACATTCGAGACGTCGAATTGCACCCAAAAAGCAAACAACCTCTAAAATGAGTTGTTAAAGAGAAAAATTTTTGTGATCTACTTGAAAAAGATGAACTAGATCCTGGTTTTCCAAGTTGAATGCGCCAATTTTGTAATCGATTCTCCAGTCAGCCGCATATCTGCTCGTAGCACTGTGTTCAAAACGAGGCAACAATCCTAAAAATAAAATATTAGTAGCAGAAAATTAAAGAACTTTACCTTCATTTTGAAGAAAATAGATCGCCATCAAGTATAACATGTAAGCGTTGAATTGTCCTTTCTAAAAGCACTCATGAAATTCACATTTTGTTCAAAACATACATGTTGGCTCTGTGGCGGTTCGAAAAGACCAGCTGACAATGCCCAAATTCGGAAGCCCAATAGGAGTTGGCGCAATTTTCCCGACGCATCATGCAAGAGCTAAACTTTTATGTTTAAATATACAAACAGCCAAGTTACCAAATCACGAAGATAAGCCGACTTTGAATAACCAAGCTCGTTATCGACAGAGAGATCAACAAGAATTTTTCTAAAACAGATTCTAAGTGGTAACAGCTTAAATTGGTAATCCATTAACCTGTTAACCACAAAGCGAACGATAGGACATCTCGCGTCAAGTACTGGCTTTTGTCCACTCACCCATCCGACTTCTTTGCGGATCTCGTTCAGAATTTTACAAACGAAACGGCAACGATCTAAAAGTTATTTAATTAAATTTGAACTTTACATTCATCTCATTATTTTTATAATGCTATTGTAAAGAAACTACCTGCACTGCTTAGTCGATGAATCTCTTCCGGTGAAAGGCGTCGATTGCGAAATGTGTGAAGATCGGCCGTCAACATTGTGTATTTATCCCTCAAAGCTACGAGATTCGGCGCGCTGTCTGATAATGCTTGAAAGCATACGGTTGCATCCTAAAATATGTAATTCAGCAGTTTACCTCTAAATTATACCATATCCGAGCTGGTGATCCCCAAATTTGTAATGGAGGAACCGAATAACTGCACCTAAAACCAGAGTTACTATAACGCACTTGCTCAAACAGCCGACCTTGCAATTCGCAAAATATTTGGCCAGCTCATTCTCTATGCGTTCACAAATCTCGTTTCGTTCCTGCACCTGTAAAAAAATAGAGATTTGCCTTGTTTTTACCAACATACATCTTTCTGTTTCATTTGAACTTCATTGATGCAAAGATCCAATTGGGAAACAAAAGATGTCATCGATGAAGCTTTCTAAATAAATACTTAAATAAGATTTCAAAGAAAATTCCAAAATACCGTAAAAATTGTGTCAAAATCAGGCGCTGCAGCGTCGAGCGTACTTGAGACACTGAATTCAATTCGACGAGGCAAAATCGACACGGTTTCCTGAAAAGATCAATTAAAATTTAACAAGTCCAATTAATACTTGGTTCAGTTCAATGTGTTTCATCTCCAAGGCTTCCTTTGCAGTACTGGCCTCCTCAAACTCGAAAATTGCATGATCTGGCGTGTCGGCTTTCCATATAACCCGAGTTACTTTACCCAGCTAAAAAGCATTATTGAATGTGAAAACATATAAAATGGACCTGATTAAAATGATTCTTGAGTTCTTCAATGTTCAACGAGTGCTTCGCGCGATTTCTCAGAAACACGCTGCGCTCGGACAAGGCAACGGACTTCTCCAAATCATCGTGCGCCCGGATGTGCTTCTTCCCACTCTAAATATAGTAATACAAAAGTTTTTATATCATAAGAATACGGTGGTATTAGAATTTGGTGCCGATCCTACTTTTATCGGGTTAAAAAGTAAAGTATGACCTCGTGTACTTCCAATGCGTCTGGACCCTCGGGAAGATCCACTTGGCACGTTTCACAACGAGACATGTTTTACCCCTTAATGCATCTAATTACCTCCAAATTCGCCAGTCTTTTGATGATGTAAGCAAATAATGACATTGTCTTTTCACTTTCAAGTTTGCATATCACGCAAAATAGGTAACCTTTATTCCCGTAAAATCATGCAATAAAGTTTAAAAACGAAATCGAAACACAAAGCAAATTAGAAATTGCACATTTTATTCATTTTCTCGCATAGAAACCAAAATTTCGAGGGCCACCTAAAACAAAACTATACCAATGATAATATTGCATAAGGCTTCACCTCTACATTTCCGTTAGCTGCCGCCAAAGCTTCGAGGTTTTGCGCATCGTCAAGAAATCCAAATTCGTGCAGTTGTGTGAGTTGAGTCTCATATCTAGACGTAAAAATATTTTGTTTTTAGAATAAAGAGATACTGTTGAGGCATATTTGTGTCAGGAGTCGATTGACTGGAACTTGCCGGCGGTTGATTTCCAAGATTGCCAAACGCTTGCATCATAGCAGCTTGGAATTGTGCCTAAAAACAAGTTGAAGATAGATATATTTAGACAATAGTTCTATATGTAAACTATGTATCTTTTGATACATAGTTTGATACATAAACTATGTATCTTTTGTAAACTATGTATCTACTTACCGGAGTGATGAGAGGCGCCGCTGATTGATTGGGCATCGGTGCGTTCAAAAGAGCACCCATTTGTGGCATCATTGAAGGAGACATCGGATTCCGTTGAGCGCCGCTAATTTGCCCTATAAGTTTATGGATCACCGAAACGAAGGTCGGATGTTTGCTCAACCACTCGGCAGCCTTAAAATTTTGATTTAAAAATCGGCATCTGAAAGCTTACCGCTTTATTGTTTTCATCAAAGTATGAGCTGAGCAAGAAATAATCGGACAAAATATGCAATGCTTCTCCATCGGAACGCAAATTGGGCTCACTTTCAATCTATAAACAAGCTAATCAACTCGTATGGTGTAAAGTTTTACCTGTTTACGTACAAAATCTGGATCGAAGCACGCAGTCGTAAACGTATGAAGCAGCTAAAATAAAGAATAACAGATTTTAAATAAATCCCCACGTAGGCATTTCGGTCTTTTTGTAATTCCTTGAAGAACTTGCGAATATCATCGATTTGTTGAGCCGATGCCTAAATAAGAACATAGGTGTTTCAAGCGTTTGAAACATAAATACCAAGCTCGAGGGTGGTGATGTTTCTCGGCTTACAATCCGCAAAACTGTGTGCTCGTCCAATTCATCTAAACAAAAGGTACCAAAGGCAATAAAAATATACAAACCTCCCAAATCGTTCAAATAAAATGCTGACTCAAGACGATTTCCCATGTAAGTTAAATCTTAACACAATAACTAAAAGTGTTTTTCTGGAAAACTCACAAAATTCTTCGCTTGGTTCACGCTGAGTGGTCGTCGTTATAACATTTCCGGCAGAGAGTGACTAAAATAATTTTAGTTCAAGATATCAAAAACCAAACCTTTATTTCCGCAAGCTCAAACGTCTTCGAGTGATCGCCATAGTATACTCGAACCATTGCGGGTTACTATCTGTAATATTTACTCATTAAATTTCTATTAATATTCTCAAAAAAGAATTGAAAAAAACAAAACAACTAAATGCCCTAAAATCACAGAGATAAACTATTCAAAATTTTATACAATCTATCTAATAAAGAAAAATAATAATAATCCTATCGCACTTATTGAAAACATCGCCGTGTAATAGTGCAGGGAATCCTAAAAGAAATTATATGGTATACAAATTCAATGCGTTACCTTCTCATATTCTTTTTGCCTATCTTTCATCATTTTCTCAAAAGGATCTGCTTTGAAGCGAGCCTCGAACTCTGCCTGCTTCCTGCTGATCTCTGCTTGTAGTTCGCGTTCTTCTCTAAAAGTGTTATGTACACAACCTTTTAGATTTAGTACACACACAGATTTAGCAGATTGATTACCTCATAGCCGATCGTGAATCTCTGTACATTGTTTGTAGTCTCGCCGACTCTTCGTCCCATTCACTCTAGAAACATGAAAATTGTAGCCTTCAATAAAACAAACCTTAAATTCTCGCTTTTTACCACCAAGACCCTCGAAAAATTCATGAGGAAAGTCACTATTCATGCGATTTTGTCGTTGCCTTGTTGATTTCTAAAATAAAAGTTCCTTCGCAAAATTTTCCTGAATTGCCTGAAAGTGCTCAAAATCCTTATAATCGATGTCAATATCGGTGTACTGCTTCTCTCGAGTGGAGTTTCGCATGGAAGAGGCGTAAGATCCTTTAGAACTGCTAGGGGTCGATCGAACTCTTGTCATGTCGTAGATCTAAATTCTGTCTGTGCAAAAAAAGTAAATCAATGCTACCTTTCTATTTTCTTCGCTGCCGAGAATTTCGTAAGCTTGTGAAACTTCGTGAAATTTTTGCGCGGCCACATCTTTCGCGTCGCTTCCGACGACATCTGGATGGTACCTAAATAGCTAAAGCTTCAAAACCACCAATTTACCACAAACCTCTTTGATAGCTTATAAAAAGCAGTCTTTATTTCTTTTTGAGAGGCGGTGTGTTTAATTCCAAGAATCTAAAAAACATGTTGATTTAGGAATCCAAATTTAAACAAACCGAATAGTAGTCAGTATTGGTGGAAGAAAAGTACCGCGTTGCGGTCAGAAAACATTCAGCGAGCGGTAGTCGGAATTTTTGTTTCAACATGCAATAGATCCCTAGACATTATTTTATAATATTCTAGAGTGAAATGGTGAAATTAATGTTAAAATGTTTTCAAAATGGATCTACCAATAGAGTGAGATTCAATGAGAAATGTCCAAATATATTTATCGACAAAACAACAAACAAAAAGCCAAATGAGCTATAATGAAAAATACCCGGCATAATAAATCAGATGAAAAATTCAACGCTACCAAAAAATGGACTAATTTACCAAGATGAGACATTAGAAATACGTTCAAAAGAAGCATAGCTTGCTTTTTCATTGATTTAGAGGATTCTGCGGGCTCTTCTTCCACTCTTTCCACAGCGCCTGCTTTAGTTGAGATATCCTGAAGGTAGGGTTTTCTTTTTTCAGCTCTGGCATCTTCTCATCTTCAAACGCTTGATAAGCGGCCTAAAAAATGCTAATATTCAAATTTTCCAAAACTTATGATTACCCTCATGCGTTTCTCTGGATGCTTTTCGGGGTCGACCTCTCGATCGCCCAAAACGGCAATAGCCTCATCGATATTTCGAGCACTCTCCACGTCCAAATCCAAGCGGTTGATGTTCTCTTCCAAATGATCAACTTCCTAAAACCAATGACTATGTTTTATCCCAAAATTATGATAACCGTTAGTCGTCTTGCTTCCATCTCTTTCAGTCTTTTTTGTTCTTCTACTTGACGCATCATTGCTTCTGCTCGGGCTGCCAGTTGTGCCCTTGTTACCTAAAAGTCTCGAATTTTAACTTCTATTCAAAGACAAACTTTTTGAGGCGCCTTGGTTGCGTTCTCAGTTCTTACTCCTGCCTTGGTCATGTCATCTTCGTAAGCTTGACGATTTTCTTCCTTTCGTTTCAACATGTCCAACTTTTTTCGCTCTTCCTCTTCCTAAATGAATATTTTATAATCGTATCCCAAGTTTTTGAGTCTAATTAGCTTACAAACTCTTTTAGCAACATTGCTTTAGATATTTTCAGATTAATATTGGCCAGATGGCCGACCGGTTAGGAGTCTTGTCTCTTAAGCGGAAGGTCGAGGGTTCAATCACTCTGGCAAGATAAAAATGTTTCTTTTTCCCACCAAGTGGGTTTTTTCTTTCACAACATTTGGGTAATAGGGGTAAATAGGGGTGAGAACGGCCGCAGTGCCATAAAATTGTGTGTTTAACCTTTATGTCTTATTATGTACCCTTTGTTTGTATCACATTATTGGTTTTCAATAAATGTATTTTTAATAGCTTCAAAAAATTGAAATTAAACCTTCCTCTGGAGCTTCTTTTGAACATGCTTATCATCGTCGGCCCAAAAAGCATCATCGTTCGCCTTTTGCTTTCTCTCATTTTCAACCCTGAAATAAAAAAAAAATTATATAAATGTTAAGTTGGAATTTTTAAAACCTTTGAACTTCGGCTTTCCGTTCGCGAGCGGCACTTGCCTTCGAGTTTTCGCCAGCAAACTTTTTCGGCATCTTTCTGAAAACAAAGTTTTATTGGGTTGGGGAGAATGAGTCGGCGCCGAAAATCAAAGAAATTTCTAAAACTTATAGCAGACTTTGTCAAATGATATGCGTTTGATATCCGTAGAAGGGTAACTAATTCTCTACAAAATAATATTTAAAAGAGAACTCAAACAGCGCCTCAACTCAACAAAGGATCATTTTTTTCACAAAATCGATAAACTGTCATCTAGAGTAAACGGTTGGAGGGATCTCCTGAAAATTTGGTAACTTATGTAATTAAGTGTGCTCTATCTTTTTTATATAAACACCAAAGGAGGTTTATGTGGAAGAAACTGTTCAAGCAATGAGTCGGACTTTTTGTCATTTTGATTAGCTGTGTTTGGGAATCCATAAAATCCCAAAATAGAAAAGCTTTGTGGAATCTCTCAAAAGCCATTTTGTAAAGAATTAGTGGACCATTTTGATGAAACAAAACGTGTATTTAAAGAAGGTTTTATGGGTGCAAAAAGTTTCTTTAAATTTCGGCGCCGACTCATTCTCCCCAACCCAATAGGATAACAAGTAGGTATTATTGAAAGAAAATTACGCTGAACTCAAAAGTATAGCAAGGAGTTAAAAAGAACTCGAGCTGGGTTGACGATCCAATAATATAATGTGTTCGAAGACAAACTACATAACGTAAAAAGCGACACAAGCGTACCGAACAAAAACAAAAAGTGCGACTAGTAACAATATACAGAGAAGAGGTAAAAAACAATCCACGCCCTGACGCCTGAAACTCAAGTACTCATAATGACCAAGTGTTTAAATTCGAGTAAACAATGTAGATTTAGTTCGGGAAACCGTAGGTGCATCACACAATAACTATGCCTTCGTCCCCAGATACTGAACATTTCTACATTAAAAATCACCATTAGCTTCCCTAACCGGAAATGCCAGTGCCAGTTGATTGCAGCTTTGTCTTTGAAATAACAATTTATAGGGATTTAAAAGCCAACATGTACAAAGAATTACCAAAAAACAAAATTAAGACGTGTTAATTATTGGTCTTTCCGTCTGTAGCAGCAGCACCACGCTCGACAGGGTCGTCATGGCTTTCCTCACGCTTTTTGTCAGTCTAAATAAAAAATTTTCGAGTTTCTTTCCGAAAACCTAGTTTTGTTAAAGAACTCAATCAAGAGATTAGTAATCACCTCAGACTTGAGAGAAGGGCGGCGTCGGTTGGGAACGCGTTTTCCTCTCTTTTCTCCTTTGGCACCATTGCTAGGTCTGCGGTCTCTTGACTTGACATCGCCACTCTTGTCGTCCTTGCGCGAGCTCATTTCCTGACGATGTTGAAAGAAAGCTGTAAAGACGTTACAGATGAAAAGCAACTAGCAACCAACCGCGACGCATCCAAGGAGCCTGAAGCATTTGGTACCGAGATCCAACGACTGGTTCACCATCAAGTCCAGTGACGTTAACAGCTTCGCGGCCTTTCTCGCCGTCAGCAATGTCAAATTGCACCGCCTCACCATCCTCCAAGGTTCGATAACAGCGTCTGCGCGTGCGAGACTCAATGATGGAATACTAAATAATGACACTTACATTGATAATATTGCCCTTATCTTCACAAAAAACTAACCTGATGAACAAAGACATCAGTATTTTCATCCTTGACGGAAGCACTGTCGATCTCGATGAAACCAAAATGGCGAAGCACCGAATACCACTTTACTTTGCCGGTAGCCTTCTCTTGGACGATCTTCAGGCCATTGAGCTTTTCAGCGTAGAGCACTTCAATTTCCTCGTTCAAAGGATTCTAAATTCAAAAGATTAACTGGGAAATACAATCAGCTAAAAATTATGTCAATTAACTGCACTCATCAAAGCAGAATGAAACTTTTACTTAACTTAATCTAGTTTCCAATCTAAAGTTCTAGTTACTATTAAAGAAAAAGAAACTACCTTGGAGAAACGTCCTCGATCGCGATCGCCCTTTGAGCTCAGCTTAGAGTTTTCCATTTGCTTCGTCAAATCTTGCACTGCGTTGTCGACTTGCGCCATCCTCGCTTGAGTTTCTAAAATACAAAAAACTTGCTTTTAAATCAAAACACAAATTGAAAGTGAAAGAAAAAAAACTTTATAAATAGCTAGGAGTCATATCAACAAGCTTATGCTCTGAGAAATAGCTAGAATATTCATATGGGTGCTTGTTATAACCTCGCTAGGTAAGAATTTAAATCTATCTCATAAAATTAGGGAAAGTTTTCTTGATCGTCTTGATAAAAACTGGTTGACAAAAGTTTAGGGTTTGGAATTGATGAAACAAAAACCGGAGGAATTGAATAAATAAAAATTTCCCCACCAAATGATTTTTTTTAAAACTCGTTACCGTGATCAACATTTTAGTGCAAAATAGAAAACACGAGATTTCCGACAACGTACTTAAGTGAATAAAATATTTAATTTATTAACTGAATATCTTGAATCGGTTATATTCATTATTTCATTGCAACAATGTTCATCCTGCTTATCAACGGCCATGATTTTGGCTCTACTTTGTTCACTTTATCCATTTTACAAATGAAGTTGCACATTTATTCAAATACAATTATCGAGCAAGTATAGTTTACAAATTTCATCGAATTCATCGATCATCTTTCAGCGTTCATTTGTGACGGTGTTGGATCCGCGTCTTTGAGATTCGAGTGCGGCTAGTTGTGGCCCTAAAAGATCAAATAAAATGTGCCTTTGCCAAAGCGAACTCACTTCACGACCGACTTCTTTTGTTGTTGTTCGGGGGGTTCCAACGTCTTCTTGCGATCGATCTTCAGAATTCGCTCCAGGTTCCTAGAAATTAACAAGGGTCGATTTTTAGGAGTACTAAAGTTAATCACTAAAATACTTACTTTGAAATTTCCTTCATCACAAAGCGCTCATTGGGATTGTCGGACCAGCATTTGATTTCAACCACCATCTTCACGTCCGAATTTAGCTCTGGCGGTAGCTCCATTCGAAATCCCTCTTTTACCTAAACAGATCTTTCATTAGATAAATTTGCAACAACAAACCTTCACATTCACCTCGGCCACACTCATTCCTGGGTAGGGTTCAATTCCGTTGTTGAGGATTTCCCAGCACATGATTCCTAAACCAACACCAAACCAACTCAAGTACCTAACTAAAATTTTAAAGCGTACCATAGGCAAACACATCCGACTTTTGTGTGTAGATTGCGCTTCGAAGTGTTTCAGGGGCCAACCACCTAAAAAAGTGTAATATAAACTGGTATTTGCTCAAACCTGATTGGCACACGGCAATGAGGATCCATTTGGTAGACTGTTCCTTCTCTCGTCAATCCGAAATCCGAAATCTCGACCTAAAACGCAAGAAATTAAAAGTTAAATAAATGAAATTTACCTTGTTATCACCGTAGAGACAGTTTCGAGCAGCAATATCGCGATGGAGGACCTCTCTGGAGTGAAGATATTCAATGCCCCAAGCCGACTAAAAAGAGATTGATAACTAATCATTTAACACTGACCTGTACAATCATTTCCAACTTTTTCTCGACCGGGACGTTGTTCTTCTGTAGATACGAGTCGAGAGCTCCATTGTTCGCCAATTCCATTACCACCATGAGGGGTTCTTGTCCGGAGCCACTCAATAGAACTAATAAAGAACTTAAATCCGAAAAACTAAGCAATCCAAACCTTGACGACGTTGGAATTGTCAAAGTTTTGCATCAGGCGTGCTTCTCGCATAATCTCCTTGATCTGCTCCTTTGTCCGCACTTCGAGCTTCGCCTAAACAAGCAACAATACTTTGAACAACATAAAAACATACTAATTTCACAGCCACATCGACAAGCTTTCCTCCCCTGAGTTCGAGTTTTCCTTTGTGCACTTCTCCAAACGCTCCTTCTCCCCGCTTTTTCGTGCATTCGATGTGATTGAGTTCCCAAGGCTGTCTTCCGATTGCTAAACAAATAATTGGCTCTTGAAACGTTTTACACCAACTCACTTCGGTGCCCCTTTTGTTGTTGGTTATAATCATCGGGCATTGTGAATGTGAACTTTTCGATGGAGACTTTGGCGCCCTGATGTTGCTTGACGACGAAATGTTTGATTCCTTGCTCCTCGCCGCGACTCGGATCCCACATCACCTAAAATGAAAGAATAAAAAGTTTTATTGTAATTTTGGAAAGACAAGGTTTTTGCAATCGACAAATGGCAAATTATTAGGAAATCAAAACTCCAAAAAATGACCGATAAGACGAAGGCTCGCGGTTGTCCAGCGACGGGTTCAGTGGTTCGCACGAGGAAATCGCCCTTGTGTGTCAGCATCATCTTGATGTCCTCACGTGGCAGCAAACCGTGATACCATTTTTCACCTAATATGAAAGGTTTAGACAATAGAGATGTACAGGTAACGTTTAAACTTCTAAGCAGCTTATCAGCAAAAGGCACAAAAAGTAGTTTAAGAGAGAAAGAGAAAGAGCAAGCGCTCAAGTAAACAAAAAAATTTAAAACTTCTCTGATTAAAATTTATTCGAGAAATTGAAGGAAATCATCAGAAGACGAATTTACCGTATTTTCTGTAATAGTAGTGCGCACTACTATCTTTTCAACCCCCCTCCAGCCTGCACTACTATTACAGAAAATACGGTATCATTTCTTCTCTGCTCATCTCGCTTTCACAAATTCAGGTTGGATTTCAGAATTGTTTATTTTACGTTAAAAGTGTAAGAAATGTTTCGAAATTTTGATTGTTTTTGTTTGTTTTTGCTTAATTTTTTAGTTTTTGCTTAAACTTGAACAATCAACGATCAGTTCTTTTTTTTTTTTTAAATACCGACTGGGGCTACCAGTGGTGAATTTATTGCATACACGAAATATATCAATCACAATACAACGACACACACAATACTAGGCTATATCTTAACTTAACCCACGTCATGACAGACGGCTCCCTAACCCTAAGCTCAATGGGGAACTAAATAGCTTTTTTGGTGGTGAAGGGAAGATGACGATGAAGGAGTGGCTTGTCACTTTAAAGAACTGGGGCCACAACCACCAGACTGCCCTCCAGAAAACCTCTCAACCCGAAGGGAAAGGAAATCCGAAGGGGGTGACCATGTCGCATGTGGGGTTCGAACCCTCGACCTTCCGATTAAGATAAAAGACACTTAACCAGTCAGCCACACGTGCTTTCAACGTTTGTTCTAACTTTAAGCAAAGCTTAGTGCTTTACGGTTAATGGGCGGCGAGTTTTTGGCCAACTTGCAGCTCATTTTTAAGCACCTTAAACTTGTCAGATCAGGTAGTTTTAATAAGATTTAGATAGCTTAGAACGTCAGCTTTCAGAAACTATTTGTTTTATCAAAAGTTATAAACAAAATCCTTTCTAAAATCGGGCTGCAAAATGGTCAAAAACTCGGCCCCCGATAACCGTAAAGATCCCATGTGAATTGATCATTAGTCATTAACTTTAATTGTTTAGTTGTGTGGTGATGGCGCCTGCAGTTTGTTTCTGCAAAGATTTCGATTCTTTCACACTGGAATCGGATTATTTGGAGATTGTTTATGGAAGCAAACCCTTTCGTTTTGGCTACGCGACCAATCATGCGGATCGGAAATTTTTCGTCAAAATCTCGGACAAGGCAGAGGTTACCTTGCCGGAAATGTTGCTTCAGGTTTATTTTTTATATCTTTTCGTATATATCAACTTGATTATCGGTTAGTTAATACATTTCACGACGTAATATAATTTAAATATTTCTTTATTTCAGTATGAAGATCAAGCTGAATTTGATACTGCTTATCGCCTTAACCTCTGTGCTGAGTTTGAAGATGCACTCAAGTTTGGCAATTTTGTAGAAACACTCACAAGGGTTGCTGGCTATCATCAGGTAGGATTTAAAATTTTTACTCGATTCTTGTTTAAACTCCTTGATTCTTGATCATTGGTTTTCCTTTAATTTTAAATAGACATTAGGCTTTTTTCTGGAATTGAATCAATAAATTTTAGGTACAGCATCCCGATTGCGAGTTATCGACAAATGCCACTTCTGACTCTGAGAATGAAGATGATATGGGTGAATCCGACATACGTGAAAATATGTAAGTTTCATTTAAATTAAATGAAATGATTAATTTATCTTTATTTGTGTAATTAGAAATTTTTGTTTAACAAAATTAACATTTAAAGGTTAAATAAAATCTAACATTTAGCTTGAATCAACATCACATTGTTGAATCGGGATCCGAAAAGGAGGTTAGTTTTTACCATAATAATTCTTTCCTTTTTTTCTATGGCATAGCTATGATTTAATATATTTGATTAAGTGATGATGATAAATCACTTTGTTATGAGATATATTTAAAGCATAACATTTCTTATATCAAATATATTGGGTTTGATGTTTAATTTATTCTAAATTTGATGTTTTAGATGAATCCGCTGATTAAGTTGACTGAAGGACAGCCTTTTCGGTACACGTTCAATCAACGCGGCTTTGAGGTGCACCATCGCGAAACGCGAACGCACTGGCGTTTTCTTCATCCTCACATTCGCCACCGTCAATTTAAGGCAAACCCGCCTGGTCGTACCACTAGGGGTCGCATTCGATACCTTATTCGCAACGTCACTCTTCAAGTTGGTTTTCTTTTAATTTCTCTCGTTTCTTCAAGTTTAAACGTTTGATTTAAAATAAGTCTGTATTTTTTCGTTTTTAGACTGTGGTTGGTGCCCGTGGTGCTGCTCAATATGTGAACGTGGGACAATGTGATGTGGAGTTTGATTTGCGGACCAGCACTCACCCCAATTTGATCACTCATTTGCTTGACGGTACATACCGTTACACTTCAATCTAGTCGTATTTATTTATTTCTCGTTTATGTTCATTGTACTCTTCTAGTATCCTGTTTTATTCTATGATGTATCTCGTTGTACCAGAGTAAATAAATTGTATAAATGAAGGATTTTATGAGTTTTCGGAGGCGTGTCGTTTGCTTAGATATCTGTTATGAAATTGACGAATTTGGCAATTGACAATTGTTCTAGTCGGGCATACACCTTACAACGCCGATTTTGATGGAGACGAGATGAACTTGCATTTGCCTCAAGCCTATGAGGTAAGAATAGATTACCGAGAAACACCAATTGTGCGCCTTGTTGGATTTGATGCGTTTTTGATACACGCAAATAAACTATGTAACTTCTGATAAATTTAGGCTCGAGCCGAGGCTTCACTTTTGATGGGAGTTAAAAGCAACTTGATCACTCCAAGATCCAGCGAGCCTTTAGTGGCAACTATACAGGTATCAAGCAAGCGCATCTTTTTGAATTGTTTTCTTTTAGGATTTTATTACTGGCGGTTATTTGATGACACACAAAGACACTTTCTTCCTCCGCGCTGAAGTTCATCGTTTTGCTGCAGCAATTATTGATGTTTCTGCAAAGAAACAAACACGGATGTTTATCCCACCACCTGCGATCTTGAAACCAGCAGAGCTGTGGACGGGCAAGCAGGTCATATTGTGTCATAAAAACTTAAACGTCAAAGTTTAGCGTATTGAATTGATTATTGGGCCTGATGCGGATTCTGAGATAAATTTGAAATTGAAGACGGAGAACAAAAGCTACACGAAAAATGAAGATCTATGTCACAACGTATTGTTTTTCCAAGTTCATCTCAAACCTTAGTTTAGGATTCATATGTTATCATCAGAAATAGCCAACTTATTTGTGGTGTTCTAGACAAGTCTCCGCTAGGATCTGGTATGAAGGTACGGTTGTTCCTTGGTGCAACTAAATTTTCAGGCTCCAAAGTAAACATTTTCTACATACTTCTAAGAGATTTTGGTGAAGATGCGGCCGTGGATGCAATGTGGCGCTTAGCGCGAATGGCGCCCGTGTATTTGACTAACCGGTTCATAAAACTATAGAATTGTGTTTTGTAAGTGACTAAATTTAGTGGCTTTTCTATTGGCATTGGTGATGTAAAACCGTCAGAAAGATTGCTTAGTGAACGAAAAGCTCTCATCAATGATGGTAAATATTGAAGTCTAAGCTAGCTTTAAAATTATTTTGTTGAGGTTATCATAAATGTGATGACTTTATTACACAACTAGCTTCTGGACGTCTCAAGGTTGTTTATCATTACCTATTACATTTTTTTTTGTCTTTAGACGCAACCCGGTTGCAGTGAAAAAGAAACACTTGAGTCTTTGATTCTTCGGGAATTGTCCGTGGTTCGTGATCACGCAGGTCAAGTCTGTGTCAAGGATCTCAGCTCGTAAGCTTTAATTTTTATGTACTTTATGGATATTTTCTAGACATAACGCACCCCTTACTATGGCTATCTGTGGATCAAAAGGCTAGTTCATTAACATCTCTCAAATGATTGCTTGCGTTGGTCAGCAAGCCATTTCGGGACATCGACCTTCTGATGGATTTGAAGTAAATAAATTTTCAAAGGGCCAATTGCTATTTTAATTAAGAACCGATGTCTTCCGCATTTTCCCCGGTATCAAAATACACCGCAAGCCAAGGGATTTGTCGAAAACAGGTTTTTTCGATCTTCTTGATCTACCGAACTTCATTTAGTTTTTACTCTGGACTTACACCAACCGAATTCTTTTTTCACACGATGGGTGGACGAGCGGGACTTGTCGATACAACGGTGAAAACGGCTGAAACTGGTTACATGCAATGGCGGCTAGTGAAAAGCTTGGAGCGTTTGTGTGTAAGCTACGATCAAACCGTTTGCACATCTGCCGGAGAAATCGTTGCATTTGAATTTGGAGATGATAGACTTGATCCTGCTCTTATGAGGTAAGGTCAAATTATCTTTGGCTCATAAGTAAACTCCGTTTACTCTAAAGACGCTTTAAATGATGAAAAATATGATGATGATGCCAAAATGATGAAAAATAGGCTTTTTTTTTTGCCATTTTTCAATCATTTTCTAAGCGCTGGTTAATGCTAAAAATATGTGTAATATCTCAAAAAACACCCATTCTCTCTACTTTAATTTGATACCAAAGCGTGTAGAAACAAACGTACTGGTGCTGAGATCTAGGTGTTTGTTTGAGAGTAAACTTAGACTACGCGTCGCGCCTATTAGAGTATTTATGTCTAGTCTAGAACATCTTGTCTAAAACTTTTAGAAGTCCTTCTCGGCACAGGGTTTCTTTATCTTTTTATCTTTTTTTTTCAATTCCTGTCTCGTATATCAATATTTTATTCTCTCATAAGTATTTTTAAAAAAAAATTTCACCGTTTAATCATCATCGGTATGAGCAAATTATGAAAAAAAATCAAAATTGAGCATTAAAAATCTAGAAAAAAAATCAATTATTGCCAAATTTCTTTTGCAGCTCCTGGCTTCGTGGAGTGAGGAAAGTCTAAAATTGATTGTTTTATTGATATTTCTAATCTTTTTTTTCATATTCAAACCTGTTTTGTTAGGTGAGCGGTTTTTCGGAGTCGATTCGAGCTGTACCGAATCGCTTCTCGTCTTCGCACCGATGCTGGATCTGAGGAGACAAAGCGATGCGATAAAGCCTCATCGGTTCGCATTCGTCTCCTAAAATTTTGGATCCTTTACCGTAGCCAATAGTCTACCGTAACATTATTCCTATTACTTTAACAAGATCATTTTGTTACGAATTTAGAGAGATAAGGAACCAAATTTAGAGAGATAAGGAACCAAATTTAGGGAGATAAGGAACCAAATTTAGGGAGATAACCAGTAGCCTTCTGTAACCGTACTATCACTATCAGTGCTACTATCAGTGCCTTTTGTTATCGGATCCCGTAATCACAGTAGTATTCCTGTTCGTTACCGTACCCCGCAGTCTACTGTAACGTCCTGTTTGTCTAGATCCTACTGTAGCAGTATTCTTATTCATTACCGTATCTTGTAGCCTATTGTAGCCAGTTTTGACTCGTGTTTGTCTAGAGTCTTTAGACTATGAACTTGTCCTCAAAAATAGAGTTGTTCAAGTACAACAGCAACAGCATACGGCGAGAAATCGCCGAGCCCAGTTAATGCCTATTTTATGGTTTCCAAGCTTTCCTAGAGACTCAACACTCGAAGATCCTGCAAGATCTCATCGTCAGCTACATTTTCCGAGCCCACATCGATAGATTCTGATAAGCGGTTCTCGAGATTTCAAGCAATTTAGGTGAATAGAGTGAACTCATAAGAAAATTCATCCAACCCTACTTACAATGGGTTCTTTTTGAGCGACCATGTGACAAAAGAGAGTGCATCTTGTGAGGCTTGCACGGGGATCAGATTCGGATCGCATTTCACATTGATCACGTTCTCTTTCACTTCGTCAAACGTGTCGAACTCCGAGGTGAACGGATGGAAACCGCCAAGTCTGCAACAATATTCATTTAAGTTGATTAGGGTAGAAAAAGCAAACGAGAAATTCTGATTTCTATTTGGCACTTAATTGATCCAATAAGTTCAGTATGAGCTTTTTTCGAACTTACAAACAAAAAGTGATGATGCCAAGTCCCCAAATATCCGATTGAACGGTCACCGGGGTGTCGCCAACGTGGAACTCCGGAGCACACCATTGTACATCTTTCTCTTCAGGGTACTTTGCATCATTGCCTAAGTACGGCATATAGTACTAAAAGGTGGGCAAAGCTACAGTAAACCCTTTGCATTCATGGCTACCGTTCCTCAAATGGTTTTTCTTAAACTTTAAGATCCTTTAAGACCTGTAGGTAAGACTAGAGAGTACTGTGGCCTTTTCAAGTTACTAATCTTTGGATGACTGTAGCTAGGAAGCTTTAGATTACTGTAGCTAGGAAGCTTTAGATTACTGTAGCTAGGACTTTAGATTACTGTAGCTAGGCTTTAGATTACTGTAGCTAGGCTTTAGATTACTGTAGCTAGGCTTTAGATGACTGTAGCTAGGCTTTAGATTACTGTAGCTAGGCTTTAGATTACTCTAGCCAGGCTTTAGATGACTGTAGCTAGGCTTTAGATTACTGTAGCTAGGCTTTAGATGACTGTAGCTAGGCTCTAGATTACTCTAACCAGGCTTTAGATTACTGTAGCTAGGCTTTAGATGACTGTAGCTAGGCTCTAGATTACTCTAACCAGGCTTTAGATTACTGTAGCTAGGCTTTAGATGACTGTAGCTAGGCTTTAGATTACTCTAACCAGGCTTTAGATTACTGTAGCTACGTATCTTTAGATTACTATACTGTAGCTTTTGCTAGATCATTTAACTTTAGATTATTTAACGATATTACTGTGCCTTTTTGTAAAGTGTACCTTTTCGTTAACTGTAGCGGGATTACTGTAACCTCTAGAAAGGGGTACTCTCGAGAAAAGATCTAATATTCTATGAAAAATTAGTAAATCCTCTTACCAATAAGCTGGGCGGACGAGAAATCGACGAGTTTTACGATCCACGATCTCTTCGACTCAAACATTACATTGTGTGGGTTCACGTCAAGGTGAGCGATTCTTAAAGCACTTTTTTTTGATCTTATATTTATAATCTTTATCTTATATTATAATAAAGTCAATTTCTCAATTGATAAGTGATATTTAGAGTTTATATGTCGTAACCGATTATGAATGAAATTTTTTGGCAAATGGCAAATGGTGGAGGCAACCCTTTAATGTATGAGGACAATATTATTATCATCTTGTAGCGAATTCAATTCTGCGTCTGTATTGTTACCAAATTTGTAAGTTTAGGTTGAAAATTGCCGCCACTACAACGTTTCATTCAAAAGCAGGGGGGACCCCCTTAGCCGATGATGAATTTCAGCCGATTATGAATGAGTGGAGCGTCCAACCATCAAGTCCAACCATCAACCACCAAGTCTAGGAGCGTCCAATCATCAACCACCAAGTCTAGGAGCGTCCAATCATCAAGTATTTAGTATCATTCAACGCAGAATCATTGATAATTATGTTAAATTTTTTAAATTAGCAAGATTTGATGAAAAGAAAAAAAATTAGAGCAAAAAAAAATGTTTGTTCAAGAGAAAACTTTTGAAGCTCCATAATTTTTTTTCTTCTTATCCAATCTTTCTAATTTAAAAAATTTAACATAATTATTAATGATTCTGCGTTGAATGATACCAAATACTTGATGGTTGGACGCTCCTAGACTTGATGGTTGATGATTGGACTTGATGGTTGGACGCTCCACTCATTCTTTGAGTTGAGATTCATAATCGGCTGAAATTCGGCTACGACATCTAGATAGATGTGCTTCTATCGTAGATTTATAGATTATTTCAAGATTCTCCCGCTCACCCCTTGAAATGAAGCCAGTGCAACGCGGCGGCGACTTGTCGAGCGACGATCGCGATCTGAATTCACTCTTCGTTTAAGCTGCTCGGTTTCCAATAATTAGTTGCATATTTTTAGACTGTGCTCTACAGTCTACAGTCTACAGTCTACAGTAAACCACAGTAGTCTACAGTCTACAGCATTTTCAAAAACACTCACCTGTTCCTCTGTATAGTGATCGGCGTAGGAAAACCGGGCGAACACGTCCTCGTAAAGGCGCTCGACAAAAAGTGAGAGAAAATCGCCGCTAAAACGGATTTCTTTAAGTAAAATTTATAGATTTAATGTAATTAAAATAATAGAAAACGTTTAAAAAAAGAAATTTCTCAAAAAAAAATCAAAATGCTTAAAGTTTATATTAAAAAATTTCTTAAAGCTATTTTATAAAGAAAATTTAAAAAAATTTGCATCGAGTTGATTAACTGAATATCTTTAGAATATTTAAAATGGCTTTCTAAAGATATTCAGCGAAAAGAAATCCATTTGGGGGTGGCTAGTTTACGTCAAATTTTTTGCGCAACTGGATCATTTGCGCAATTCGCCATAACTTTTTTCTGGATTGGTCAATCTTTATGATTTTTGTGTCATTTTGTTGCACTTATTGAGATCTACAAAATGACAGGAAAATCATAAAGATTGGCTCACTTAGAAGAAAGTTATTGCGCAAAAAATTTGGCGCAAAGTAGCCACCCCTAGGCTTGGCTATTCGATATTTCGATATTCAAATTTGGTTCCTTTTCGATTAATACTTAGAAGAGCGCTCAAAACGCAGCTCTAATAATCTAATCGATCTGCTATCAATGCTATCGATATCGATGATCGATCCCTTATAGATTTTTTGTGATGCATTGATTTTCTAACAGTACGTATTAGGTACCAAAATAAAGCTTGAGCTTCTGGCTTTCCATTGGTAAAAGTTTCAGAGCATTTGGAGCATCAATAGATCTCAATAAGTGCAACAAAATGACACGAAAATCATAAAGATTGGCTCACTTAGAAGAAAGTTATGGCGAGTTGCGCAAACGATCTAGTTGCATGAAAAAATTTGACGTAAAGTAGCCACGCAAAGTAGCAAAGTAGCCATTTTAAACATTCTAATGATATTCAAATAACAGTCGAGAAAGTGGGAGACAAGAATATAATAGATAGAAGCACTTTAAGAGGACGGTAGTCAATATATTAGCTTGGAGAGGCTAGTGAAAGATTACGGTAATCGAGGTTTTAGAAAAGACAGGTTTTAGAAAACGATTTCCAAGCGATGCAGCCAATAGTCTTACCTCAACGATGCAGCCAAAAGTCTTTGCACATTCTCGTGTTGTCCCAAACGAAGCATTTCGAATTCGTTTTTCCCTTCACTTTCCCCTCCACAATGCCTCAACTTTGCCACACAACGGGAATTATGATCTTTCTATAATCATTAATAATATTTTAATCATAAATTTAATGTAAACCTGTGTGTCATTAGCATTTCGAATAATTGAATATTTTGTAGAGAAAATGAGTGATCCGAGTTCGAATCGACCCCCGAGATCCCCTTGCAATTCGATTTCTTTGCTTTGAGTGGCTGTTGACTAAATGTTTTTTGAAATTAAAAGATTTAAAAATACTTAGAAAGAAAAGATCGCTTGTTAAAATGCACAAAAGTCGCCGTACTTTGTGCGGCAATAAACGCGCGCTTTCTGGCACCACTTGGCCGAGGTAGTGTGCCAGAAAATGTGGGTTTTGAACGAGCAGAAGAGTACAACTGAATTTTGCTTACTTGAAGTGACGAGCTGTCCTCTTCGGTCTCTTCCGATTCTTCCGAGATACCGGCAAGGGATTTCGGTTGGATCGACGCCTAAAAAGACATACGGTAGCTAGTGGGGGACTAATAGTACAGTAGTACAGTACAATAGTACATTACACCTGGATTACTGTAGACTATTGTTGCCTGGGATTACTGTAGACTATACGGTATTAAGTATTCGAGAATTTACGTGAGGGTTGAAAGGTTATCGAAAAAAAACAGCCGAGAAACCCGCCTAACGGCTGGCTGGATGTTTATGGGGAGACTTTTGGGGAGGCGGGGAATTGTCACCGTGGCGCGGTCGGGAAGGCGCTTGTCTACAAGCCACACGGCCCGGGTTCGACTCCCGGGTGTCTCGCTTAAATTTGATTTTTAGAAATTTTCTTTTAAATAACATAACTGCAATAGATTCTAAGGTTTTCGAAAGAAGTTTGGGCTTTATTGTTCAAAAAATGGCAGACAAAAAGACAGACAGAAAGGCAGACAGAAAGGCAGACAGAAAGACAGACAGAAAGACAGACAGAAAGGCAGACAGAAAGACAGACAAAAAGACAGACAGACAGACAGATACGGTAGTTTGATTACGGTAAGCAAAGATGGTGTCTAGCCATGCAAAAAAAGTTAGTTTGTTTTTAGGCACTTACAGGAAGATTACTGTAGAGACCATCATACGGGTGGTGCATCGTCTTTTTCTTGGTGACACGCTGAAATGATGCGTGTGTGTGTGTGTGTGTGTGAAGGGAAAATGAGTGCTGATTAAAATTCATTTCCCAAAAAGACACCTATTTTAGTAAGCCACCGTAATCGAGCTGCCAGCAAAATTTTGCTCAAATTCGATATGGCATCACAAGGCTCAATATCAGAATTAGGCTTTTTGGCTGTAAAGTTAAACTGGCTTTAAACTGACTGTAAACTGGCTGTAAACTGGCTGTAAACTGGCTAAACTGGCTGTAAACTTAACTTAAACTGGCTGTAAACTGTAAACTGTAAATTTACAAGTCTAAAGTAGGCCAAAGGGGATTACGGTAGCTTTTTTTTAAAATAGGTGTTTTTTAGATAACTTGATAGCTGAGAGAAGCTGTAGAGAAGCTTTTGGGATAAAAAAAAAGAAAAAAAAAGATAGAGAATTATTATGTGAAGGATTAATTGTGAAAATCAGGTGATAAAATCATTTTTTTTTCCAACCTTGCCAGGGAAATTGATGATCTCGAAACGAACGGTGCGACTCAACTCATCGAGTTGCAACTTTGGAGAGCCTAAAGTTTTGAAATTTAAAGCTAGCTCGTGTGGGCATCTAGAAGTAGCGCTTCAAGCGATCAGAAGGAGCGCTTGAAGCTTTTTTTAGAATTTCCTTTAACCTTTAGCCTAGTTAGAGCTGGGTTTTTAAGCTAAAACCTTGTTGAAATTCTTATTAAAACTGAAACTCTCTTAAATTCTACTTTTCTTTTGTAATCTATTTACGATTTTCAACCTCTGGGATGAGTTCGAACGATTCGCGAGTGTAATGACGCATCTCCCCAACCGAAACCGTTTTTCGCGACAATTCGGAACTGATAGATGCCCAGGGGTTCAAGGTTCTGAAAAATCGAGTTTAAAAGAGCAATTAGTACTTAGAAACCTTTACACAAACAGCTTCATCCTCGACTTTCTCACAAACGGTGATCCACGGCGCGTCGTAATCGTTCTCTCCTAAAAATCTTGTTCTAAATCTACCCAAATCAAAAATAAACCAGCTAAACGACATTCCACTCGATACATGATTCCTTCTAAATAAGTTGGTCCCTCTGGTGGATCAAAAGTCATAAAGATTTCCGTGTCTGATGAGAGCTCAAGACTTGGCCGACCCGGTCTCGATGGGGCTTCTAAAGTTTTTCTTGATAGGACTTTATGCTCTTTGTGCTCTTTGTGCTCTTTGTGCTCTTTGTGCTCTTTGTGCTCTTTCCAAACGCACCCTTTCTAGTGCCCTGAATTCTTCAAGCACTAGAAAGGGTGCGTTTGAAAAGAGCACAAAATACGCGAGCTTTTATACCTCCACTAATCAACCGAGCGTGACTTTGATCTGAGCCGAATTCGTTCTTTGCATGGCATGCATATTCGCCCAAATCGTAAAGACTTGGCTGCAAAATGGTCAAAAAATGGACGCCGTTCTCCTGAAAACGATAGCTTTTGTCTAGGGTACTGTAAGTCTTGTCTAGGTTACTGTAAGTCTTGTCTAGGCTACTGTAAGTCTTGTCTAGGTTAAAGTAACTTGTCTAGGCTAATGTAAGTCTTGTCTAGCTTACTATAAGTCTTGTCCAGGCTCCTGTAAGTCTTGTCTAGGTTACCGCAAGTCTTGTCTAGGTTCCTGTAAATCTTGTCTAGCTTACTGTAAGTCTTGTCTAGGCTACTGTAAGTCTTGTCTAGGTTAATGTAAGTGTCTAGGCTACTGTAAGTCTTGTCCAGGCTCCTGTAAGTCTTGTCTAGGTTACTGTACTTCTGTCACTATCTAGAAATCGATTTATCAGCGCCACAGTACCCTAGAATGGTTTTAAAACCTATGGTAACATTTCTAGAGCTCAACTACAGTGTCCATAGTAAATCTAGGGTACATCTGCTTCATGACATCAAAACCACGACACAAATACTATAAATGGATACTGTGCTTGCTCAAGGGTACCGTAAACTTTTCAAATTCAAAAACTAAGCATTCCTGCTACAATTCTACAAAGCTAGTTTACTGGATTTGTAGAAAAGTTTCTAGATTCTAGAAAATCGTTTACCGTATGTAGCTTGTGTTTCCCATCGTCGCTCACCACTCGACCGTGTTTTGTCCATGTCAACTCAGCTGTCGGCGAGGAAAGGACCTAAAATTCGATCTTTAGGACCTTAGGACCTTAAGCTCTTTAGCGCAAACTACATAGTATCATTGTAGTCAAACCTGACACTCGAAAACGACGGACGGAGCATCGGCGACAAGGTACGTGTCCCGTAAACGCTTTACGAAAATCGCCGCAAACGCTAAACTTGTACAAAAAGTTGGATGACTGTGGGTTACTGTAGCTGCACGAATAGCTGTAGACTACTGTAGACTACTGTAGGCTACTGTAGACTACTGTAGACTACTGTAGGTTACTGTAGCTTATCTAGTATTCAAAGCTCTTTCCCCACTTCCGTCTTGATTCTTCTTTGTCGCTGCTGGGGCCACTTTTTCGATATCGCTTCTAATCCGTGCCACAGCGTTTGCCTCAAATTTTTATATATTATAAACTTTTCTATATCTAGAAATGCATAAGAAATGCGGATTTCAACATTTTCACAAAATTTCCAACGATAGAAGCATTCATCGATATCGGGATTTCGATGAATTTTATAAACTATTTATTCTAATAAGTATACGTTGTAAATCTCCTCTACAAAATAGACAAAAACGTTTTTCAATTGATCGAAGCATTGAAGAAATCTTCGAGGGCGAAATGCGAGTGATCAAAAAAGGGCACTTCGAAAACCGAAAACGAAAACGAGGCTATCTTCAATGCTTCGATCAATTGAAACACTTTGTCTCTACAGATTTGGTTCCTTTTCGGTACAGACTTGGTTCCTTTTCTCTACAGATTTGGTTCCTTTTTGGTCACTCGCATTTCGCCCTCGAAGATTTCTTCAATGCTTTACGTTTACGTCCAATACGTTTCCAATACGGTTCCTATTTTAATCCAATACGATTCCTGTTTTGATCTAATACGATTCCAATACGGTTCCAATACGGTTCCTATTTTGGTCCAATACGATTCCTGTTTTGATCCAATACGGTTCCAATACGTTTCCTATTTTGATCCAATACGATTCCTGTTTTGATCCAATACGATTCCAATACGGTTCCAATACGTTTCCTATTTTGATCCAATACGGTTCCTGTTTTGATCCAATACGGTTCCTGTTTTGGTCCAATACGATTCCTGTTTTGATCTAATACGGTTCCGATACGTTTCCTATTTTGATCCAATACGGTTCCTGTTTTGATCCAATACGGTTCCAATACGATTCCCCCAATATTTTGGTCCAATACGATTCCTGTTTTGATCCAATACGATTCCAATACGGTTCCAATACAGTTTCCTATTTTGGTCCAATACGATTCCTGTTTTGATCTAATACGGTTCCAATACGTTTCCTATTTTGTTCTAATACGGTTCCATTAAATAGATCAATTGAAACACGCTTTAGCCGATTTTGTAGAGGAGATTTACAACTTTCAAATATTGTTTTCAATAGTTTATAACATTGATCGATATCCCGATATCGATGAATGTTTCTATCGTTGGGAATTTATCGAAAATGTTGAAATCCGCATTTCTTATGATCTACCTAATAGTTAAAATATCAAATTCTATGTAAAAAATGAAAATCTTCTCTTAAAGCAAACCTTTAAATCCTTTGAGTTCATTGTAGCGTGCTCGGCCGACTTTGGCGCTACATTGTGCTGGGTTTCACGTAAAATATCCGTGTATCTAGATAAAATAAATATAACTAGATATTTAGATTTATCTAAATATTTAAATATTTAAATATTTACATGTTTAGTTTTAGTTTTACAGTAATCGAAAGGTTAACAAGTCAAAAAAAAAAAACGGTTTTTCTTTTAAAAACTCTCGAAAGTTGCATAAAAAAGCGGATTCGAATTGTTCTATGATTCGAATATGATATAGAAATTATGTGATTACGAAAATAAATCCAAATTTCGCTTACCGTCTTCTCTCGCGAACGGTGATATCCCGATTTCGCACACCGAGATATCCTTGACGAACGAGTGATGCGCCATCGCCCCAAAGCTCGCTAAAGCATCAATATTTAGTTATTTATTTATTGATTGATTTATTTATCTATTTATTCATTTATTTATCCAAATATTTAACTATTTGATCTAAAACTTGAATTTCTTTTGCTGTTTTGTGAATTTTCTTTAGACTACAAAGAACAAACACTACTCGCAATTCTCGCTACTTTTCCGTTACACTCCTGCCACCAAAACAAATGTTTCCTTGCTGAAGTGGCTAATCACAGTACCAAGACGCGCTTGACAAGATTTTCGAATTTAACACCCGGATCGATTTGCAGGTTACTGGCATTCAAGACCTAAGTGAAAACAGGCTAGGCTAAATTCATCCAGACTGATGTCAGTTCGGCAGACGTTTTAACGTCAAAAATCTCTGCCGAACTGACACCAAGCTAGACTCAATTCACAAATACGCGCATTGGTGCATGGGGGACGCTAACCGCATAGTACTGTTTTTTAAAATTTTGGAGTAAGGGAAGTATAATCGAAATGCGGAGGTGGCGGGGGTTAACTGAAAAGTAGCTTTGGATGGTTTTGGATGGTTTTGGATAGCTTTGGTTAGCTTTGGATGGCTTTGGATAGCTTTGGATGGCTTTGAGTGGCTTTGGATGGCTTTGGATAGCTTTGGTTAGCTTTGGATAGCTTTGGATGGCTTTGGTTTGCTTTGTTTAGCTTTGGATGGCTTTGGTTGGCTTTGGTTAGCTTTCTTTAGCTTTGTTTAATAAGATTTCGATTTAATACAGTTCAACAGCTAACTTTATATGAACAAGTAGATGGATTGGTGTAGAGGTTTAGCAAAATTTACCGTCGATAATCGCGCACTCGAGAGTTAAAGGCGGCTCCTCGCGATGCCATCAAATAGGTGTCTGGGCCGATCTGAAACCAATTCTACGACTGCAGCAGGATTATTTAAACGATCAATATCCGTTCTAACAATTACACTAATAAAAAGATCTTCTGTAAACCAAAAAGCAATAGAATTTGGTGTTCACTTTAGCAATAGGATTTGGTGTTTGCAGGATGGCTTATTGCTATGTGCTTATTCTCAAAAAGCTTCAGCACTGAAACTAGCTAGGATTTTCTCTATTTTGATCACGTTTACTGGCTCTATAGTGGCTCTATAGTGGCTCTATAGTGGCTCTATAGTGGCTCTATAGTGGCTCTATCAAGTCCCAATCCAATAAATTTTGATCTTTAGAATCTTCTTGAAAGAAAAATGTGTTTAAAATAGAATTCCATTTCGATAAGTTTAAAGAAATCTTTTGAAAAATGTTGATAAAAACGTTTAAACTCAATCGTGAATCAGTTTAAATTGCAGAAACGAATCGAGATCTTTTTACACCTCAATTAGACTCATTTCGAGTTGTTTTAGGCAAACGAGTGCACCAGGAATGAAGCGTTTACATCAACGTCAGCAAATCATCAAACTTCCTACCTGATAATGACTGTCCCAAGGCGATGCATCGATGTCTTCTTCATTCATCCTCCATCCATCATCCTCTTTATAGTAATTACCGACTCGATATTTATCCAAATCATCTAACATTTTTCTCTAAAAATTATTAAAAATTGTCTAAAAACTAAAAGATTTCATCGAAATTCAGACTTTTGAATAAACAGCTAACCTTTAATGGTCTATAACTTTGCCCAGAACTAATATTATTCTTATCTTTTGATATCTTTGTATAGAGAACATATCAAGCTTTCTAATGACACTAAATACAGTCTGATTCAATAATCCAGTCAAAAAAAATCAGCTAACCATCATCAGCTAAAGCTGAGCAAACGAGGCTGATCTGACTCGGACATTGTATTGCTTGATTTTCCTTGACTGAATTATCAAATCAAGCTGTATTTAGTGTCATTAGAAAGGTTGATAAGACATCTATACAAGGATATAAAAAGATAAGAACAATATTAGCTTTAAGCAAAGTTATAGACGATCAAAGCTGGGGTGCTTACAGTATTTCCTCTATCCCTCTCGACAAACTTTAAAACCCCTCGTTCTCAACCCCATTTTAAGATATTTTTATGTGTAATATAACAAAAGATAGCCCTTATTTTCTTCTATATCTTGGTATATAAAGCATAAAAATATCTTAAAATGGGGCTGAGAACGAGGCGTCTAAAGTTGACCTTAATCCTCGTCCCTCGACCTACTTTAGACACCTCGTTCTCCACTCCATTTTGAGATGTTTTTATGCTTTATATACCAAAAGATAGAAGACATTAAGGGCTATCTTTTAGTATATTACAAATAAAAATATCTCAAAACGGGGTTGTGAACGAGGGGTTTAAAGTTGGTCGAAGGGTGGATGAGGGTCAACTTTAGACGCCTCGTTCTCAGCTCAATTTTTAGATATTTTTATGTTTAATATACGAAAAGATAGCCCTTAATGTCGTTTATTTTTTGACAATAAGCTTATCTAGCGTTATAGACTAGAGGCAAAATTATAGACGATCAAAGCTTAGCCGACGATAGATCAAAGACGATTCATTCAAAATGGTCGGATTCATTTAAAATTTCAGCCAAAAACCATTTCCAAACGATTTCCAAACCTGCATCTCGGCGTTTTTCTTGATCCTTTCCAATTCAGGTTGTTTATCCTCGAAATCCTCATCTTTTGAGTGCATTTTTGGTTTAAGCTGAAGAAAAAAAAAGGTAAAAAAATCGTTAAAATCATATTTTTTTTACGATTTAAACTCTCTAAAAGCTAAAAATTTTAAAAAAAATTAAATTATCAAACAAAACCAAACAAAAAACAAAGCAATAAAGTAAATATAATAAAAAGAATTCTCAAAATTTGCATTAAAATTCGCTTTCAAAATCTTTTCTATTCATTTGTTGATATAAAAAAGAAAAAAAAAAGAGATATCAACATATGGATTCGATTTTTTCGTTCATTTTATTGCACTCTGTCCTCTCTATTTCTCTTTAAAATCTCCCTAATCCATAAAAAAAGGTACGATTGCTGAGTTGCTTTGGAAATTTAGAAAAAAAGAAATCAGTTTTTCTCTAATCTAACTCGGCTCGCTAGTGAGCCCAATTGAGCCGAGTTGATGCCTATTTACGGCTTCCAAAGCTTTCCCAGAGACTCAACACTTAAATCCCCTGCTAGATCTCATCGTCAGCTACATTTTTCGACCCCACATCGATAGGTTCTGATAAGCGGTTCTCGAGATTTCGAGGAATTTAAACGACGCTCTGGATGCACTACTATTAGAGAAAACAACTTGTAAAAGCAACCTTTCTGCATTCCTAACTCCTCACAGTACCCTTTAGAGACACCTAGACAGTTACAGTACCCTTTAGAGACACCTAGACAGTTACAGTACCCTTTAGAGACACCTAGACAGTTACAGTACCCTTTAGAGACACCTAGACAGTTACAGTACCCTTTCGAGACACTTAGACAGTTACAGTACCCTTTAGAGACACCTAGACAGTTACAGTACCCTTTAGAGACACCTAGACAGTTACAGTACCCTTTACGATACAAACCTGTGCCTCCTTTTCCCGATTTTTCCTCTCATCATCGTCCAACTCGGGCACCTCTTCACCCGGCGCGATAAACTCGGGTTTACCCCTTTTTGTGGCAATAAGCACCTAGAAAAAGATCAGAAAACGATTTCTTGTGCACTAGAATAGATGCGTTTACAAAACTGACCTCCATAGAATGCTCTCTTCCCGGCGAGACAACCAACGACTTCATCCCCGTTCCACCAGCTCCTTTCTGCTTGGTGCGGCCGCGTTTCGGGGTGATTGCTGGGGAAGCTGGGGAAAGGGTACTGTAAAGATTGATTGATTGAAGATTGATTATAAATTGATTAAAGCTTGGTTGAAGGTTGATTAAAGCTTGATTAAACCTTGACTAAACCTTGATTAAAGCTTGATTAAAGCTTGAGTAAAGCTTGAGTAAAGCTTGATTAAAGCTTGATTAAAGCTTGATTATAGATTTATTTTATAACTCACCCATCTTTCACAAGTGGGATTTCTACTTGAAGTGATGGAGAGATGAGGAAAGGATGATGTCTCTCGAGTGGTTCGACGAAGATCGGACAACCAATAGCCAGCTTTGGATCAGCATCGATTTCTTTAAGGATCTAGAAAATCAGAGATTTAGATTTCATTGGATTGGGTTATAGGAATCCCCGGGTTCTTATGAATGATCAAGAGCTAGGGCTAGAGCTAGGTTTTGGTTTGTTCTAGAGATTAGTACTTCTAGAGATTAGCATAGAGATTACCACTTCTAGAGATTAGCACAGTCTACAGCCAAGTCTCTACAGCCAAGTGTCTACAGACAAGAGTTTCTCCCCAGGCTAACCAGTCTAGCCTAACCAGTCTAGTCTAGCCAGTCTAACCAGTCTAGTCTGACCGGTCTAGTCTAACCAGGCTAACCAGTCTAGTCTAACCAGTCTAGTCTAGTCTAACCCTTGTTAATCGCTTCGATATACACGAGATTTTCGTCACTCCTCCATTCGGTAATCGTTTCGGGGTTGAAGTGCCGGGATTTGATTCACTGGATGATGGATTTGATCGATTTGATTCATTCATCTGATCTGATTCACTCGAGTCTCTCTTTCCCAGTCTCTTCTTTTTCTCTTGTGAATCTAGACTCATTGATGGATAAAGAGCTTTTAAAGAGGCGATTCTTTGAAATCTTTTTGGTTGATTTTCATCTAAAGATCGAGTTTTTGAGAATTTTGGTGCTAGATCTCGAGGCTGATTGTTGATTTGAATCTTTGGCAAAGTTTTCATTTGATTAGTGCTCTGTTCATTGCTCATGATCATTTCATTAGTGCTCTGATCAGTTCTTCGATTCAATTCCTCTCGTTTGGTAGAAGCTCTGGAGTTAAATCGAGCTAGAATCGAGCTACAAGCCACAGTATGCTTATTGTTTACTGTAGATGGTGGAGGATCTGATTTCTCTTCACTAGTCACTTCATTGTTCACCTCATTGGTCACTTCATTGGCCACCTCATTGGTCACTTCATTGGCCACTGTAGAAGCAGTAGAGTTGAATTCTAGAGTCTTAGAGTCAATCCTATGCTCTACAGTCTCCTCATTGCTTCCTGTAAATGTTCTAGAATCTATTTTCAAATCAAGAATTTTTGATTGATCAATTTTCGCAAATTTTGAGCGTTTGATTTTTGCGTTTTCTTTTTGGTTCAAATTTTGGTTTAAATTTTTATGTAAAGGGAATATTGTAGAGTTTTCTGAATTGATTACTGTATTCTTTTGAATATTGTCGGTCTTGAAGTCTTCAAGGATTACTGTAGAAAGGATTACTGTAGATTCGGGTAGATCTTTTGCATTCTTCTTATCTTCTCCATCCTTCTCTTGAACGCTACCATTTCCTGTATCTATTACGTCAAGGATTACTGTAGATTCGGGTAGATCTTTTGCATTCTTCTTCTCGTCTGCATTCTTCTCTTGAACGCTACCATTTCCTGTATCTATTACGTCAAGGATTACTGTAGAGTTCCCAGGATTAAATCGCGTTACTGTATCGTTAAACTCCTGGCTTCTAGCTGTTGTAGAGACTCCAGGGAATCTATCCCTTTGAATTACTGTATTAGAATCCGTTAAATCTTTCTGCTGAGCTGTTTCCAAGTTCATCAGAATCTCTTTGTTGATTGGTTGAATCTTGTCGTGAAGGATTACTGTAGGAATTCCTTGATTTATCCTGTTTTCCATCTCCTTTACAGTGAAACTTTCAAAGGGAAAGTTCAAGTTTTTCTTTTTTTCAAACTTTTTATCACTCTTTATCTCTTGTAGATTTCTTCCAGTGATGTCTGTTCGAAGGTTTATTTTTGTTTTTGTTCGATCATTTGAGAATGATCTAGTTTGAAGAGAGATTGAAGGGATTGGGGGGATTGAGGGGATTCGAGGGGATTTCGAATGAGAATCAAGAGACATTTCGTGCAGCGATATCAAAGAATAATACAGAGATTGGTTGATGATTTAGATGAGAATGAGATGGGAATGGTTGAGAGAGCGAGAGAGAGAGTGGCTTTTGATTTAGATAGATCTGGTTGTAGTTCAAAGATTCTAGAGTTCTAGAGTTCTAGTTCTGGAGTTCTAGAGTTTCTAGAGTTCTAGTTCTAGAGTTCTAGAGCTCTAGTTCTAGAGTTCTAGAGCTCTAGTTTTAGTTCTAGAGTTCTAGAGTTTCTAGAGCTTATTCGAACCCTTCTAGAGCTTCAAGCCTCTAGAAAACTTCAAGCCTAGCTTCTAGCTTGATTACAAGAGCTAGAAAACCAGTTTTTCATCTGATCGACAAAATATAGAATAGAATAGCTATTAGATGAAGTATTCAACGAAAAGGCTAGACGAAAATCTGTATGTACAGAGCTTGTGATGGGATTGTGATGGGGAAAAGAGATGACAGTTTACTCCCCTCATCTCCTTCATCCTTTTCACTTAAACTATTCGCGTCAAGTTGAAAGAAAGACAACTCTTTCACCTATGAGATTCCCCGGAGAATATGGGAAATGATTAGTCAACAGATATCGCCTCTTTCACTAAGGCAGAAGATTGAAAAGAAAAAAAGTAGAAAAGTTTGCTGAAGGAGGGATCGAACCCGGGACACCCGGGATGCCAATGGTTTTGTAATCCATCATACTAGCCACTAGGCCAACAAGACACTTGTTCGGCAAGCAAATTTGGGGAACAAATGATCTCAAGCGCTTGGGAATAGGGGTGCTCGAAAAGTGCGAACCCCCTTTGCGACTCGAACCCCCTTGCGACCGCGGTGCCAGATGGATAGCGATTACGTGGCTGCACAAAGAATGCACCAAGAACAAGGATTCTTGTGTTAAAAGATATTCAGTTATTTCTCTAAAGATCAATGTTTACCTCTTTCTCCATTTTCCTCAATTCTTCAACGGGAACCTTGTCCGGCACATGCACGTGAGCAATTGATGTCTGAAGGGTTTTTAAATTTTGTGGGGGGTAGTCAAAACAGCGCCATAATAGTAAACGTTCCAAAAAAGCGCCGTCAAATTTCTCAAAATCCAAAAAGATATTCAGTTAACCAATTGAGTATCACTCGATAAAGATATTCAGTTAACCAACTGAGTATCACTCGACACCCATTTTGAGTGCTCTTTTTTATCTTATGAAACAGCTCTTTTTATCTATGAATCAACTCTTTTTATCTTTTTTTATTAACTTTTTTAAAAAACTGTTTCACCCATCATGTAGCCAAGAACGAAAGGAATTCTTTTGATATAAAACTTGAACCGGCTTAGTTTTTTGGATTGTGAGAAATTCGACGGCGCTCTTTTGAACGTTTTCTATGATGACGCTGTTTTGATTACCCCACAAAATTTTTTCTCGAAATCTCTCTTACCTCCATATTATTATTCTCTTCTCTTTTGACGGTTTTTAGAAAAATTTCTTCAATTATTGGTTGAATTTGAATCGATTCCTTTCCTTTTTTCTCTTCTTTCTTCGATTCAATCGATATATAGAGCTCGTCTTTTAATGGAGATGAAGATTTCAGCTAAAGTTTATTTGATTTTCTTTTCATAGAGTCATTAGTTTAGAAAAGCTAGATTTTTGGTTGATTGCTTGAATGAAATGGAAACGGAAACTGGAACTTGTAGTCCTTTATCGAATATTGAAATCCTTTATCAACAGGAACTATACAGTAACCAAATAGGAACTATAAAGGAACTATAAAGGAACCATGAAGGAGCTTTAAAGGAGCTTTGATTATCTTTATCTTTTCAAAAAGATCTACAGAGTTCGTGATCTAAAGATTGTTTCTATTTTATTTTACTTCTATTTTATTCATTTGATTGATGTAAACTAAAGTCTTTCTCAAATAAAAAACCTTTTTAGAAAGCGAATTACTTGAAATTACTTCAAAGAAACAGAGAAAAGACTAGAGAAAACTTTAACTAGAGAAAAGTCTAAAATTAAAGCAAGCTTTTGTCTGGAAATCGAATCTTTATAGAATCCCTTTATAGAATCAAATATGAGGAATCTAAAGCTGAAATCAAAAAACTTTCAAATGAATTTCTAAGATTGTAAAAATTGAATCGAAAATTTGACGTTCAAAATGGTTTAAAATGCTTGAGAAAGAATTGCTGAAAAAGCTTGGATGCTTTAAAAGGATCTTTTCTAGCTGGAGGGAAATGTGTGCTCGTGGCCTAGTGGATAACGCAGTAGATCGCTGGGTCAAGGGATCGTGGTTCGATCCCTTCGTCGGCTTTTTGTTTTTGTTCTTTTAGCATTTGATTTCAGGATTTTTGGGATGGGATTTTTCTTGCATTTGGTAGATTTTTCGTTCAGAATTGGCTTCTATAACGTGTCCAGATGGCAGGAATTCAAGGTGAGCTTTTATAGACTACTTGTAGTCACTTGTAGTCACTTGTAGTCACTTGTAGTCTACTTCGAGTCTACTTGTAGTCTATAAAAGCTGACCTAGAATTCCTACCATCTGAACACGTTATAGAAGCCGAATCTGAAACGAAAAATCTACCAAATGCAAAGAAAATCCCAACTGAAATCAAATGCCAAATGCTTCAAAAGAACAAAAACAAAAAGCTCACCTTGAATTCCTACCTTTATGAAGGACTAGCTGTTCTCTATGAAGGGCTAGTTGTAGCTAAAGAAATCACCTCTGGTAAAGCTTCTTTGAGTGTTGATGGAGTTGAAGATTTGCTAGCTCGATCGAATTCCTGAATATAAATTTTTAAAAAAAGAACCAGAAAGTTTCTCTTTTAAAAATCGATACTTAATCAAAGCCACCTGTTGTTTATCTTGTTCTTTCTTTTCTTCCTTTGCTTCTTCCTCTTCTTCTTTCTTCCCTTCTTCCTTCCCTTCTTTCTTCTCTTCTTCCTTTCCTTCTTTTTCTACTTTTGTTTCTTCTTTTTCAGAAACTCCAGGTGATAGAGCTGCTGGCGGAGAAAGGGGACCGGCTGGCGTAAAGTTTTCACTTTCCTCAAATTCATTCAATTATATATAGATTATTACTAGACTTATTAATTCTTCTAATGATATACTTTAGATTTTAAATCTTCATCTAAATCTTTATCTAAACCTCTATCTAAACCTCCATCTAAATCTCCATCAAAACCTCCATCAAAACCTCCATCTAAACCTCCATCCAAATCTCCATCCAAACCTCCATCCAAACCTCCATCTAAACCTCCATCTAACCCTCCATCAAAACCTCCATCAAAACCTCCATCAAAACCTCCATCAAAACCTCCATCAAAACCTCCATCTAAACCTCCATCTAAATCTCCATCCAAACCTCCATCCAAACCTCCATCTAACCCTCCATCAAAACCTTCATCTAAACCTCCATCTAAACCTTCATCTAAACCTCCATCTAGACCTTCATCTAAACCTCCATCAAAACCTCAACCTTAACAGTCTTCGGGGAAAGCGATGGACTGCTGCTGAGGTCCTCCTCTTCGCTAAGATTCTCTAAAATTCGATGAAAACTTCGTAAACGTTTTTCTGTACTTTGTGCTGTAAACACATCTTTTCTAGAGCACTTAAAGCAGTAAATAAATCGTTTATTTAGTTTTATTTATTAGAAAAAAGATTCAGTAAAAGGTTTTTGTTTGAAATTTTGGAATTTTGGAATTTTGAACTACTTCAAAGCTCAGTATCGAAATTTTAAAGTACATAAAGTACATGGAGTACTTAAAGTACATAGAGTAAAGTACATAGAGTACATAGAGTACATAAAGTACATCAAAATCTATTGAACAATGAGGAATTCGGTGCACTAGAGAAGCTGTGTTTATGTGAAAAGTTAAGCAAAAAGCAAATTACCCTCTAATCTTGGTGTCGACGAGCCGGAACGATCGCGGAAATTTCTCGGTTGATAGCGATACTGAAAACTCGTTACTTAAAGCACGGTAATCAAAAGATCTATCGAAAAAAGTCGATTCACAATATGGAAAATGTTTTCTAGCTTTGTTTCGGAGCTTTGTTTCGGAGCTTTGTTTCCTATCATTGTTTCCTACTGCTCTTTCCTATCTTTGTTTCCTACTGCTGTTTCCTATCTTTGTTTCCTACTGCTCTTTCCTATCTTCTTCTCTTTTCTAAAGCTCACACACATCTCTGATCGCAAAATATGGCTCAAGTTCTTCTAAAGAAGCGAGTGAACCAGCTAGTGAGCCTTCTTCGGAAATATCTGAAAGGATTTCATTTTGATTTGATTTGATTGGATTTTGATTGGGATTTCAATTGGCTTTAATCTAAGCTCATTCTTATTTAGAAACAAGTACTTAAACAAGTACTTAAGTACATAAACAAGTATAGGCTCTTAAACAAGTACTTAAGCAAGTACAAGTACATAAACAAGTACAAGTACCTAAACAAGTACAAGCTCTTAAACAAGTACGAGTACTTAAACAAGTGCTTAAACAAGTACAAGTACTTAAACAAGTACAAGTACATAAACAAGTACTTAAGCAAGTACAAGTACTTAAACAGGTGCAAGTACTTAAACAAGTACAAGCTCTTAAACAAGTACAAGTACCTAAACAAGTACAAGTACTTAAACAAGTGCCTAAACAAGTACTTAAACAAATATTTAAACAAGTACTTAAACAAGTACAAGCTCTTAAACAAGTACAAGTACTTAAACAAGTACTTAAACAAGAGCTTAAACAAGTACAAGTACTTAAACAAGCACTTAAACAAGTACAAGCTCTTAAACAAGTACAAGTACTTTACTTAAACAAACCAGACAAAATCCTATTCGCGATTTCTTCTTCAATAGGCCGATGTTCTCCACGGATCATACGAATTGGTACCTAAATTTTACAGATTTTACAGATTTTTCGATTTTCAGCGCTTCAAAACAATTTCTTATTTGATTTTAATAATTTTAACTCATTTAAATTTAAATAGAAATCTTTTAAACAAATTTTTGATTCAAAATTTTATTTAAATTTGTTTACTTTAAATTCTCTTACATCGCTGATTTAGAGGTCGAAAAATTGATTAGAACAAATGAATGTAATAGTAAATAAATGTAAACTTGTCTCTGTAATAGACAAGTTTTTCAATGATTGATGATTGCTGAAAAGTTGATTTTTATGAAAAAAGTGAAAACAATTTGAAAATCTAAAAAAGAAAGTCATTTATAGAGTGTAGCAGAAAGTAGTACATTGTAGTACAGTGTAGTACATTGTAGTACATTATAGGGCAGTGTCGGACAGTGTAGTACAGTGAAGGACAGTGTAGTGCAGTGTAGGACATTGTAGCACAGTGTAGTACATTGTAGTACATTGTAGTACATTGTAGTACATTGTAGTACATTGTAGCCCATTGTAGTACATTGTAGTACATTGTAGCCCATTTTAGCCCATTGTAGCCCATTGTAGCCCATTGTAGCCCATTGTAGCCCATTGTAGCCCATTGTAGCCCATTGTAGCACACTGTAGCACATTGTAGTACATTGTAGCACATTGTAGTACAGTGTAGTACATTGTGGTACATTGTAGCCCATTGTAGCCCATTGTAGCACATTGTAGTACATTGTAGTACATTGTAGTACATTGTAGTACATTGTAGTACATTGTAGCCCATTTTAGCCCATTGTAGCACACTGTAGCACATTGTAGTACAGTGTAGTACAGTATAGTACATTGTAGTACAGCGTAACACAAAGTATAAAGTCTAGCACGCTTTCTTATGCACTGTAATTCTTCAAAACTTTCGTTTTTCATTTCGTTCTTTCTTTCTTTCTTTCTTTCTTTCTTTCTTTCGTTTTTCTCTAAAACAAAGAACTTTCCTATGTTCTTTCCTTTGCTAAACGCACGTTTTTTCGCGTACTGCTGAACGTACTGCTGATAAGAGAAAATGAAAGAATTCAAGACGCTAGAAAGAGTGCTTTTAGAAGATTTTAAAGCAAAAAATACGGATTTTAATCTTCGTAAGAAGAGAATTGTTTAATAATTAGAAATTAGAGAGAAAGGAAAGATTGAAAAGTTATCGATTGAAAAGAAAATCATTGAGTTGAAAAGTGTACAAAAAAAAAAGAGAAAAAGACAAAGTTGTTGTTTAGGAAAAGGGAAAGAAAGCTTGAAAAAAGCTAGAAAAAAAAAAGAGTTCTCAAGAGTCCCAATGCCATGAGCCAACCACTGTAAACTCTTTTCCTTTCAGTTTTCTTCTATCTCTTCTAAATCTTTAGCTCCTTTCTCCTCCAAAAATCCCCCTCAATCCTCCCCATTTTTTTTCACTAATGACACAGCTGTTTCGAGAATTCACCAATCAATTTTTACGGAGTTCTCTTTTTAGCATGAAGATTTTTAGCCTATTGCCTATGGGGAGTTGAAAAATCGTTTTGATATAGGAGTTATATATAGGAATTACGAGCTGCAGGGAGCTAGATAATTGCCTATGATAAATAGAAATGCAGAGCTGGAAGATGTTTCAAAAAGAAAAACAAAAAAGGCAGCATTGGGGATCGAACTCTCATCCTGTGGGCGAGGGTCAAACATGTTATCCACTAGGCCACGAGGGTCTGCCGTCTGGACTGGAAGGAAGCCTTTTAAAGCATCTGTCTCAGTCTTAGCTGATTCTCTTTTGAATCACAGTGAGACAAAAAAAGACAAAAACAAATCGAATCCCAATGCTTGGTCGTAATACCAGATTGAAAGAGTTATATAGGAATTAGGAGCTGCAGGTTGCCTATGATAAATTGGAATGGAGAGCTGGACGTTGTTTCAAAAAGAAAAACAAAAAAAGCAGCACCGGGGACCGAACCATGATCTTGTGAGCCAGGGTCTAATGTGATATCCACTAGGCCAAGGGGGTCTGCCGTCCCGACTGGAAGGAAGCCCTTTAAAGCATCTGTCTCAGTCTTAGCTGATTCTCTTTTGAACCACAATGAAACAAAAAAAGACAAGAACCAATCGAATCCCAATGCCCTTATGCTGGGTCGGGATGCCAGATTGAAAGAGTTTACGTTTGGGCACAAAGAACACACAGTGAGTCGTCTTTTTCTATCAAAATGTGAAGATATTCAGCTGTAAATTTGTGAGTCACCAAATCGATTGATGAATTCACTTTTACTGAATTAAAGAAAGTTGCAGAAAGAATACGTTCAACAGTACAAATGACGATAGTTATAAACTTCTATCATACTTTTATCGTATTCATACCCATGACCCAGGTTTTACCCATGACCCGCGTCATACCAATGACCGGGATCATACCCATGACCTGAGCCATACCCATACCCATGACCTGGATCATATCCATGACCCAGGCCATACCCATACCCATGACCCATAACCCAGGTCATACCCAAAACTCCAGTCATACCCATAAGATCTTGTGCTAATTTCAGTGCTAATTTCCTCATACCCATAACCCAGGCCATACCCAGGCCATACCCAGGCCATACCCAGGCCATACCCAGGCCATACCCAGGCCATACCCAGGCCATACCCAGGCCATACCCAGGCCATACCCAGGCCATACCCAGGCCATACCCAGGCCATACCCAGGCCATACCCAGGCCATACCCAGGCCATACCCAGGCCATACCCAGGCCATACCCAGGCCATACCCAGGCCATACCCATAACTCCAGTTCCGGTCATATCCATAACAATGGGCTACCGATCCTATCGTACTTCTATCCTACTTCTATCTTTCTATATCGATTATCTTTCAATATCGACTTCGAAATAAACGAAAATAAAGTATTCAAAAGCTCAGCTCAAAAGATCGATTACGATAGATAGAAAGAGCAACTTTTAAAGTGAAATCCAATAAACTAAAAGCCCAAAAGCTTTTGACTGATCAAATCGTCTTCTTTAGATCTTCTTCATTTTCTTTTCTTTTCTTTTCTTTTCTTTTCTTTTCTTTTCTTTTCTTATTCAATCGTTTTCTTTTTCAAATCTCAGAGATTTTTCTCTTTACAATTCGAGTGTTCTAAATAAACATTCTCTTTTTACTTTCAACTCATCCCTCCTCTCTTTCTCTTGCTCTTCCTCCTCTTTCTTTTTCTCTTTCTCTTTCTCTTTCTCTTTCTCTTCCTCTTTCTCTTTCTCTTCCTCCTCTTTCTCTTCATTCTTGAAGAAGATTCTTGAAGAAAATTCGAGTTGATGAGAGTTTTTTTGAAAAAAAAACCCTGACAACAGCTTTTTTCCTTTCAAAAATCAAATCCCTTGTTTTTCAGTGCACTAGAAAGAGTGTGCTTAAAAGATTAAGCACAAAGTACGTAAGGTAACATTATCTAGGAGAAGAGTGTACTAGAAAGTGCTAGAAAGAGTACTAGAAGTACTAGAAAGAGTACTAGAAAGTACTAGGAAGAGTACTAGAAAGTACTAGAAAGAGTACTAGAAAGTACTAGAAAGAGTACTAGAAGTACTAGAAAGAGTACTAGAAAGTACTAGAAAGAGTACTAGAAAGAGTACTAGAAAGTACTAGAAGTACTAGAAAGTACTAGAAGTACTAGAAAGTACTAGAAAGAGTACAATCTAGTGTGTATTAGAAAGAATTTTGTTTAATCAATTTGATAACAAATTACAAGAATGCTTTGTATTTTATTTTTTCTAGAAACTTCAAATTTTTTACATTAATATAACGAAATACTGTTTTTTCAAACTACCGTATTTTCTCTAATAGTTTTGTCTCTAGAAAGTACTAAAAAAGTACTAGAAAGAGTACTAGAAAGTACTCGAAAGAGTAGTAGAAAGAGTAGTGCACCCTTCGCTTTGCCTAAATTCCTCGAAATCTCGAGAACCGCTTATCAGAACCTATCGATGTGGGGTCGGAAAATGTAGCTGACGATGAGATCTAGCAGGGGATTTGAGTGTTGAGTCTCTAGGAAAGCTTGGAAACCATAAAATAGGCATTAACTCGGCTCGCTGAAGGTGCGCTACTATTAGAGAAAATACGGTATTAATATCGTTTTTTGTCTATTATTTGAAATCTTTTACTTGTGCCAGAGGGTTTTCCTCGGGATTGAAGGGTGCAAGAGTGAGCGGTTGTTGATGGAATCGTTGAGTGGCCGGTGCTGAAATTTTTCTATACAATAGAACAATTGTTATCTTAAAATGATAGTTAATGAGCTAAAGAAGAGCTAAAGAAGAAGAAGAAGGTTTTCTTTTGTTCCCAAACTCCCAAAGAATTTTTTTGTTAACAAGTCTTTTCTAAAGTGTGGACCTTCTACCGTACCCCTATTTGTCTGGGATTTCAAAGAATTTTTTCATTTTGATCAAAATCATTGTCGGCCTTTGTTTTTTTGTTTCTTTTATATTTCTTTTGCTTCTTTTCCTTTTTTTGATCAATGTTTTGTTTATTTATAACTATAACTGTATAACTCTTTTCCAATAAGAACTGTCAGAATTTGGAATCGACTCCCCAGAGTTTTGAGAGAGTCCAATAATCTCGAAACCTTTAAATTATCTCTAGATGTTTTTGATCTTGAAGCTCTAGTGGATCCTTGACGTTATCTGTGCTACCGTTATCTGTGCTGTGCATATATTACATATATTATTGGGTTGGTGAATTGAAAACTGCGGGCCATTGTCATATGTGACAGTTTGAGCACTTTCTTCAAAAGAAACCCATTCTGGTCTCAATGGGAAAAAAGACTCAAAAAAAAACAGGACGAAAGACTGGAAAATTCTTTGTGGCGGGGCCCTTTTATTACGTCGGGTTACGGTAGTTCCCGACGTTTGGCGCGGAAACTTCTGAAAGTACGGTGGACGGTCCCGAAGGCATCTGTCGCCAGAATTTTATTATTTCAAGAGAGAATTCCTATTTACTTTTTAAATTATTATTTATTATTATTTTTTATTTATTGAGTTGGTGAATTGAAAACTGCGGGCTATTGTCATATGTCCCTTTTTGAGCACTTTCTTCAAAAGAAACCCATTCTGGTGTCAATGGAAAAGTTGTAGAGAATCAAAAATCAAGCTTATATCCAAATTTTTAGAACGATTCAAAAACTGGTTTTCAAGAAATGCCAAATTTACGAATTTTCACAAAACTTGCAACAAAATTTGCATTTTAAGCGAAACTACTAAGTGTATCTTTTTGGAAATTTGGCTATAAGCCTAAATTTTGATTCTCTACAACTTTTCTATTGAGACTAAAATGGGTTTCTTTTGAAGAAAGTGCTCAAACTGGGATATTGGAGATCTCCAGTCCTCGATTTTTAAGTCTCACACTTGTCTCACACACAAACCAAAGTCCTACTACGATTATGCTTCCAATTTGGTTTCAATATGGTTCCAATATGGTTTCAATTTGGTTTCAATATGGTTCCAATATGGTTCGGATACGGTTCCAATATGGTTCCAATATGGTTTCAATACGGTTCCAATATGCTTCCACTACGAAAGAGGAATCCGCAAATTGCCTGTAAAATGGGCAGAAGTCGTCAATAATAATGGAAATTATTTGGAATGAATTCATGGTTTTATGTTGAATAAATTTTAGTTCAAAGTGTCGGAGTTTTCAATTCACCAACCCAATATATCGTGTTGCTTTTTATCGGCCTTTTTCGTGTTTATGTGTGTATGAATTCATGTGTATTAAGCTTAAATCTAGCGCACTTTATCTCAGATCATGAATAAAGTATCTATCTATCTATCTATCTATATATATATATATATATATATACAAACCTTCTCCTTGTTGCTGTGGTTCCAATCGTCTCCGTTCGCCCATCGGATTGCCCGAATGTGGTGGACAGAAATAAGCGGGTGGCGGTTCACGAAAAGCTTCTTCTAAAAGAAAACATTACTATCTAGATTCATTTTCTTTCCTTTAAATGAATTGAAATTAATCTAGAGTCGAAATAGAACCAGAAACAGTTGAAAAAACGTCCAAAAAATGGACTTTTTTTGGACTTTTTTCAACTGTTTCTGGTTAAAACACTCCAAAAATTCCAAAAACATTCAAAAATCCAAAAATCACCGTCAAAATGCTTGTCAAACGCTTTCTGCACGTTCTCGTGCCAGTGACCGTCCATCACGCATCAAAATAAGAAGCAAAATAAGAATATAGCTAGCTAGCTTATTACTTGATAAAAACGGCCGACCTTTCTTTAAGCGGCTACCTTTCTTTAGTGCACCTTTTTTTTTTGTTTCCCCTTCTTTATTCCCCCTTCTTTACAACCCATGAAACTTTTCCCCCTTTTTCTTGACCCTTCTTGTTGTCCCTTTTTCCAATCAGATCAACAAATCTCTTCTCATTCTCTATTGGATTCGATTACACGCCTGTTCCATTTTCTTTAGAGGTTTCTTTTAAAAAGCTCTGTTTTTTTTTGTTTAGCATTCGTCTTAAAGGTGTTCAAGGTGTTCAAAATTTGTTTCCGAACAATGAGAACTGTTTTCTGAACAATGAGAACTGTTTTTCCAATCAACCAATCGAAAATTTGAAAATTTGAAAATTTTCGAAATCTTTTTCAGCTAATGCAAAAGTTTGAGGAGAAGTGCTCAGGCCTATCATTGGGTCACCAGGATTTCGTCTGCCAGTGTCTTTGGCTCTGACATTTGATCATCATTGCACGTGGCGGGAGTCGAACCCGCGACCGTTTGCACTAGAGGCTAGCGCGTTAACCAATAGGCCACTTGGCAGTTGGGGAGGGGGCGTTTTTTCGGGCTTTTGTTCGCGATTTTTCGTTAAAAGAAAAAATTTTCGTTAAAAATCGAATCTTTTTCTTAAAAAAATATAAACTTCTATCTTTTTTTGTATTTATTTTTTTTCGATAATCTTTTCGATAAAGTAAACCTTGTCTTTGTTGCAAGCGTCGTAAGATTTCTGGTGGTATTGGACGGCCGAATTGATCAACCTAAAGATTTAAAAGAGATTAGAATCACTTTTTCGGCTTTAATTTATCGTTTTTTAATGATTTCAGTTTAAAATGAAAAATTTGAATAGATTTTTGATAGAATTTAGATCGATAATAGATAGATAAACCTTTTTAAACTCACAAATTGCCGTCGATCTGCTGGCGGGAAAAGCGGACGACCGTATGGATCGAGTTGAACCTCTTGACCTCTGAAAAGCTTCAAAAATCCATTTTGCATAAGTAAAAGAAATGAATTTGCTTTCTTTTTAGCAAATAATTGATATAGATTCGAATACAGAACAGGAATTCGATTCGATTTCTTTTCTTTTTCAAACAATTTACATACAAAATGTCCAAAAGTTACTTTTTCTCTAATTTTTTGATGGGTTCTAACAAAAAAACTAATAAACTACAAACTAACAAAAAAAAAAAAAAAAAAAAAGACTTCTGCCTCTGCTTCTACTTCTACTTCTACTTCTACTTCTACTTCTGCTTCTACTTCTACTTCTACTTCTGCTTCTACTTCTACTTCTACTTCTACTTCGACTTCTGCTCACAGGCATTTCCCGATTACATCTCATTTTTCGAGTGACTGTCAATTTCTCCAAAGCTTAACCCTATGGATTACTCTATATCCCCTTCTCAAGACAAAAGCATGTGCAAAATCCTATAATAAAGTCGAGAGTCTCAAGAAATCGTTTTGAAATCTGAAGAAATCGCTCGAGAAGGCATGGAAAACCTTGCGTGCCACGGTTGACGCATTTTCTCACCGCCTGCAGGCTTGTCTTAATGCTAATGGAGAAAAATTTGAAGCTATCTGTTGAAGCCCTTAATTTACTATTGTTATACAATGAATAAAATGATTTAAATTGAATTTTCAAGAATGTTTGAATTGAAGTTGAATTGAAGAATTGCTGTTCCCGTTTTGAGTTTCCATAATTCGTCAGCCTGGATAAGGGTGTTGTTTTTGAAGCTCTAGCCTAGCTTCTCGCGTACTTTAGATGTTTACGAACGGACGAACGGATAGACAGCCCTTAATTATATAGTAGATTGAGTACCCCACCTCCATAATGACAGCGGAGCGTTTCGTAGTCTAGCTTTGAACGAGTTTTTCTCGACACTGGTTTATGCTACAATCTTCGCTTTGGCATCAAAAAATAGCCCTGAATTTCAGCTATTTTTTAATACCTAAGCGAGCATTGTAGCATAAACCAGTGTCGAGAAAAACGCGTTCAAAGCTAGACTACGAAACGCTCCGCCGTCATTATCGAGGTACTATTACAGTATTAATTTTTAATAGCTTTAATAGCTTTGTTCTTTGTTTAACAATCTAGAAGATGAACCTGTTTTGTTGTAGTTGTCGTTGTTGAAGTCTTGCTAGCTCTTCCGGGTGAACGAAACGGCCAAATTGATCGACGGGAATTGGCGATTGATCTGGGCTAGGTGCTGGCGGTTCTCTAAAAGAAAATTTTAGAATTAATAGCTTTCTATAGTAATGTCAGTTACAGTATCCATGGATTACCGCTTTCTCATAGCTTTACTTACTCCTCTACTTACTCCTTTACTTCCTCCTCTACTCCTCTACTTCCTCCTTTACTTACTCCTTTACCTCCTCCTTTACTTCCTCCTCTTCTTACTCCTCTCCTTACTCCTCTACTTACTCCTTTACTTACTCCTCTACTCCTCTACTTACTCCTTTTTTAACTTTACCTCGATCTCCACTGATCAGATGAATGAAAAGGATCCAATGCTCGACCTTGACTATCAAATCGAGTCTCTTGTTGTTTTTGTCTTGAGTCGAATGGAATCGGTTCACCTTTCTCGTCAACTAATGGTCGATCGTCGAATTGATTCTGAAAATCGTTTGGCTTAGAAAATTCTTTTTCAAATGTTGTTTAGATAAAAAGAAAATACATCGCAGAGGTGTTCTATTGAGATCTAAGACCTGGCTAGACCAGGCTTAGTCTGCATTAAAGCAAGCTAGGCCAGACCTAGCTAGACCAGGCTTAGCTTACAGTAGAGCAAGCTAGGCCAAGCCTAATCTACAGTAGAGCTATGCCAGACCTAGCCAGGCCAGACTTAGCCTACAGTAAAGCAAGCCAGGCTAGACCTAGCTAGACCTAGCTAGGCCTGGTCTAGCTTACAGTAAAGCAAGCTAGACCAGGCTTAGCTGACAGTAAAGCAAGCCAGGCTAGACCTAGCTAGACCAGGCCTAACTCTGATCTTACGGCAAAGCTGCAATTGTGCTATTCGAGTCAGAACCAAATTGCTTTAAAAGCTGGTTTAAAAGTCGCTTTAAAAGCCTCTTTCCTAGCCGAGAAAAGCTACGTTGATGGCCTAATGGCTAATACGTTAGATTCCCGGCCATAGAATCAGAGTTCGATCCGCAATGGAGCTCTTCGAAACCTGTTGTCGTGATTGTCCACCGTTCGCTCGTCGTGTCGGATTCGGATATGATATATAGGGATGAGAAGAGTTTAGATCGATCGATGGAGGCTGAAAATTTCAAGATTAGTTTCAAAATTACTTTCAAAACTCTATGTACTTTCCAAAAAAACTAGTTTTGTGGGTGATTTTTTGGTAAAAAAGGGATTTCTCGATCTCTTAAGCTGTTTCCTTTGGGCCGGTTGCCTTATGAGCGTGGCCGAGTGGTCTAAGGCGCTGCGTGTCAATCTGGTGCCAAAGAGGGGGCTGTTGGTTCGATCCCTTTGCAATTCTCGAGTCTTTTTTTAAATGTTTTAAAAAGACAGAAATTGTAGTTGATACTTTAAATTAACATTTTAATTACAAAAATAGTTTAAAATTGATCTTTGTTAAGTAAAAAATTTGATTTTTTAAATAAAACTTTTTTTTAAGTGAAATTTTTCGCTTTTTTTGAGTTGGAAATGGTTTTTTAATAAGAATAATAACAATAATATTGTATTATTTTAGTAATTACTCTTATTAGTCATCTTTTTAAGCTGTAATCGAGTTGAAATCGTTCACAGAAAGGTTTTAACTGCGAAATTTGATTCGAATCGATTCGGCTAATCACAAAAGTACAAAAAGAAAACTAAAGAAAAGCTAGAATCACGTAATGGGAATTTTAAATGGGAAAGGGGGCGGGGCGAGGGAGCTTTTATACGCGCCCGCCCTCATTGGCAATCCAACTTTGAGCTCAAATATCTCGGTGTTGGGCTTTCCAATAGAAATCGTTTTTATACCAATCGACAGAGAAAGCCTTGGCGCATCTAATGACACCGAAAATGTTTCAATTGGACAATCGAGCACGAAGATATTTGAGCAGAAAGTTAGATTGTCAATGGGAAAGGAGCGTGCCTTTGAAAACTTACACTTCGAAAAATGCCAATGCCACGCATTTTTTCGAAAGCCAAATTTTAGAATCAAATAAATATTTAAATAAAAAGAAATCAATGAGATCTTCAATGTTTTCTCGTTTTCTTTTCTTTTCTTTTCTTTTCTTTCTTTCTCTTCTTCCTCTTCTTCCTCTTCTTCCTCTTCTTTCTTTCTTTTTCTTTATGGATTTGAAAAGCTCGAAAGCTCTAATGCTTTAAAGAATTTGAAACGCAACAGCTGATACGCCTCGTTTTCGTTTTTTTTTAAAGTCTAAATGATAAAAAAAAAGACGTAAAATTTGTAAAGTTTTGTACAGTGCGTAAGAAAATGATATTGTCGTTTTGTACGGTGCCAAAACGGTTCCAATACGGTTCCTATTAAGTTCTAGTATGGTTCCAATACGGTTCCAATACGGTTCGAATACGGTTCCAATACGGTTCCAATACAGTTCCAATATTAAGTTCTAATATGGTTCCAATACGGTTCCAATACGGTTCCTATTAAGTGGTAATATGGTTCCAATACGGTTCCAATAGGTTCCAATACGGTTCCTATTAAGTTCTAATACGGTTCCAATAGGGTTCCAATACGGTTCCTATTAAGTTCTAATATGGTTCCAATACGGTTCCTATTAAGTTCTAATATGGTTCCAATACGGTTCCAATACGGTTCCAATACGGTTCCAATACAGTTCCTATATGAAGTTCTAATATGGTTCCAATACGGTTCCAATACGGTTCCTATTAAGTGGTAATATGGTTCCAATACGGTTCCAATACGGTTCCTATTAAGTTCTAATACGGTTCCAATAGGGTTCCAATACGGTTCCAATACGGTTCCAATACGGTTCCAATATGAAGTTCTAATATATTGGGTTGTCCAGTTATGAATGCGCGTTTTTACTATTTTGTAAATTTCTCAAGATATCGAACAGATGTATATGAGTGTTATATATCATTCGAAAGCTGAAGATCTCCTCTACATTTTGATATAAAAACCCTTGGAATTTGTTCAGCTTTTGGGCACAATTGACTGCACAAAGGGAGAAGTCGTTTTCGAAAAACCCATTTCAGTTTAGCTATTCCTCAAGTTTTATGGTGTAAAATAACTGTCCAGAAAAGTAAAGATGCTCTGAAATTGTTATATTTTAAAAAACGTTGTATTGATATATCTATTGGCCAAACATCAAACGGTTAACTCAATTTGAGCGGAGCCAAAACTTGATCCAAAGGCGCCCTTCCATTTTTTGGCCACCTCTTCTTCTGTGCAGTCAATTTGCCCAAAAGCTGAACAAATTCAAAAACTTTTTATATCAAAATGTAGAGGAGATCTTCAGCTTTCGAATAATACTCATATATATCTTTTTCTTGATTTTTTCGGTATCTTGAGAAATTTACAAAATAGCAAAAAACGCGCATTCATAACTGGACAACCCAATAGATCCATCATGTTTTTCGCCCCAGAAACTAGACATTTTGAATAAAAATTCAGGTTTTAACACCAAAAACAAGTTTTAAATTTCAGGAGACAAAAATTGAACCTTGTACTGTGGTTAAAAGGGGGTTACTTTCTGGTATGCTGGCTTCACGCGCTTGTAGCTCGGTGAAAAATGTTCGGATCAGCCCACATGTGGCACCAAAATGATCCTTGAGCTCTTTTCTACAAATTTGAATCAAAAATTCTTGGCGAAAATTTGTTCGAGTGGGCTATACATCGGTCAAAAGGCGTCCAAATCGGTTTTCTCATCGCAAAATTGAGATTTCGACAACGTCTCTGTCGCTTATCACTTAATATGCTTATCAAAAATGGCGGAAAATCTATGTTATCTTTTGTTGCGGGTTTTTGTTGGAGTTTATTAGTTAAAATTATAAAATAAAGCTGTTAAATCAAGGTGGATCTATCATTTTTTTAGTTTATAAGAAAAATTCTTTTAATTTAACAAAAATTAAGTCAAAAATTGAACAGATTAAAGCTAAAATTGTTTGAAAATTAGAAAACGGATAACTCTAACAGCTCTAGTAGCTCTAGCAGCTCTAGAAACTCTAGCAGCTCTAGAAACTCTAGAATCTCTAAGAATCTCTAGCAGCTCTAGCAGCTCTAGAATCTCTAGAATCTCTAGAATCTCTAAGAATCTCTAATCTCTGTAAACCCACCCTTTCTAGTACATGTACATGTACACCTTTTTCTTCATCTACACCAGAAAGTATGCGTTTATTTGTGTACAAAGTACTGACCTCGATTTGTTCGTAGCGTTGATTTGAGGGTGTTTGTTGGACAAAAACTCGTCGTTCCTGAAAGTTCGATGAAAAAATATTTATAGAATCTATAGAATAAGATTTTAAAAGATTATAGATTGATAGATAAAGAAAGAAAGAAAGAAAGAAAGGAAAGAAAGGAAGAAAGAAAGAAGAGGGAATTATTTGCCCTCTCAACCCCGACTCCTGAGCCTTTCACTCTCAATCTCTTTTCACTGAAAGCTTTTCTATCTCCAGAATTCACTGCTTTACTTACATTTCTTTGTTTACTATTAGATTGAAATACTGGGCACTAAAACAATTGAATTTTCTCGGTTTTTTGGTTATTTTAAAGACCATATTTCCTCTAACAAACCCCTACCCTCAAATTTTCCCCCCTCGTTCTCAACCCCATTTTAAGATATTTTTATGTTTTATATACTAAAAGATAGCCCTTAATGTCTTCTATCTTTTGGTATATTAAACATAAAAATATCTCAAAATTGAGCTGAGAACGAGGCGTCTAAAGTTGACTCATCCTCGACCGCTCAACCAACTTTAGACGCCTCGTTCTCAGCTCAATTTTGAGATATTTTTATGTTTAATATACCAAAATATAGAAGAAATTAAGGACTATCTTTTGGTATATTAGACATAAAAATATCTCAAAATCGGGTTGTGAACGAGGGTTTAAAGATTATCGAGAGGGATAGAGGAAATACCATAAGCACCCCAGCTTTGATCGTCTATAACTTTGCTTAGAGTTAATATTATTTTTATCTTTTTATATCTTTGTATAGAGGGCTTATCAACCTTTCTAATGACACTAAATACAGCTTGATTGGATAATCCAGTCAAGAGAAAATCAAGCAATATAATGTTCGAGTCAGATCAGCCTCGTTTACTCTGCGTTAGCTGATGATGGTTAGCTGATCTTTCTTGACTGGATTATCGAATCAAGCTGTATTTAGTGTCATTAGAAAGGTTGATAAGTCATCTATACAAAGATATAAAAAGATAAGAACAATATTAGCTCTGGGCAAAGTTATCGACGATCAAAGCTTGGCTATTCAAAATATTTGGAAAGCCGACAAGAGCCAAAGAATTAGCATTAATCCATTTCCAAAACCAGTCTAACTTGCCAACAACTACCTTTTTAACCGCTTTTTTTTTTCAAAAATCGCTCCAGGAATAAACAAATAGGCATTTTTGAAGTAAAATAAGTGAAAGAATAGAAAAGATTTGAAATCGAAAGAGATTCGAAACAGATGTCAAAGGATTTTGATCTTGATCAAAGGATTTTTATTTTAAAACTCACAAGCCATTTGTGTTTGTAACGAAACTCGCGAAGTGAATCAGCGGAAAGAGAAGAATTGACGAGTGATGTCTCAGCTAGCCACTCACTGCATAAAGCGTCTTTGACGGAAGGACGAGAACTGAGTTGAGAATTAAAAATGAAAAAAGTGAAGAAATGAGTCACAAAGCAGCCGAAGGGAATCGAACCCTCGACCCTCTGTCTATCGACAGGGAACGCTCTACCACTGAGCTATCAGGCCTTGTTTGACTGGGAAGAAATAGGAAAGATAAGGGAGAAAGAGAAGAAAGAGAAGGACCCGGGGGTCTGAATCGAATTTTGAACCGTGGGCTCCTTGTGTTTCTTATTTTTTCTTTGGAGGCAAAGGTGCCGGTGGCTCAGTGGTAAAGCATCAGGTTGGTAAGCGAGAGGTCGATCCAGGGTCGAGGGTTCAATCCCCTCGGGTGGTAAGCAATCGGTTTTTTGCCATTTTTCGCCACGTTTATTAGCTATTAGAATAGATTGATCAATTTGAATAGATCAATTTGAATAGATCAATTTGAATAGATCAATTTGAATAGATCAATTTGAATAGATCAATTTGAATAGATCAATTTGAATAGATCAATTTGAATAGATCAATTTGAATAGATCAATTTGATCGATGAACAGGAAACTCACTTTGGATCAAAGGTCAACAACTTCTGAATAAACGCCTTCGCCGACAAGGAGAACACATTCCATTCCTGAAAACGCATTCCATTCCTGAAAATCAAGAAATTTTCCATCCCAACCTCAGTATCAGTTCTGAAAGATCCTTTTGAGACATTTTTGAGTGTCTCAGCGTCGTTGTCCCCGTGAAATGGTGAGACACCAGTTAATCTAAAGTTTTTAGGCTTAAAACTGTTCTTGTAATGGAAAACTTAATGCTTAGGGTCAAGCCAAGTCAGCTTTACTTAGTTGTAAATAAAGTAAAGCAAATGGCAAAAAATTTGGAAGCAAGGGGAATTGAACCCTCGATCTTCTGTTTGCCAGGCTGACACTCTACCACTGATCTATCAGCGTCTTGTTTCCCGATGAAGAAATAAGAAAGAGAAAGAAGAGAAGGAAGAAAGAGAAAGGAATTTCCGGGCCCTTAGAATCCCTTGGGTTCCTTATCTTTCTTATTTCTTCTTGGGGAAACAAGGCACCGATGGCTCAGTGGTAGAGCATCAGCATGGGAAGTAGGAGGTCGGGGGTTCGATTCCGCTTGGTTCCAGATGTTTTTACTTTTTTACTTCAATCATGCTCAGATGCTCTACCATTGAGCTGCCAAACAGGATATAACTTACAAGATATATGTGAGCGTGCCTACACTCCACAAATCACTAGCCAAAGTAATCGGCTGGCCGTTGACGATCTGAAAGAGATTTTTCGATGAAATGTTTCTCGATAAAATGCAAATCCAGATTAAATCCAGATTCTAAATCGATTGAAATCAAAAATCTTTGATTGTTTAATCTAAAATCTAAAATCTTTGTGCTACTGTACCTCTGGGGACACAAACTCGGGACTTCCTTTAATCGACTCGCGAATTGTTCCCGTTCGATCGAGTTTCCTGGAGAAAATTCAAGAAAATTCATTTGCACTTTGTGCTCTTGTAAACGCACGACTCTTGGCGCACCTTTTGGCGCACCTTAGACGAATCAATCGCCCCAGAGAATGGGTGTTTACGAGAGCACAAAGTACAAGACAACTACTCACCGACTTGAGCCAAAATCGGCTAAGATCAACTTGTCATCTTGTAAGAGAATGCTTTCTGGGCGGAGATCTCAATTTGATAAATATTTAAATTATTAAATATTAGATATTTAACAAGTAGAATTCGAATAACTAATCCAAAACCAAATAGATTTTACCTAAATGAGCTAGTCCTTGTGCGTGCATGTGTCCAAGAGCTGTCAAAAGCTGTTTCGTGAACACTCTCACTAATCGTTCACTAAAGAAAAATTATAAATGATTATTTTGCTCTTTTTTTTGTTTAAATGATAAAAATTAGATCGATTAGTTGATTTGAATGATTGGATTGAATTGAACTGGCTAGAGAATTGGCTAGAGAATTGGCTAGAGAAGTGAATTGGCTAGAGAATTGAACTGGCTAGAGAATTGGCTAGAGAATTGGCTAGAGAAGTGAATTGGCTAGAGAATTGGCTAGAGAATTGGCTAGAGAAGTGAATTGGCTAGAGAATTGAACTGGCTAGAGAATTGGCTAGAGAAGTGAACTGGCTAGAGAATTGGCTAGAGAATTGGCTAGAGAATTGGCTAGAGAATTGGCTAGAGAATTGGCTAGAGAAGTGAACTGGCTAGAGAATTGGCTAGAGAAGTGAACTGGCTAGAGAATTGGCTAGAGAATTGGCTAGAGAATTGGCTAGAGAATTGGCTAGAGAAGTGAACTGGCTAGAGAATTGGCTAGAGAATTGGCTAGAGAATTGGCTAGAGAAGTGAACTGGCTAGAGAATTGGCTAGAGAATTGGCTAGAGAATTGGCTAGAGAATTGGCTAGAGAATCGAATTGGCTAGAGAACTGGCTAGAGAATTGGCTAGAGAATTGGCTAGAGAATTGGCTAGAGAATTGGCTAGAGAAGTGAACTGGCTAGAGAATTGGCTAGAGAATTGGCTAGAGAATTGGCTAGAGAATTGGCTAGAGAATTGGCTAGAGAATTGGCTAGAGAATCGAATTGGCTAGAGAACTGGCTAGAGAATTGGCTAGAGAATTGGCTAGAGAATTGGCTAGAGAAGTGAATTGGCTAGAGAATAGAATTGGTTTCGGTTTTCCTTGTGCGAGATTTTTCAGACACAAGCCAGACACAAGCCAGATCTCCCAGAACTGGCTAGAGAACCAAATTCGCTAGAGAATCCAATTGGCTTCGGTTTTCCTTGTGCCAGATTTTTCAGACACCAGCCAGACACAAGCCAGATCTCCAAGAATTAAATATTATCTATTTAGATTGATGATTTAACTATAAAGAACTATAATACTATTTTATAGTAGTTCTATAAAATACTATAAAACTCTATTAACTTTATAGTAGTTCTATAAAGAACTACTATAAAATTAACAGTTTTTTAAAAAACTAACCGCTCTATTCCTTCGGGTTCTGGAATACGAACTCCAGGATGAGTCAACTCGCCTAACACACTCCCAGTGGCTCTAAAATGGGCTCTAATTTGTCATTTAGTTGCATTTGACTTCTCGTTTCTTTTAGATATTCAGTTATCGAATTAGATATTCTGTTATTAAGCTAGATATTCCGTTCTTAAGTTAAACATTCAGTTACCGTATTTTCTCAAATAGTAGTGCACCCTGATTAACCCCCTGGTTCTCAACCCCATTTTAAGATATTTTTATGCTTTATATACCAAAATATAGAAGAAATTAAGGGCTATCTTTTCGTATATTAAACATAAAAATATCTCAAAATGGAGTTCAGAACGAGGCGGCTAAAGTTGACCCTTATCCATAACCCTTCGACCAACTTTAAACTCCTCGTTCTCAGCCCCATTTTAAGATATTTTTATGTGTAATATACTAAAAGATAGCCCTTAATGTCTTCTATCTTTTGGTATATAAACCATAAAAACATCTCAAAATGGAGTGAAGAACGAGGCGTCTAAAGTTGGTCGAGGGGACGGGGATTAAGGTCAACTTTAGACGCCTCGTTCTCAACCCCATTTTAAGATATTTTTATGCTTTATATACCAAAATATAGAAGACATTAAGGGCTATCTTTTAGTATATTACACATAAAAATATCTTAAAATGGGGCTGAGAACGAGGGGTTTTAAAGTTGGTCGAGAGAGGGAGAGGAAATACGGTAAGCACCCCAGCTTTGATCGTCTATAACTTTTCCTAGAGCTAATATTATTCTTATCTTTTTATATCTTTGTATAGAGGACATTAAGGGCTATCTTTTCGTATATTAAACAGAAAAATATCTCAAAATTGAGCTGAGAACAAGGCGTCTAAAGTTGACCCTCGTCCTCGATCCCTCGACCAACTTTAGACTCCTCGTTTGCTCGAAATTTCTCGAAATCTCGAGAACCGCTTATCAGAACCTATCTTTGTGGGATCGGAAAATGTAGCTGACGATGAGATCTAGCAGGGGATTTAAGTGTTGAGTCTCTAGGAAAGCTTTGGAAACCATAAAATAGGCATCAACTCGGCTCGCTGAAGGTGCACTACTATTAGAGAAAATACGGTAACAAACATTAAAGTATTAACAATTGAATTGGGATTAAGTGCGCTTAGTCCACAAAAGTTTGATACTAGCTTTGCATATGAGCAATGAGGAATGCAGAAAGGTTTCTTTTACAAGTGACTTTTTCAGTCTAAACCCTTTCCTAACTTACTGTAACCAGTGAATTCGATGATTGTAGCCTTTCATCTCCTTTAAATCCTTTAAAACAATAATAAAATAAAAAAGGAGAAATAAGAAAATATGGACTCAATGTGTTCTTTTCATTTGTGACTGAGATAGACTGGGAAAGTTGAAGGAAAGGAGGTCGTACAACCGACTCCTTGAGTCCCAGCCTCCCCTACACCAAATGTGCTTGAGCAGAAAATGGCCCAGCTTCTTTTGCTCTTAAATTTTCTTCTCTTGATCACTTTTCTTTTCTTCTTTCTTCTTTCTTTCTTCTTTCTTTCTTCCTTTCTTTCCTTCTTTCCTTCCCTTTTCTTTTCCCCACCACATCACTCAATATTGTAGTGACAGCCAGCTCTTTACGATTTGTAGATCATTGTAATCATTGTTAGCTAGATTAAGTAATTGTCTAGGTTATTCTAATCGTCTAATAGATCCTATTTTTCTATTGTAGTTCTTATATTGGGTTGGTGAATTGAAAACTGCCAACTCAAAGTCCTTGAAATAAAATTTATTGAACATAAAACCATGAATTCATTCCAAATAATTTCCATTATTATTGACGACTTCTGCCCATTTTACAGGCAATTTTTAGATTCCCCTTTCGTAGTAGGATTTTGGTTTGTGTGTGAGACAAGTGTGAAGACTCAAAAATGGAGGACTGGAGACTCAAAAATGGAGGACTGGAGACTCAAAAATGGAGGACTGGAGACTCAAAAATGGAGGAATGTCCCAGTTTGAGCACTTTCTTCAAAAGAAACCCATTTTAGTCTCAATAGAAAAGTTGTAGAGAATCAAAAATTAGGCTTATAGCCAAATTTCCAAAAAGATACACTTAGTAGTTTCGCTTAAAATGCAAGTGTTGTGAAAATTGGCATTTCTTGGCGTAAATTTGGCATTTCTTGAAAGCCAGTTTTTGAATCGTTCTGAAAATTTGGATCTAAGCTTGATTTTTGATTCTCTACAACTTTTCCATTGACACCAGAATAGGCTTCTTTTGAAGAAAGTGCTCAAAAAGGGACATATGACAATAGCCCGCAGTTTTCAATTCACCAACCCAATATATTGACTATTTAAACGATCATTTGATGAAGAATGAAATTACGCATCGAATGACACCAAAAACAACTTAAAATATAAAATCCATGCAAAATGAAATATTGGTCAAAATACGGCTGAAAAAATGCCCGTACAGTAGGGCAGACAGAAAGACAGACAGACAGAAAGACAGACAGAAAGACAGACAGAAAGACAGACAGAAAGACAGACAGAAAGACAGACAGAAAGACAGACAGAAAGACAGACAGAAAGACAGACAGAAAGACAGACAGAAAGACAGACAGAAAGACAGACAGAAAGACAGACAGATACCGTAACCTCCCTCCCCTCCCCCTCCTTTTCCGTCATTTCATTTGTGAAAATTCGTAAATTTGGCATTTCTTGAAAACCAGTTTTTGAATCGTTCTGAAAATTTGGATAGAAGCTTGATTTTTGATTCTCTACAACTTTTCCATTGACACCAAAATGGGTTTCTTTCGAAGAAAGTGCTCAAACTGTCACATATGACAATAGCCCGCAGTTTTCAATTCACCAACCCAATAAATTAAAAATAATAATAAATAATAAATAATTGAAAAAGTAAATAGGAATTCTCTCTTGAAATAATAAAATTCTGGCGGACAGATGCCTTTCGGACCGTCCACCGTACCTTCAGACGTTTCCGCGCCAAACGTCGGAAACTACCGTAACCCGACGCAATAAAAGGGCCCCGCCGCAAAGAATTTTTCAGTCTTTCGTCGTGTTTTATTTTTTCAGTCTTTTTTTCCATTGACACTAGAATAGGTTTCTTTTGAAGAAAGTGCTCAAACTCTCACATATGACAATAGCCCGCAGTTTTCAATTCACCATCCCAATAGATTAAGTAATTGTCCAGGTTATTCTAATCGTCTAATAGATCCTATTGTTCTATTGTAGTTCTTATAGATTTATTAAGTTTTGATAATCATGAAGATTTTAGTGCTTTTGATTACATTTAGATAAAATTCTTTTGATCTTTTTGATCAAAATCAGAATCAAATTGTAAAATTTTGGTTGAAGAGTGTTCTTTTGAAAAGCCAATGTTTGAAAAGCCTTTTGAAAAGCTTTTAAAAAGCCAAAACCTAGTTCTGTAAATAGCAAAATTTTAGCCTAATCAAATAAATTATCACGTCATTGTAAAAATAAAAACAAAAAAAGCATAACTAACTTGATAAACATTAAATGGATTGATTAAATAGATTGATTACGAAGAAAACGATGCTACGATAGAATACGTAGAATGAATTACGTAGAATACGTAGAATTACAAAATACGAGGAACTCAAAGGCCCAAGAAAACCCACATGTGTTTTGAGTTTGAATGTGTGAAAGTGAATGTTACGACAAAGCCATTGAAGAAAAAAAGTGCGCGAGTCAGTTGTCAACCTCGAAACGACTCTTCTACAAAGACAATCTATTTTGTGTACTTTGTCGTAGTAGAGCTGTGTAGTAGAGCTCAAAGTAACAGTCTATGACAGAGGCTATCACTCTACTTTGTGCTCTGACACTGTCTAACATCCTAGATTCATCCTTTCGACTTTAATAAATGCACACTTTGACTTTGAGCTGTTAATCGCCTTCTTTACTTGTATTTTGTGATCTTGAAAATGTGAAGAACACGAGATTTTCTGAAAAAAAAGCTATTGATATAGATTATTGATCGTAAAAGGTCTAATAGAACCCCCCTCTATCGGAGCGTCGCGTAGTCGAAGTTTACACTCAAAGAACCACTCATATCTCAGCACCAGTACGTTTGTTTCTGCTCGTTTAGGCATCAAATTAAAGTAGAGAGAATGGGTGATTTTTTGAGATATAATACAGATTTACAGCTTTAACCAGTGCCAAGAAAAAATGATTGAAAAATGATGAAAAATCAGCTTTTTTTTTGCTACCTTTCAATCATTTTTTCTTGGCACTGGTTAAAGCTGTAAATCTGTATTATATCTCAAAAAATCACCCATTCTCTCTGCTTTAATTTGATACCTAATCGAACAGAAACAAACGTACTGGTGTCAAGATATGAGTGTTTGTTTGAGAGTAAACTTCGACTACGCGACGCTCCGATAGGGGGGGGTTCTAATAGAGCTTTTATGGTCTTTAGCCTAAAAGATTTTCATTGGGTTAGAGAAGTTTTATTGATCAATCAACAGAAAAAGTGAAATAATCAGATCAAGGAGAAAGTATTGCTTTTTGAGCGATTCAAATTAGTAGAGTGATTCAAATTTCATTGAACATTTCATCAAAAATTGTGTCCTCGTCGAGCGATCGACGCGATTTTCCACTGCTTTTTCCACCCGCTTTCCCCTTTGGCTTTCCTTTGCTTGTTTTGAGGGGCTCTAAAATTTATCTAACAATATCTAACAGATTACTGTATCCTATAACTGCCTAACAATCAACACTTGATCC